GAATGATGAGAAAGAGGGGACAAATGATAATGAGTAGATAGCTATAGGATATAGTGTTACAAGTAAGAGACATTCTATTCGACACAAAAAAAAAAAAAAAAAAAAAAAGAAAATAGAAAATGTAAACATGAAATTCCTCTCTCTTCACAACATCAAAGGAATGGCCGACATACTAGATAGAGGAGCAAAGCTCTTTGATGGACCAGAAAGAGACTACAATCATGCAACAGACTCGCAATATCACAGCTTGCGCGCCAAGGCTGACGAATTTTACAAGAAACGTAACAACTTAAGTCAACAATCGCAAGCAGCTTACAAGGCTGGGGATAAACAACGTGCACACGAACTAAGTGAGCAGCTGAAGCAGGCTCTCAATCAGGCAGAGAACTATAGTGAGCAAGCTGCCGAGTATGTTTTTCGTGAAAATAATACAGACTCGGCTGCCGATGAGATTGACTTACATGGATTGTATGTAAAGGAAGCCAAGTGGGTTGTACAAAGGCGTATCGAGCAAGCAGTTCGAACCAACCAGAGTCATTTGAAAGTAATTGTGGGTAAGGGAAACCATTCTGCCAATGGTATTGCCAAGTTGAAACCAGCCATCGAAGAATTGTGCAGTGAAAGTAACTTGAGGCATTATATCGATCCCAAAAATACTGGTGTATTGGTGATTGACTTGAACAATGCTAGTACTTCTCAAATTCCCAATTCATGGGGGCAAGCACCTATTACACAGCCACAACAAGCGTACCTTGGAAGTAACCAACCACACTACTCTAACCAACAACAACACCACCACGGCGGGCAGCCCCACCATCAACAACCAAACAATCAAGATATTAAAACAGGCAACGAATTATTCGATCTACTTATCAAAGGTCTTTGTATGTGTCTTAACAAAAAATAGAATTATATATAAATATATAAACTAGAAACCCCTGTTTAACAACCGCAAGCGCTTGAATCAGACTCCAAGTGTATATTGATTGCGTCATTGTAATCATCGTCACCGCCGTTTGCCGAATTAAGCTCCTCCTGTTGCAATGCCATCTTTGCAACAACCTCAAAAGCATTTTCCACATTGACCCCATCTTTTGCACTTGTTTCAAACACAGGATGATTCAATCCGCCTAATTGATTATGTGTTATATTGTGCAATTTCTTTTGTAAACTTGGAATCTTTTTCGAATCATCAACGTCAATCTTGTTTCCTATTATAACAAAGGGGAAATCTTGTGGGTTTGATACATTCAGCTGCACCAAAAACTCATCCTTCCAACTAGTCAAGTTGTTTAAAGATTTCTCATTTGTCACGTCAAAACACAAGACACAACAGTCGGCACCTCTGTAAAAAGCAACACCCAAACTTTGGAAACGTTCTTGTCCAGCAGTATCCCAGATCTGCAAAGTTACGCTTTTTCCGCCATCTAAAGTGATTTCCTTCGTGAGAAAATCGGCACCTATAGTGGCCTTGTATTGTTGGGAGAATTTATTGTTGACGAACTGGTGCATAAGGGATGTTTTCCCCACGCCAGAATCACCAACTACAATAATCTTCAATAGCTTCTTTGATGGCATTTATTGCGTGTACGTGTTGTGTGATAGGGGATGTGTAATCAGTGCAAGCTTGTTCCTTTATCAGTGGTGCAAGTAATTTCCTTGCCAAAAGTTTTGTTGATAGTTTTTGTCTCTCTCTCTCTCTCTCTCGCTCTCATTATGTTACTCACAGGCAGCACTGTGCGCGCCGTTTAGATATTGATTACTTAGATGGGAGAATCTTCCAGTTAAGACTCTGGATTGGTGGAACTGCATATACTTTGTACTCTTCCTCTCTGTTGGGCTTCAGAAGAAGTACCATCTGGCCAGCCTAAATTTGTCTTGTAAACCACCTCTTACAAAATAAATTCTCTTGCATCTTTGTTTTTTTTTTTTTTTGTAATGTGTAAAACAAGTTTTCCACAACTTTGCAACCAAACTACGGCTAATCAGCAACTCAAGAGATGATTCAACGAAAAGCAACCATGGTTGAATCGCGACTCACTGAGCAGAGTGTAGATCAAAATGGAGCAGCAAAGCTGTCCAGCTGGTCTTTGAGGCAGAAAAAGAGTCTACCAATCTCTATTCCAGAACCCAAACCGTTCAAATCTCAAGAAAATCAAGGTGAAGTTGGCGACGACAAACCGCAAAAGAGAAGACATTGGCTTCACAAGAGTTCCGGAGTGACTTCATCAATGAAATCGACTGCAGGTAAAACTCCAGATAATTTAGTCACCGAAACCAAACCATCGACTGAAACAAAGTCAAAGCGATGGTGGGAAAGAGGTTCCCAAAAAGGGAGAGTAGTCACACCTGCAACACTAGCATCCAGTGAATCTGAGCCCCATGACTTGCTCTCTACCGAATCTATTGACATTGCGGGAAGCAATGTGATTTCAGTTATCAAGAGTTTGGAAGTGGATGACAGCAGACCGATTGTATTCGGGAATTACTCGGGAGAACCCGTTTACAAGAGGAATATCACAGAGCCAGCTCTTTTCAACTCAGAAATACTCAAGTTTTATCAATTTGACACGTTTGAAGAAGCAACGTATCATTCGTGGAATGTTTGGACTGTGGGGGATGACGGGGCAAAAGGAATTGACAGAAGCATAGAATGCAAGATGGATCTAGTTGACTTCTTCAAGAGATTTGAGCATGAGAAAGTGTATATAATGAGGAGTATCTTGGTTCCCAATCTTAATCAATTCAAGAATGGTTACTTAGTGAAGCTCAAGATCTTACACGGCAAAGAACCTAAAGGTGCAGAAATTGGATTACAAGCTTTCAAAAGGTGCTGCAAGAGTTCAATTTTAAATAAGGTTCCGGACAATGCCATTAAGATCAACATTTGTGGGCTTACTTACACCAGAAGAGGTTCTCTCACTCAAATCACTCTATGGATCCATCCAATCATGAATATGTCCTTTAATATTTCTAGCCAAGTGATGTTGTTGATAAGGCTGCTTAGCTTGGAAGCTAAGGTGGACAAGATCACATTAGTTGATGTAAACAATGGATCCAAGACTGAAATTGTTGAGGACTAGCTATATAAGAAGTGTATGTTTTGTTTTATTCGCAGCCACAATATAAAAGAACCTCTCTATTTTATAGTCTCCGAACCAAAAAAAAAAAAAAAAAAAAAAAATTCCTTCCTGCAAAAAAAAAACTCCATGTGTGGTATCCTTTTACGAGTTTCCAGTAGTAGTTGCCATAGCCCAAAGGGCATCGAACTAACAGATTCAAAGGGAGACATCTGCTGTCGAAAATGGGAAGCCACAGATCAACAAACTATTGAGTTGTTCTTGCAAGAAGGATCCCTTGTGGATGATTTAACCCATCAACAACGAGCCAAAGTCGAAAACTTGGATGTGTTGCGTTTGCTAGTTGGTCAACTAAGCAAGGTTAAAAACAACGTAAAAATTGATGCATTGGAGAAGGAGCAGCAGATTCAGGCAATAGAGAATCAAATTAGTATCATAGGCAAGGAGGACGACGTACCGATGAGGAGCTTCGATTTTGATAGAATGATGAGCATTGTTGCCAACAGGGGACCAAATTATCTCAACTTTACTCAGTTTGAAAGTGGAAGCAAACATATTCAATTGTTTACCTCGATACTATCCCTACGTCAACCATTCACAAAACAACCTGTTTGCAGAGACGAATTTGTGCTACAGTTCAACGGTGAGTTATATAATGAAGAGTGTCTTGATGGTAATGATACACAGTTTATAATGGACAAATTGCATTCAAGACTTGGATCAAGTAGACGTGAAACTATTTTGAGTACCTTGAGACAACTTAAAGGAGAATGGGCAATCACTGTAATTGATTTGGTGGAGAGCAAAGTCTATTTTGGCCGAGACTCGATTGGTAAGCGATCTTTATGTTACAGGGTTGACAAAGATGAGCTTGTTGTCAGTTCAAACTCCGCTTTGGGGTTCAAAGAGTGTCGAAACGAGATTTACGTTTACGATTTGGGACTGGAGGAGATAGAGATGTACAGGTTACTCGAACTACCAAACTTTCACAATTTAGAAGTAAAGGAAGAGGATGTTTTGCATGAGTTGAATCTCAGATTGAAGGAGGCGGTAACAATACGAAATAACACGATACATCCGGTGGAGAACCCAAACGATACCTCCTTGGCTGTATTGTTTAGCGGAGGGCTCGACTGCACGATACTTGCCAGGTTCCTTTGCGAAATAACGAGATCATCAATTGATCTTTTAACTGTTGGATTTGAAAACCCACGTACCGGCCAAACTCCTGACACAAGTCCTGATAGAAAACTAGCAACCAAGTCCTGGCTCCACCTATGCAAAACGTTCCCACACTTGACAATAAACTTGGTGGAGATTGACGTTGATTACCAGCACTGGCTCCGACACAAGAACCGAGTGAGGGAACTTATGTACCCTTGCAACACGGAGATGGACTTGTCCATTGCCATTGCGTTCTACTTTGCTGCTTCTAATTTACCCCATCTCGCGTCAATGAGGAGACTCACAAAGCTCGATATTGATTGGGAGACATATATCCAAAACCCTAGCGCATATTCCGAACTCAAGCCAAATTATGTTTCCTCAACAAAGGTGCTATTCAGTGGCTTAGGAGCTGACGAATTGTTTGCTGGATATTCCAGACACGAAGGGTTGTTTAATAGGATCACAAGTGCAAGTTATACCGAATTGCAGGAGCTGTTGGCGTATGACATTAGAGTCATTCATGAGAGAAATCTTGGTCGTGATGATAGGGTCATGAGCTGTTGGGGTAAGGAGCTTCGATATCCATATCTAGACGAATCTTTTATCAAATGGGTTTTTTCCAATGTGCCACCACAACTAAAGTTTAAGTATGAGATTGGCAAGAACAAGCGTGGCAAGGAGCAAATCATACCTACAAGAAAGTACATCTTGCGTCAGTTGGCTGAGTTACTTGGAATGTCATGGGTATCACAAGAGTTGAAAAGAGCAATCCAATTTGGAGCCAAAAGTGCCAAGTTAGAACTTGGTCAGAACAAGGCAAAAGGAACAGATACTTTGTAATATAGAATAGATAAGTAGATAATTGCAGGCATCGATATCTTTTGTCACATGAAGTACTCGTAAATGTCACAAGCCGAGAGGGGAGAAAACGTTTCACAGCGCGCCTCGCTACATTTCCCAGAACGGAAATTAGAGATTTCTTTTTTTTTTTTTTTAATTCCCCATACACCCATAATCCAAAAATGTTGAACCATATATAAGGTGTGCCATCCCCAGAATGAGGATGCATCCAATAGATCTCTTCCTGTAACTGATCTTACAAATGGGCTCTTCTTCTGGTTCAAATTTCGTGTTGCTTGATTATTTGGCTACTCTCGTTTTCGTCTTTATTGGCCTCTGCGTCGTTTTGAAGAAATTGGATAGTATCGTCTACGAATTGCAAGCTTTGAATAGTAACTTAGCCGCACTCAAAGGATAGATGTAAATAAGGATGTATTTCTAATAAAATATTCATATTCAAAGCATCAATTAGTGTTTCAACTGGTCAACCCATTTTGGCTCTACGATCAAAACCTCACATGTGGTCAACAAGTCACAATCTTCCAAAGACCTCTTTGATTTATCAATCAAGTAGACTTCCCCCTTGACCCAACACTTCCTTCCGATTTTCTTCAACACGGTACATTTGATACATACCCAAGACTCGACCCTTGTTGGTTTTTTGTAATTAATATTCAAATTGGCCGTAACACCACGCCTATTCTCAAAATTGAGGAACCCCACACGACACGTCAACTCGTCGAGCAAAGTAGCGAGTAATCCTCCATGAACGATTCCCTTGTGTCCCGACAACAAGTCACCTAGTTGCAAAAACGTTATTGAATAGTTGTCATGATCATTGTCAGGCTCGGTAATCTCATTAAACTGAAAATGGTAGTCGTCAATAAAGTATAAAGTTTGTGACCGATAAGCAATCTTGTGTGGACCTGATAACGTAGCACCCGTGAAGTTGGGATATAATCGCTCCACTACGTCAAGGGTTTTGGTGTTTGTTGAAGTAAACTTTTGAAACAAGTCAACAAAGTGCTGGTATATGGGGAAAGCAAGGATCTGTTGCTCTAGAGTTTCTTCAGATAAATATTCTTCCTTGAGCACCGACTCATCTGTACTTGCAGGTACCACATGGTCAACGGTCATTGTCATCAAAGAGTGGCACAATCGGGGACTTTCCTTTGCTTAATTTCTTTTGGTTTTTACATCCGCAGTTGATTTATGCGCGGATAATAATGCCATTAAAAATCCGATGATAAAAGACAAACAAATTAAATTTATAACCCCCCCCCCCAACACACACACACACACACACACACACTATACACTACTTACTATCTTTCACACTCTCTATTCTTGACCAAATCCAACAGTCTCTTCCACGGCCAAGGACAACTTCTGTTTCAAGCTTTCGTAATCAGCATAAGGTGGCAAATCGACTCTATTGAAACAAGTATGGGATTTGGGCAACTGGTTAGGCTCACCAGCTTTTTCAATGGTAAATCTTCTTGGGCCATCACTACCTTGCAAATCTTTAAACCCATTGACCGGTATACGCGATGTACCTGTGGTGAATTGTAACAAACGAGCTTTTTGTTCGGAATCCCATTCATTGATGCATTTCCAAAACCATTGTATGACTTGGTCCAGTTCTTGGTATCCTCTGTAATCAGTATGCTTTTTCCAATCGGCAGTGTCAATTTCAGCCAATCCTCCAATCAACAATTCCAACTCTCTCTCATCAAACACATTTACCAACTCTTGTGGTATCAATTCATTGAATCCATCAATAAATGCTTTAAACTGCTCCTCAACACGTTTGGATATCCTCCACTCCGTTATCAACTCTACATATTCGTGTTTGTTGGCTTCAGTAACCTCTATGTTCTTTCCATCTGGTTTCAAATCAACTTCCACCCTTTCACCAAAGATTTCCTCTTCGGTGCTAAATGTGAGATCCAAAATATCAGTAATGTCATTATCCAAAATCCATTTCAAAGATCTGTAAAACTCGGCATCAACACCTTCCATATCTTGAAGCACAACCTTCTTGTGTAGCATCATCTTGTACAATGCACCAACAAAGAATGCGTCCAAGAACCGTCTATGGAAAACTCCCAACCCAACAACCCTTCCAATAAACTTGAAGTAGTTTAGATGTTCTGGATTGATGCTCGAGTTAGGGTTGATTTGCAATGTGTAGTTATCATGCGAACTGTATTCAAACAAACAATAGAATGGATTAAACATATCATGAGACAACAAGAAAAAAAACTCACGCGACACTCCACCGTAATCTAGACCTTCTTCACCGTCAAACTTGATCATCAACCTCTTTTTCAAATCTTCGGGAGTTTGCCTCATAATCTCCTGATAACTATCCTCAAATATGTGTTCTCTTCTAACTTTGATGTGGCATTGGCCAGGAAGAATTCTCAAAGCTGGTTGTGAGCGGAAGTAAATGACTTTTCTTCTGAAATCACGCTTGTACTGGGGAACATTCTGGTCCAATGAAGATGGCAACCTAGGATCATCCCAAGTAGTCGTCTTAGTGTTGTGATCAACAAAATACACTCTTGCAGTGTTGGTCAATCTCATTTCCCAACCTGATGGTAAAGGTCCCAATTGACTAACTGGTTGCTGCTGTATAGTAGTGTTTGCTCCAAAAGTACGAATGTACTGTTGTCTTCTAGGATCAACCCAAGTTGTCGTTCTTGTATTGTGGTCAACAAAGTATGGTCTACCTTCATTGGTGAAACGTTGTTCCCATCCCGAAGGCAACTCACCTAATCCTGAGGTAGTTGCTCCGGATGCAGCCATAGAAACGGCGGCAGCAGGATTAACTGGGGTATTTGCACCAGTTGCATTAACAGTAACATTGCCACTGGTTACGGAATTAGCCGACGATTGTGGTAATGGACTTGCAGGTGTCTCGCCAGGCAACGTCCTTCCACGATGTTGTCTTCGTTCGGCTTCGGTATCGTGTTGTCTTTGGTGGCCCCTGTCTGCCTCACTTTGGTCCAACGCCGGTCTTTGCCAAGTGGTTGTTCTTGAGTTATGATCGACATAATACGTTCTTCCAAAATTATCAGTTCTTCTTTCCCAACCTGGTGGTAACCTACCATATTGATCTTCAAACGAGGAGTATTGCCTGTGAGCGGCAGAACTATTTGATGCGGCTGCGGCAGTGGCGGCGATGGGTCCAGCTGATGACGAGGCGTCTGCACTCGTTGCTATTGGTGGTGCACCGGCATGTGCTGCCGAAGATGTGGATGCTGTACCATTGGAAGATGAAGCTCTTTGACCATTTGAAGATCTGGTGCCATTAGCCAGAGATCTGTTGTGTGAAATAACGACAATGATTTTCCCACTAATGGCAACATTTTCCATCAGCTTCTTCAAGTCCCTAGTGATGGTCTCTTCAGAGCTTGGCAATCCAAAATCAATCAAATCACCGATTCGAACATTCACAACTCCAAGAAACCCTTGGTCCTTCTTTTTGAATTTTTTCTGGTCAAATACTTGAATGACTAATATTGAATCCTCCAGGGCTTGGAAAGTAAATGTCTCATTCCAATACGGGTTTAATGTCTTTTTTGCGGTTTTGGTGGTCTTGGTCTGCGATCCGTCAACTGTGATAACGGCAAACGGATCTGGTTGACGAAAAACATCCCTTTTGTAAAGGGATTCCGCAGCAACCAATTTGACAGTTATGGACGAAGTATTTCTAGACATTCTGATGCGCGGAATGAAAAATCAGAACACAGAAAATGCTAAAGCTAATCACAGGTTGGATGTCCTCAATGCGAACGATTTGATTGATGCCTTGTTGTGTGGATCAGAGGTGTAAATATGTCAGATGTTCTGATTGCTTTGCTTTGCTTTGCGTGTCTTCCGTAAAAAACTGAACCAAAGTCGTGCAAAATGAAACAAACAAACAGACAAACAAACACACTCTCTGCTCTGCTATTTTAACACGTCAATTTCCAATGGGAGAAGTGGAGAATGGTCTAAATTCTAGGGGTATTCTCTTGTGATGTAATGTAATAAGATAGGGGTTCTGTCAGCAGTTCAAGCTCCTATCCCTGATTCTTCTCTTTTGCTGGTTGTCAATATCTGTCTGTCTGTTTGATCTCTTTTTTTTTTTATTTTTTTTTTTTCTTTCTTTCTTTCTTTTTTTTTTTCACTCGTTTTTTCTTTTTTTTAGTCTCGTTTTTCCTTCTTTGTAATATTGATATATGGCTGCGTTTCTTCTTCCTTTTAGTAATTTCTTACATATATATCTCCATCATTAATTTAACCTAAATACTACTTCTTGCACTACAATTTTCCCTTCTTTGTAACCTGTAAGTTTAAAATTACTCAGCTACGTTACAAAGCGTAGTCAAGTTTCAGACCAAGCATCACGGGTGGAGAGTTATCTACCACGAGTCCTAATACTCTTATTTCGTTAAATTTCATACATATACTACCATCACTAATAAGTCAAATTCAAATCATCCAATGATCTAAAAATATCATGGTACTTGTAAGCCTTCAAGCAATCTCCAGAGTAGGTCTTGAACAACAGGCTCTTTTCTCGCTCGACGGAAAGTTCATCCGCCACAGGCTCAGCCACCATCGATTTTTCATTTCCCTTGTCATGTACAATCATTGTCTCTACATCTGTAGCTATTGTTGATAGCGAGTCCATTGAGTCGTTAATCGACGAATGTTGAGGCGAGTCTGGACCAGACATATCCGAATTTGAGGTGTTGTTATTCAATGTGAAATCAAAATCATCCATTGATAACGTATCATCCAGCTCTGGATGATTGAATTTAGGCGACGGAATCAATGTCAATTCAAGAGCATTGTTTGACTCAGTTTCAGTCTCTGAATCCAGTACGCGTCCTTGCTCTTGCTCTTGCTCTTGTTCAGAAGTGGAGTCTATACTGCGAATGCTGATGAATGTTGGTTTTCTTTGTATGTTTAATGGTTTCACCGGCTCAATTAAGCTTTCTTGCAGGCCAGATTCAACCAAGTCCTCCTTGCTGTTGACTGACCTTAGCAACTCTTGTATGTCTTCCTCAGTATAGTGCGTCTTCTCCGGATTGATATTCAATTTGATTGCCTCCCTCACTTGAGAATGCACACCCAAAAATGACGACCCATCAATCGACATAATCTTGATTTCATTACTATCGTTTGCAACCGAACACATACTAACCACATTTGTATTGGATGCTGGTAGAATAGTACCACATTGTCTTTGATTGACATCAACTTCCATCGCGTTTGTCACTTTATTAAATCTAACACTGTCCAACCCTTCTCTCAATCCACAATCCATATGTCCAATGTCATCCAAACTGACATCCGAAGTGAGGTCCCAATGTACTATATTTCCATCTAGCCCACCAGTGAATAAATCCCCTTGATCCCATTCAATACTCGTCACTAGGTTCAATCTTGAGCGATGTGAATGTCCATGTAAACTCGTGAAATAATCTTGTTTCCGTATATCCCACAATCGAACAACGCCATCACCATGTCCAACGGCTAGTATATTATCATTATCAGGGTTCCACTTGACAATGTTTCCCGATAACTGGCGGTAATTTCTCGACATTGATGACGACAAGGGTATACTGAATCTTGAATCTCTCGTGTCAAACAATGAAATCCCAAATTTACCACAAATACTCAATGTTGTGTTATTATGTGGCAAGACATCAAAATTCTTAATTCCCTTCACAGTTGTGATTGAAATGGGTTGTGGGCGTTGTTGTGACTCCGTATTCATGATATCCCAATGGAAGAGGTAATCATCGTAAATCGAAACCATTTCTCGGTCACTGTTGAAAAGATTCAATTGTTTTATTGGCAACATTGCATCGGCCCTGGTCTTATCCTTGATATGTTTTCTATGATTGAATCGTTTGCAAATCTCGGCCGAGTACTCCTGCTCGTCAATAGAACCCGATCCAACATCAGGCATCGATACCAAGTGGGCGTACCCCTTGCTATTTCCTGTAACGAGATAATTCCTATCACTGGTTGTGGTGTTATTTATCCACTTCATATTGTGTATATTCGACAAACTAATAGTTGAGTGATGAATCAAATGATTGGAATCTAGATTGATTTCATATATGAACAAATTGTCATCTCTGTTGTTCAGCGAGATCGCCAATAATGGAATTTGCAGCGATTGGTTCTTGACACACATTGATGTCAAATTCATATTGTTATCCGGAATCTTCCAGTAGTTTGACTTGATATTAGTCCGGTTCAATGAACACGATTTGCTCAATACTTGGGTATCTTTTTCATTATGTAAGTTGAGTAACCACGACGACGACGACGATGTTGATGATGATGATGATGAACCTGCGTTGTGGGCAAATTTGTCAAGGTATGGTGAGTTGATAGACGATTCCGATGTGGTTGCATCTTCAGTCAAGCTTATAACACTTGAGATAGGAGACAAGCTAGGATTGAATCTCCGTATAGCATTTTGTCTGAACAATAAAGTTGGTTGGTAATAGTCACCCATGGTTGTCTTCTAAGTTAATCAATTATAAAAAGGTTGGATAGTAAATGGGCGGTCGCGGAGCGCCGTGTAAAGAGTCTCATTCTCATATATATATATATATATATTGCCATTCATATCAAAACATGGCTTGCAATATTGTCAATTGTAGCATAACTCAGTCTATTCTCAACTGTGCTGGTTTTGATGGTTTCAACCAGCCAGATCTAGTAATTTATATGCAGGAACTAACAAATAAAAAATGTTTTTTAAGATAAGTGACTATATGCAGGATTATATTTCTTGCGGCTGGCTATATCAATCATTTTGGGAATAGACTCGATCCACAAGGAATGCAGACTCATGCAAAATGGGAAACAGAAGCTAAAACTGTTATAGAGTTACTCATCGGATGTATATATCTATATAATGATACTATTGGCTCTATGGCAGGAGCGTTTAGCCACGGCTACCTTCTTTTGTAAATACAAGGTTTTAACAACCACTGTCCCTCAGGCTTGGCTTCTCTTTTACTTTCCAATTTCTCCTTTTCGCTCTCCTCTTCAATAAATTTCCTCCTTCTCTCCATCTTGGCCCTTCTCTCGTCAAGAATATCCTGCGGCGGTTTGAAAAACTCAAACCTCGTAAACATCTTGTTTGAATTATCAGTCAGTTTATGGAAAAACCCACAAAGTTTCAATGCATCAACAAACTCTTGACCCACATTACTATTTGCATTACTATGTTCATCCATTGTTTCAAATTCGCCATTCTTAGTATTGGCCTTTTCATTGAATCTCGACTTTATTTCAGCAATCCACAACTCACCACGTGGTTGCAATATCCTGTATGCCTCCTTTATGAAATCCAAGAAATTGGTACCCATTAAAGCCAAACAGAAAATCACAATCGTAGCGGATTCATTTTCCATCGGCACATTTGCAATATCAGCAACTGTAATTCGATCATTTTGTTTCTTGAGATCAAAACTGTGGATTTCGACATCCAAGCTCTTGTATTTTTTCGACTTCTTCCTTTGTTGTTGGACAAATTTGGTCACGTCGGCACTGAATTGAGCTTCACCACATCCCATATCCGCAACAACAATCTTCTTGTCCTTAGTTCCGGGTAATCCACCGGGAGCATTAATGTTTCTTGAAGTTAATCTCGATTCAAATTGTTTGACAAACACATCGACTGGATTTTCTGGCCAACTCGACACTTGGGACTTAAACCCTTGGTGATACTCATCAAATAATGACGGTTGTTCTTTGATCAATCTGAGAGCTTCCTCCGATGAGATTGTGTACAATTGCTCATTGATCCATCTAAATCGTGATCCTGACAATTTCGACATCATTTTTTGTTGCAATGGAGTTAGCTTGGTCTGAGAAGTTACTGGGACAGGTGGTGCCGAATCACCAATGGGTGCTTTAGGAGTTGTTGTGCTCGAGGCTACTTTCTTGATGGTCTTTGCTCTTTTGTCAGTGATGGATTCTGGATCACCATGGCTATTTTCGTCCCTATTCCTCTTTTTCCTATCTTTAGTTGTCTTTGGTTCAGAGCTGTCATTGCTGTCTCTACCCTTTTCCTCATTCTTTTTGGATTTGGCAGGCTTCTTCTCCCCTTCCTCGACAGCTTCATGCTTAGGTTTCTGCTCAACTGGCCTTTCCTTCTTCTTGTCTTTATTCTTGTTCTTTTTCTTCTTTTCTTGAACACCCCCCAACGCTATGTTCTTGTCATTCTTCAACTTCCAACCTTCCACTTGAAACAACATTGTACAGTAACCACAGTCTTTGTTGTTTGAGGAAGAGCTTGTCTAGGGTTTTTTTTATTTTTTTTATTTTTTTTTTTTGGTTGTCTTTACGCATCGCTTCGGATGTGCACAGAAGATAGTCAAGTTCGATTACAGAAGAGGTACAGATCCTTCGTAGTGTAACATGTGCTAACCTAAACTCATTCGTAGAAAGGGGCCCTGCAGCTCAAGAGGATACACCGCTTCAATGATTTCCAATGATTTTCAATGATCAAACGGTAACCATCACAGTCGATGAAACTCAGCACACAAAAACCCTTCCTTCAGAGGTTTCGGTTATCTCCGCCACAAATGAATCAATCCCCCTTATCGTTATAAAAGTGATACAATTTCCACACAGTCCCCATTCAATTGCCCTTTTTCTTCAAGTTAGAAATCGCGTACTTCTACACTGAATTGTAATTCTCCACAACCCATAACCACACAATGTCACAACAACGCGACCCAATCACATGTCACATTCTCGATACAACAGTAGGTCTCCCAGCACGCAACGTCATTGTTCAAATACATCGCGTTCGCGAAGTTGAAGACATGTCCAACACCGACACTCCCGACTCAACTAAATCAACTAAATCAGCTAAATCAACTGCTGTCGATTATCAAGTAGACCCCCCATTCGCAAGAGCTAAAACTAATGATGATGGCCGTGTCGTCAACTGGGTATTTGACCCCAGTTTGCAACGTGATCAAGATGCAAGTTTCGCTACGACTGGGGTGCGTGATGGGAAATGGGTCAAGTTGGTGCCTGGATTGTACAAGATCAAGTTTTTGACAGGAAAGTATTTCAAGGACTTAGCTATTGGTGGTGGTGGTGGTGGTGGTGTTACCGCCAGTGCCGGGAGGACGTTTTTCCCTGTTGTTGAAGTTGTTTTTGAAGTTGATGACTTGCTGCATTACCATATCCCGTTGTTATTGAGCAACTACTCGTATAGTACGTATAGAGGTAGCTAGAGTTGGCAAAATCCCAATTTCAGACTTACGGTTTTATGAACCAACCTCTAAAGTAATTTCTATTAAGATGTATGTAAATTCTATATAATCATCATCAACCCTCAATAGTAAAAATGAGTATTGTTTTGTGAACTTTCGTGAACCAACATCTCATTACACTTGTAATAATTGACCTCATTCTTGATATTACTGATTTCCTTGGGATCAGATAAACTGTACTGTGTGACCGATTTATTGTATCTCTTGTAAACATCGCTTGAAAAAGTTTCATTTATCTGGATCTTGTTGTTGAAATTGACGCGCTTCAAAACATGGGAAGGTGGTGGTGGATGTTGGTCCTGGGGTGGGAAACTGGCCGGCATCTGCAACTTGTGCTGAGAGCGTGGTGATTGTGATTGTTGCGATTGCTGGTGGTGCCGAGGATACCCATACGGTGGACTCAATTGTGACCGACCACGCTTCAAGATTGATGGGCTATTATTACGGGCCACCAACTCATCTCTTGGCACAAATGGCACAACCGGCTCGAACTTGTGCACTTCAACTTCAATGCTAGGATAATCACGGAATTGCTTGATGTATTTCAAATGCACAGGCAAGTTCCGCTTACCATCCTCAGATAAGTCAACAAGCACACTATTCAATTCGTCTCTGTTAACAACCACAGTGGCACTGACATTGCTGGTTAATGGCAGCGTAGGCTCAAACTGATTTTGTGGTGGCTCACGTGAAATAATTCTTTCCTCACCTGTCACAGCTTCCTCAATAATTGGAGAAGATGTGGCGATATCTTCAGGCTTAGAAGATGGTCGAGGAGCAATCCCACTACTTCTCTTTTCAAGCTCAATCTGTCTAGCCAATGCAGATTCATCCAATTGCGACCAAAAGCCTTCGTTTTTCAAAAACTCAATGTTCTCATCAATGTACGTCCCCGTCCAAGTACCCGTATTGTCATTATCAGCATTTTCATCATTACCACCAGTAGAGGCAGTGGGAGGAGCAATAGGGCCACTGGGTTCAGTTTCAACATCTTGAAATCCAACATCGCCCTCGGCATTATCACCACTACTTCCATCTTCATCGCCAGCATTATCCGCCTCATCACGCAATTTTTGGTCGTCAATTTGCTCTCTTGTCAACTCGTCATCTTTCAAAAATGGTTCACTCAAAACACCATTTTTAGATTTCGACATGGTCTTTGGCAATTTGGCAAAATCAGGCGGTTTGGTCGGCGTCAAGTCACGTTCAAACTTTTCGTCAAATGAGAGCATGACATCATCGAATAAACCAGCACTTTCTGGTTCGAAATCGGGCAACGAACCAAGTTTGAATGAAGCCTCACTAAGGACCGATAACCGATTACCATCGGAAGCATCGTGCATATCTTTATGTGCGGGCGGTTTTGCCAATAACGAAGATGAAGAAGTCTCGTCCTTTTTGAATAGGCCAAACAAACCACGATTCAGTTTTTTCTTGGAAGACAAGGACAATGACGAACCTCCACTACGTAATGAAGTAGATGTGGAATTTGCGGAATCGGAACCATCTTTATCTTTGGGTTTCAATTTCTTGAAGAATGTCTTGAAATTGGTGACAGACGAAGACTTGCCCAATTTGGAAGGTTGTGTTGAGCCAATGAATGTGGAATGACTCAAGACTGATGCATTTGGGGATTGGAAAATACTACTGACCAGCTGTTGTGGAGATTGTGGCTGTGGTTGTGGCTGTGGTTGTGGCATGTTACGAAACATGGGCGCAGGTTTATTAAAAACAGGTTCACTCTGAGCTATAGTGGACTTTGTTGGGTTTGCCTCATTGTGGTTTAAACTTGATTTCTTTTCGCCACTGTCGTTAGGCAACAACGACCTTGTTTTGGGGAATTGACTTGGTTGAGGAGGTGTAAACACTACTTCCTCCTTCAAAGTAGATCCATTCTTGACGTCATCGGACTTGGAATTTGTCGTACCATCATCTTCTTTCTTGTGCTCATCACCTTGCTGGTGGTGGTGATGCAGATGGCCATGCTTCTTTGGTTTTCCTTTGACTTTCATGTCGGGAGACTTTTCAATTGGTGGTGGAGGTACAGCATCGTGAGGAGGAGTCTCAATATCATCATGTGCTCCTCTCCCACGCCCTACTTTTGGGGTTTCTGGGAGTTCCACAGCCTTAGTAGGTGACCTTTTCATCGCCAGTGGTGTTGATGCTGCCCCTTGTTTGATTTGGTTGATGTATTCTGCAGAGGAAGTAGACGACGCTTGACGATGGTGTTTTCGAATCTTTTGACCGACAATCTGAACATCTCCTCTAGGTGGAACTTCCTTTTGAGAGTCATTAACCCATCGATTAAATGGTTTTGAAGTGATTTCGAAATCAGCTGAAGGAACAGAAGAAAAGGAGTAGGTGGGTGACAAAACTTGTTGATTCAATTTGTCAGCTGCTTCAGGGACGTTAACTGTATGGCCTGTAATGCTTGCTTGTGACTGAGGAGTTTGCTGAATATTAGTGACTGGGCTTTCCTGATTATGTGTCTCAATTAACGCATTTAATTCGTACAGCTCAGGAGAGTAATCGTCGGCATGCAGCTCATCCATTGCATTGACACTAGGCTCAGGGAATCCAGCTATATCGTTCTCTCTATCAATGCTCCTGGACTTTGCGAGCAGGAGCAATTGACTCGGAGACTTTGAATCAGGAGCATTTTCCACACGGCTCTCCAAAACTGAACAATTGATTGGAATTGTTATGCCTGGGCTGCCTGGAAGCGAGTTCTCATCATCACTTTCAGGCAATATCCATTCCGCTTGCTCTACGGGTGTCGTTGCGCCCGATTTTGTTAACTCCTCTTGGGTTGAATTGAACGACATATCAGATATATTTGCAAGAACTGGTTTTTCTGGAGATATGTACGTTTCTGTCGCTTCGCCGTTGCACTGCTGTGAAGCATCACGTCGCATATCACGAGGTTCTGATAGTATTTGCAGGGTTTCTGCCGCATTCTTCTCGTCTTCATCCAAACTGACTTCCGATACAGACGATGAAGACTGGACCAAAGGCTCACCCGAGTACTCTTTAAACTGAAGATCATGGGGCGATGTGTTTCCGTGGGTGTAGGACACATGCTGTCTATTCAAGTTATCTCCAATAGAGCTCATTGAATGTCCAGCACTATTTGAGCGTAAAGTAGATACAGCGGTGGCTGTTTTGAATGTGTCGTCACTGTTTGCATTTAATGTGCTGACAACTGTATCATCGGTTACATCATCCTCATGAGCACCCCCATTGTTTGAGGAGGTAGAATCCATACTATGCATTTGATCACTAGAACCGCTGCTTTCTCTATTTGTGGCATTTTTAGTATCAGAAGTGGTGCTATGTTGTATGACTCGTGGTTGGCTATTATGCTCGTGATGATATGATCCAGAGTGGGTTGCTTCCACATTCTCTAGGTATGGCTCTTGTGTATTAGGAGTTTGCCGAATAGTTTGCAGCTGGGGATACTCGGAGCCTGTAGCAGTGAAATGCCCATCAGAGTCCGTTTCCAATTCATCTATGTTGTTTTCCTTTTGGGTGTGTGCATTCAGTAGCTGGTGAAAGCTTTGATGTATTTGCTCATCACTGATTGAAGTAGACGGAGTATTGCTATCAGATCGGCACAAATTTGCGGCCGAGTTGTTGTTATACTGATTGTGTAACACATTTGACATGTTTGAGTTTATGGAGGACACTGAAGACGATGGATTTGATGAGTGATGGTGCTCGCATCTGGTGATGTTTTGTGGTTGGAGTCTTTGCAAATTGCGTAGACTTGTAGTGCTATTATTCCTATAATTTTCATAAGGCATTTTTCCATTGATATTGTTGTCAAAAGAGATATTCGTTTGAATATCACCCTTATTTTCTCTAATACTTTTCGACAAGGTTTGCTTATTCGCCAATCGGACATTCTGAAGTGAGTTTGACTTTGGAATGGATGTGTAAGAACCAGTTGAGCGAAGTGTTGGAGGTGCAGAAATGGCTGGTGAATTTGTGGGGGATTCATTGGGAAAACGCGATTGGTTCATCTGTGGACCCATTGAAGGTGCGTTATGGTTAGGGTTGTTATGATATCCATGACCCATGTTGAGGCTATTTGGGTTGCTGTTGCTGTTGCTGTTGCTGTTGCTGTTGTTGTAATTGGCGTTATTGCTGTTTTGTTTTGCACTTGTGTCAATGGAGATTTTTCCTGGTCTATTTCTTTTTGCTGGTGCGGTTCTAGGTCGAAACACTTCTCCGTTTGGGAAATAGTACACACCTTCTTTTGTATAGTACGACCCAGGCGGTGCTCCCATGTTTCTATAGCCATTGCTGGGAGGTATGGCATTGTTGTGGTTACTCGGTGGGTTGTATACACGGTTCCCATTAGCGGCATTATTGGGTGCATAGCTGTTGTGGCTGGAGAAGCTATTGTAGCTAGTGGAACTGGTGATGCTGTTACTCTTGGAATACGACTCTCTGGCAGCAAGAGTTGGAGATGGCATCGATCCAGTCACCCGTTTTGCCGGTTTTTTCATAAACTTGCTGTCAACAGAAAGTAAATTGTCAGTGGACATATCTCGTGATAGTGATTTATGTTGCGATGAATATGTGTTAGCGGTTGACACTGACGTTATGGAATTTCTTCTCGAGTGAGGTGTCATGAAAGCAAAATTGAGCTGGCAATGAACTGTATAAGTGTGCTGGTAGTGTAATATCTAGATCTTATGGGGGACAAGGGGGGGGGTCTGAAATACAACTGAAGCAAGTATTTTTTTTTCTTCTGTTTTTTTTTTAAAACTTTTGTTTTGTATGTGATTTGGTCCACCGTAGTCAAGGTAGGACAGTGGATTTTTAGTAAAGTAAAGCGAGTGTCTTGTGAGTTTGTAATAAGATGAGGTGGTCTGGACGGTGGAATGTGGGTTATTCTAGTGGGTGGGGTGAAGTGGCTGTGAAATATAAATCAATTTCTAGCTAACCTTTTGTTTTCGATTGCGCGTCCCGATATCGATGTTGTGTTGAGTAAGAAGAGGTGTGAGTGTATGAGTGTGTGTGTGTAGTTTGTGTTGTGTTGGTATGGGATACCAATTGTGAATGTGCTACTGTTGGTGATATATTCTGTGGATGTAGAAAGAAAGAGTGGAAAGAGTGGAAAGTAAGAAAATGTATATGAATGTTGTGTTTTACTCAACAAGGGTTTACAGATTTTAGTTTTGAGTGTAGTGTAGTGTACTGTATATGTGGTTTTTGTTTCTTTCACAAGAACAAGAACAAGAACAAGAACAGAGAATAAGAAGAAAATAAAAAAAAAAATAAAAAAAATAAAGAAAATAAATAATCAATTGTCTTGTCTTGTCTTCTCTTCTAATTGTGTCAGTTGTATTTTGATATTGTTCCTGTAATAATTTTTTCTTTTTTTTGTTGGCTTGTGGTAGTGTCAATAAAGGTCAATTTGCTCTGACCACGAGACATTAATCTTCCCTACACGTCCCAATGACAGGTAGAGAGACATCTTCTGTTAGCTGTACATCACACAATACCAATCCCACCTCTTCCGACACCTCATAGTTTGGTTTCTGCTCTGCAAATCTCACGTAATCTTGTTACAAGGGGGGAAATCAAAGGTAGTGTACAAGTGCAAAGAAATGGATAGTATGCAGTACACCAACACGCACGTACAAAACTATAACTACAATTATAATAGACATCAGCTGTAGCACAAACACATCGAGCATACTTTTGTTGCAAGTATTTCCTGTATATAGACCATGCATTGAATTCCACTCTTTTCTGTCTGTATTGTTTCTTATATGTATATAAACATAGAACTGGAATCAATCGTTTCTTGCAAGGAGAGCGGACAGATAGAACAACACGACTAGCTGACATTGGAGGCAAGTCCTCATCACCAGCACCCACACTCCCCCCCCTTTTTCGGAAGAAGCTAACATACGAGTAGTCACGTACCAGGTTTTTATATGATGATGACGCTCGACTTGCTTGTAGTCTCAACTGTAACCATAAGGGCTTTTTAGCATGTAGCAGTAAGTGTAATAAGAAGTTTACTGGCTATTATTAGCCTGCATTACATGCACGAATTTTATTTCAAGTTCCAGAAATAGATCGTCCCTACATCGGCACGTCCGGTTGCGGCAAAACTATAGACTGACTCAGCAAAGAGGAACATCTGTCATACTATATTGTGGCCATGGAAGAAAGAAAACCCATGACAGGTTTCTAACACAAGAGCTCACTCTAAAAGATCAACCTTCTAGAAGTCGCGAGATTTCACACCGTATAAGTATGGCAGCACCGTCTGGAGATGGAACACGGAACGGAGTACGGAATGCAAAATGTTTGTTTTACTTGAAAATGTGCACAGGAACAATCTACTCTCACTTTTTTTGTGTCGTGTACGCCCTTGTAGAAGGCGATATTATTTTTCTGTTCCCCTGATTCCTCCAACTCTTTTAATTCTTCTAATTCTTCTTTCACGACGTACATTGGCAGAACTGTAGGCGGAAGTGAATAGCTCATTCGGTGTTAATCGTCAAGACGGGAGAAAAATAGTTGCAGTGCAAGTAGAAGTGCAAACAGGACTGAGATCAGCATTTGTCTAAGTCCTCTAAACCCAAGCCTCACCCACAAAGAACAAATCTAAACAACAAAAAAAAAAAAAAAAAAAAACCAGGAACAGAACTTATTCAACCGGCCGATCTTTTCTCGGGAGATAAAAAAAAATTAAAAAAAATTAAAAAAACACATTCCGATTATCGTCTTTGGTGGGATGACTATAACCCTAACCCCGTGTCATTCCCAATTGGGAACGATTTCGTCAATTTTAAGCAAAGGCAAACATTTTGTCATTTTTGTTACTTATGCACAATCGCTTGATTTCTGTTGTTGTTGTGTTTTCTTAGTCTGTCTTGTCTCTGTCTTTTTTGTTGTTTATTGCTGTATATTTTAGCTTGCTATATCACAATACTAAAGGAGCTCACAAAGTCAAACTCTGTAGAGTTTTGAAAAAGGGACAGGTTGGAGACGAATTACACTTGCAAGAGACAAGCGGGCTTCTTTCGGAAACAAAACTGCTACACTATCATGAGAGAGAAGCTTGAAAGACTGTAGATCATTTAAAGACACCAAATCCACATTTGGTTCCATTCTTTGTGTTCAATGTACATATCCATCTAGCTCTCATTATCGGAGTTACGAATCTCCATTCATGTGTGTGTGTGTGCAATTACAATTGTCTGTGAATAATCTCTCTCTCTCTCTAGTTTCGATGACTGAAGCATATGGTTATGAGTTGCAACAAATACAAATGATAGAAGACGAAGTCATTGTGTTTTGTTTTTTGATTGTTTGTTTGTGTATGTGCCTGAAGTTAACAACGTCATCAAAGCACACCATAGCAACTGTAAGATTCAAAGAGCGGAGATTACGAAAGCACGCGAAGCGGTGGTAAAGAAGAGGTGTGTCTCCAGGTTTCAATTGCTATTTGAAAGTACTAGACTAGACTTCCACATTTTTTGTAACCCACGATAATTATTCTATTTATTTTTTCAACTTTCTCTTGTCTTCTTGGCAAGAAATACGTCGTATATACGAGTTCTTGACATAAATGTACATTGCCGCATGTCAATGCAGGTCCAACCTCTCAGCTATCAGTCACAATTGACACAAATGTAAATGAAAACTACATGTAGTTGAATTTGTTTAAAGTCATGGTGCAAATTGACTAGAGATGAGAAGAATAAATTAAAAGTATATGCATTTGTAGAATATCAAAATATCAAAAGATCAAAAGATCATCCTAAATTATTCTGAAAACCCTCACTCTACCACTTTATCTCCCTTCCACATCACCTAACTTCATTAAAACACTTTCTCAACATGATAATCAGTCATCTACTATACATCATCTACCCTCTAATCATCCACATCATCTACCCTCTAATCATCCACATCATCACCTCAACCCAGGCACTCGAAGTCACGATAAACAACGTTAAATTAGACAACCCAATCCAGACTGTCAAATCCAAATTCAAAAAATACTTGCCTGAACTACAAGACAACTTGGAAATCCCAACACGTCCCAACCAGCAATTTGTCCGTGAATCATTCGTTGGTTCCCGGATTGAAGGTAATAACGACAAGGGTAATGGTCACATCAACCATCGTGGTATAAAATCGATGTTCAAGAAGCACAAGAAGATACAATCATCAACCATCATCCTGCTATTGCTGCTGCTGCTGTTGCTGCTGTTGGTGACATATACGCTGACCGCAACTCCAAAACCTACGACTGCAGCTGCAATCTTCAGTGACTCCGATGATATTGATGACGATGATAATGATGATGGTGATGATGAGAACAATACCGGCAATGAGGTGCTTACAAACATCTCAGCAAGTACAAGTCAAGTCGTCTCCTCCATCAATTCTAGTGACACTTTATCATCAACCGTTCATTCGCGTCCATCGTGGATCAAGAGTTTTCTCACATACAAATCCAAACAAACCATGCTCCATTCCATGTCAGTTGATCATAGTAGAACCCGCCACCGATTGATAAACTCCAACATAGACGAAAACCGCTCTTCCCATCATGCTCATACGGATCTGAAGTTGACGTCGAAAATCACCGAATATGAAGACTCCTTGAGTAATCCCAAGGATTTGAAACGATGGGTCCAGCTCATTGCCGATAAACCCACTGCCATTTCATCAAGCTCCACTTTCAATAAGAACAACGAAAATCAGAAAGGAGGAGGAGGTAGTAGCAGCTACTCTTCAACACCAATCCATTCTTCTTCAATCAAAACCAAACTATTCACCACTGGCAACAAAAACGACAATCAACAACTTGAAATTGATATCGAGGAGTTTATAAACTACTTGATCAATGAACAAGGTTTCAATCGAGACGATTTACAATTTCTCAGAATGAAGAACTTGGATTATGGATTGGGCGAAATTGAACAAGAATTGAACAAGTTGAAAGATCAACTGGGAAAGCCTAAAGTCATCAAGATCGGTGGGGAGGAAGACCAGTTTAATAATGGAGGTGGTAACGGCATGGGTAGCAAGCTCAAAGCTCGCCATCGCCATGCATTGTCGTTGTTGTACTTGTCTATACTAGTAATATTCTGAAGACATAAAAAGAAGGCAAAAAAAAAAAAACCACGCATCATCAGAACCCTCGGCACTTTTATCCTCTTTCTCCTCTAATTTCCACCCTCCCCCCCTTCCCCGCTCCCACTCACTTCTCTTTTCCCCCACTTGATCAATCTTTATCCAACACGTCTATATTTGTAGAGCTCAATCTCCACAAAACCATCATAAACGCACTCCGAAAGGGCTTAAACTTTTCAGCAACATGCAACACATACACATCATGAATAGGTTTCCAAGTCCGTTTCGAATCCAGCTTATTGAAAAACTTCGACCTCTTCTTCAACCCCGCCTGCTTTGTTTCATTTTGCGATACTTCCAATTTAGCCAGTTGAAGCACATGCGGTCTTTGCTCGAGATACTTTGCCATTCCTCTAGCCACACCCAAATCATCCTCGGCAAACACATCCATCTCTTCCAAGGTGAATATCGCAAACATCTTGGCTGACCATAATCCAATCCCCTTCAATTTACACACCTCGGTGTATATCTCATCAACGGATGCATTGCGATAAAAATCTAACGAGGTTAATTTATCACTAGGGTCAGCAAACACTTGACTTATATGTTGAACATACGCGACTTTCTGTCGCGATAGGCCAGCACTTTTCAACTGCTCCTCAGTGAAGCCAAGCGTTGCTTTTGCTGTAGGCACAACCTCCACCCCGCCATTGCTAGTTCCTTCTCCACTATTGAATAAGTTCTTGAACTTGGCTTCAACTGATTTGGCAGAAGCTCCGCTAACTTGCTGCGCAATCACCGACCGCACTAAGCTGTACCAGAATAGATGAATACGATCGTCATCAGCTTGGTTCAATTTCTCGTCAAATGACTTGGACCCAAACCCAGTGAAATTCTCTCGAACTATAATCGGATGCAATGTGGGATCTACTTCAATACAATACTTGATACCTTCAATGAATCCTGGTGTATGGTAATCAATGAATTCCTGAGGCAAGGATAGATCCAGTGGCACTACCAAGTTGTCCTGCTGGGCCACCACCTCCGTTTGATCGTCAAAGAGACGCGTGGGGTTTGAAGGAGCTTTCGGTACTTTTACCAATGGGGGTTTGGTCTTTGGTTTAGTCTTTGTCTTTGACACACCATTGGATTTCGCATTGCCATTCAGTTTTGATGTCGACCTCGACTTGGCTTTTGTTTTATTGATGTTGATATCGGTTGGTATATCTGTTGCTAATGGGTATACTTGAGACGTGTTTTCCGCGGTCTTCAAACCTGACTTGTTGGCTCTTGTGATGGGACCCATTGTGAACTGTCGTGGGTAGAAGAGGTGGGGTTGTTGGATAGCACGAAAGAGTAGGCGTTTTGGGATTGTGGCTATCACCTTGAAAATTTGTAGAAAGATGAGTTTGTGGGAGTGGGGGAACGGTGAACGAGCTGGGTTTTTTTTTTATTATTTTTTCTATTGCTTGTTGCTTTGAAATTCTGAAATTTAAGAATCCAAATATGATTTGAGACCAGTATGTGTCTAAATCTTTGTTGGGATGAGTAGATCTCTAGTAATTAAAATGTAGTGAGTTCTTTGTAACGGTTTCCGGTGTGTAGTTGAAAAAGGCTCCTTCATGCTTGCAAAGCGGGCTCCTCCATTAGTATAATGGGACCATGGTGCAACGGCCGTCATGGTTTCACCATCAATGACTTTCATGTGGGAGCACACACACTCCATGATAGCGTGTTTAGCACAATCATTCTTCCGATCCTAACTTTTTTTCCTCAATATCTCTTTGTGGGGGTGGTGGGTGCCGTGCTATGATTCAAGTGGGACGAGAAGGAAGAAAGAGAGACAGATTCGAAGAAGAAGAAGAAGAAGAAAAAAAGAAAAATTATTTGCAATCTCAAGGTATCACCACAGAAAGCTCTTTCCCTTATCCACCTTATCCCACACCACCCCCTTCAATCATGAGTATGATCGGTGTCTACCAAGGGCCCCAGCCGCCCAAAAAGAGTCTACAGGAAATGACTCAACAAGAACAAGCAGAAGAAGGAGCAAGATACTTTGTCGATTTCATGCAATCATGTCCTGGGAAAACCGCCATGGCAGGAGCCAGTGGTTTCGCACTCGGTGGGTTCTTTGGATTATTTATGGCCTCGATGGCGTATGACGTGCCAGTAGGAACTGACGCTGTCAAGCATATCAGCGACTTGCCATTCAAACAACAAATGAAGTTGCAATTTGCCGATATGGCAAAGAGATCATACTCATCAGCTAAAAACTTTGGTTATATTGGGTTGGTTTATTCTGGAGTCGAGTGTACCATTGAGAGTTTTAGAGCCAAGCATGACATATACAATGGTGTGACTGCGGGATGTATAACGGGCGCAGGATTGGCCATTAAGGGTGGTCCACAAGCTGCGGCTATTGGGTGTGCTGGTTTTGCTGCATTCAGTTTAGCAATAGATATGTACTTGAGCAGTGATGCCGCTGCGCCACCAAAGAATGACTACGACCTATGAGAGAAGAGGAGGCAAAGGCAGAGGGAAAGAAATGAGACCTGAACTTTATTGAGTATGATGAAGGATATGTTTACATGGGGCCTGGTCTTGTAAATAATACGTAATAATACAATGTTTTATAGAAACACATGAACTTTTTCTTTGTTGGATCAGCAAAAGTAGTAACAATATCGGTACTTGAAATCAGCTGCAAGAACAGAACTTGTGAAAAATAGAATGAGAAAGACGATACTCGCCGTGATCCAATATCTAAAGCTGTAAACGTAGTTGGAAACTCGATTGGAGACTGTGTTTAGTCTTGAAGTAGTCTGTAGATTCGCTTTCAATTTGGCATTTTCCAACTTTTTGAGTAGCTCATCCACTTGGGCATTGTTGACATTTTCTTCTTGTGTCTCAGTCTCGTCTCTTTGGCTCTTGAGATCGTTTATCAACTCTAGTATTTCGTCAAGCTTGATGTCAATCAATTCAATGTCGGTGGCTTCATGGATAAGACCGTCCAACTCTTGATCCAATTGGGACAACTTGGTTCTTATTCGATCCTGTATGCGACCTTGACTTGTTTTCCGTGTACCTGGGGTGCGCTTAAACGTGTTACGATAATAGAGCTCACCGTCTGCATTATTAGGTAGAGAGGACACTGTATATGGAGTTGGGGCTATTGGCGTTTGTGCGGTGTCATGCAAAGACGACGTGAAGCGGTTTGAATTGGGATTGGATTTAGATTTGGATTTGAATTTGTTTTGGTTTGACGGTAAGTACGTGAGCGGCAAGGGTTCACCTAGGTTAAATATTTCCTGTTTATGTGACTGCCTATTCATATCTGCATTCTGGACTCGAAGAGAGCTTTCAGTTATGAGTTCGGTAATGCCTGGTCTCGTGGTGGGTGTTTGATATAATTCTTTTGTGTTCCTTGTTGTTTTGGTTTGAAATTTCTTTTTTTTTGTTTTTTTTTTTTTTGGTGAACTTTCGCAAATTTTGACGCGCCTTGTAAATATCTACATCAAAATGATGTAAGCACTACACGGTGGTGTCGAGAAGGTGAGATGGCACACAGAAGAGGGAGAGTTGAAGGATAATAACCCGGTACCGACTGGAAAGAGAGGGTAGCTTATATTAGAGATGTAAGTCATTTATTCTCTATCCAATTAGTTTTCACGCGTGAATCAATTTGCAATTTGCAACAACTCTCCCCCGCTCAGCATATGCTTCCTTCATCAAGTACGTGATGATCCACATCTGATTGTATCGTTCTACTTTGGTCATTGCTTCTTGTGAGTCATCATTGCTTGTGGTAAGAACTGATTCCGAATTCCCCTTAGTTATATGATTGTAATCATAAAATAGACATGAAAACTTGTCAGCAACGAAATAGGACACCGCTACTACCTCTGTCAACGGATACAGACTTAGCTTTGGAAGGTTGTGCTCCTTCTGTAACAGTATAGCCACATCTTCAATGAAGGAAGTGAGCCCTTGATACAAATGTTGATGCATTGGATTCAGTTCTTGTAGTTGTAAGATTTTAAAAATATGCGAGACTTTCAATTTGACAGTAGAGTTCAATATGAGAAAGGTGAGACCATACTTTGGTTTCCGTAGCGTTTCTTCAGAGGTAACGTCTCGAATCATTGCATCCGAAGTATGTGTGCGAATTTTTTTGTTCTGCAAGAATTGTTGCAAAAAAGAAAGGCAAAAAATGGCAAAAAATGGCAAAAAAGGCAGAAAAGTCTGGAGACTTTGACAAACATTTGTTGATTCGCCACGCAAAACTCCTTGGTTACGCTAGACTCCTTTAACTACTATAACAATGAGTAATACCCTCGAAACCAATACCAGATTTGCGTTTTTGCAGAAACAAATCAGTCGCAAATTGGAAGCTAGAACTTTGATGCTAAAAAGCAGGATTTCATTGCAACAATTCAACCACATAACAACTTCAGACGTCCCATTTCCACTAAGCCTTACACGCAACATTCAAGCTCTTGATACGTTGGTGGATATAGAAGATTTTCGAGACTTGGCATCGCCAGAGATTCATGGTGTCTTGATCTGGCCGGAAAACTTTGAGACATTGATCAACAACACATTCATCCCCACTCTAGAGCAACAAAAGAACCCACGCGTAGATATACCTGATGATTATATCAATTTGATATAACTAATAGTATAGCAAGTTTAAGCTTAAGCACTCGATGACAGGGGGCTCTATATGGCAAGCATTTGGTGTGTAGTTTATTTGAACGCGTATAAGGATGTGCCGATCTTTTACAACTCTTGATCAAACAAACAGGCTAGATTGGCCCAAACAGTTCATAGTATCCAAGATTCATTCCAGTACTTGAATTTCTCAATGACGCTTTACTGTTCCATCTGGAACTGTTAACCACAAACTCTCTCAACGTGTTTAAAACTATCGCAAGGACTATCGTGTCTTCATCGACAGACAATGTACTATCCAAGAACGATTTTTCAACAGGTAAATCTGCACTCAGTGCTCCTGTAGCTGTGCCTGTGTTTGTGTTTACAGAAATTGTCTCCGAATCTTGATAAATCAGAACAGTTCCAAAGTCTTTTGCCTTCTTGGGTACAGGACCAAAAGAAGATTCAAAAGCAGCCATCTCAGTTAGGCCTCCAAACGGCAGCAAGTTCTTTGGAATAAAAGAAAGGCGATGAGCGCAACATAATTTCAAAACCTTGACAAATTGTTCAGTTTTGGGCACTGGATTTAAATACGTCACAGCATTATTGATATCGAATTCCAAAGCCGACGTCTCCTCCAGACTTGATTTCCTCAAATTTAAAAAACTCAACTTTCGCAGCTTTATCTTCTCATTGATAATCCAATCACATAGTGATGGCTCATCGTCATCAATCACAAGTAATCCCATCTGTTGATTATACCGATTGTGGAACCCATTAGCGGCTGAAGTTCCTATAACTCGGAAACGAGTTCCTTTGTAGATAAAGTCGGCGAATGGCTTGAATGTTGCTTGAAATATGACAATCTTGAAACAAGATGAAGTATTGGGAAAAAATTCAAGAATATATCGTTGATAGTTTGTGAAAGATTTGACATAAACAAAACAATAATCAAAAGTCTCGAAATCGGTATCATCACCGGCATAAGAAGGTAGTGCAGTATCCTCCTTGAATTTTTTGAAAACAAGTTGGGGTCCACTTTTACGAACCAAAGACATGTGTGGGCTCTGCATTTTCAAAAGCGGCAAGCCTTGCCCTTTAGCTTTAAAATGTACCGGTATAATATGATCACCATCAATCTTTATCGTGGATGATGGATCGCTCGAGCCTAAATTGCCGCTTCTGAAAGTATCGTTTTCCTTTCTGCCTTTGCTCAATTGTTTGAAAAGTTCATAAGATCCTGCGCTGGGGAATATCAAGGTATCTTGTTTGAAAGTGCGGTCTACTGAAATCAACATTCTCTTGCAATCAAACGCTATAGGGTGTTTGTCCATAATTCTGTCAATGATGGGGGATTGCCCATCCGTTCCAGATCCAGTGCTCGGTTTCAGGGATGTACTAACTTTTTGATCCAGGGGTAGCGATTGACCAATACTTTGACCGTTTCTACGACGATCGTCCAACAATATTTCACGCTCTTTGTCCAATTTCATCTGTTCAATAACGTGGGACGGACGACGTGAAATGTTTTCCATGAATTTGTTGCTTAACTTGAGTTGCTTGACAATAGCAGCAGTAATGCTGTCAGTATTTAGCAAAGTAAATGGAGTGCCTTCGCTGATACTTTGATTTCTTCTTGAAGATGGAAAACTATCAGCGCCTTTATCCTCGCCAGCTACAGGTACCGCCACTGGGAATGAGCTATCATTATTCTTCAATTCCTTCAAGCCAATTGGCAATTGTCTATAATCCTCCAGGATGTAGCTGTTGACTCTATATTGCAGTTTGTCTTCAGTGTAACCGCTGCTAGAGGCAACGTCATCCTTCTTGAAATTCAGTTCATGTTCTCCAAACATAGTCGATCTTTGTATGAGCTGCTCGAGTTGGCGATTGTGCAAAACAGGAAAAGTGTAGCCATGTACGTATCTTAGTACAACGGTCTGTAATAGTGGATATCAGATATAGTTTTCAATTTATTGTCCTCCTGGTGCTGCGCCTTTGGTCACTTGCACTTGAAATTTGAAATGTGGAGATCATGGTTAGTTTTAACTCAAAATTGTGAGACTTTTGCCTTTTGTGTAACGATCGACGACTCATCATCAAAAAAAAATTTTTTTTTTTTTTTTTTTTTTTTGGAAATAAATTTTACCCCCGCCAAGTTCATTAGAATCTCCATTTAAAAGAATCAGATATACACTGAAATACGAAAGGAAGGATCTCATCAGTTGATGCAATGTCTTTCCAAGATGTATTGAAACGAGGGGACGAGTTCTTAGAAGAATACCCAAGAACTAGCCCATTATGGAACTATGCGTCGCATGCCACGTGCCTTTTCATGATTACTGGATCCAAAATTATTCTCAACACTTTGTACAGGCCATTTGTTCATAATATCGAGAAATTGGACAATGCATTGGCCAAAGCAAGATTGGAGAACAGGGGTTTGCTTACCGTCATGAATCACATGTCTGTTGTTGATGACCCAGCTTTCTATGCAGCACTTCCTTGGAGATACCACTTGGATATAGACACGATTAGGTGGGGGTTTGGTGCTCACAACATTTGTTTCAGTAACGTGTTTCAAAGCTGGTTCTTCAACTTGGGAAAGATATTGGGCACAAAGAGATTTGGTGAAGGTCCATTCCAGGGCTCTTTGGATGCAGCAATTAGAATATTGAGTCCAGATGACACATTGGATCTCGAATTTGCGCCTGGTGTTAAAGAAGAAGCTAAGCCTATAGTTTTGCAAACTGTTAACAATGTTTATGATAAATCAAACACGGATATGGTGAAGTTTGTCAAGCCCGCACCTGAATCAACCAATGCTTTGATGTCCAAAAGTCCATTCATAAGGTCGAAAACATCTTGGTTTCATGTTTTCCCCGAGGGGTTTGTTTTACAGCTACAGGAGCCACACAACAACTCCATGCGATATTTCAAATGGGGTGTGAGTCGACTCATTTTGGAAGCGACCAGAGCTCCAGTTGTGGTACCCATTTTTTCCTACGGATTTGAGAAGGTAGCCCCAGAGGACACTGCAGAAGAAGGTATCAAAAGATGGCTTCCGGCAAATATGGGTGCTGAAATACATTTGACAATAGGTGACGCAATTCCGGATGAAAAAATTGAGCAGTACAGACAAGAGTGGAGAAAGTTGGTGACCAGATATATCGACAAGTCCCACGCAACGGATTTGTCAGAGGAATTGAAAACTGGCGAGAAGGCACAAGCTTTGAGAAGCTCCCTAGCGGCATATTTGCGAGATCGCGTTTTACAACTAAGAAACTCAATTCCACTGTTGAATCCAGAGGATCCACGGTTTAAGGATCCAAAATTTTGGAAAACATACACCAATACAGAAGGCATGAGCGATCAAGATGTTAAATTTGTTGGTAAAAATTGGGCAGTTAAAAGATTTCAATCCCATTTGCCAGAGTACGAAGAAGGCGAGTAGAACTAAACTTAGAACTTGTAAATATGTATAAATATATAACGATTTATGTGTCGTTCAAACAATGAGCCAGAGTCTAAGTAGAAGAAGAGGGAAAAGAAAAAAAAAAGGCGATGTAAAAAATTTAAAGCAGCTAGATTCCATAAACCTTAGACAATGATGCAAAGGGTGCTGATACCGAGACTACGAACGACACGACTTGGGTGGAAAGTGGCCATTCGATCTATATCAACTCAAGCTGAGCATTCGACTATCCTCGAGGGGCCTCAATCGTACAAAAATCCAATTGCACAACAGTATCACAATGAGTTCACAACCTATTTGGCCGATCCTAAAGTACCGAATACGCTTTTGAAAAAGCTTGTTTACTCCAAGATTGAATCCTTAGTAGAGCATTCCATCGGAGAAGAAGGTGTGGACGTCCTAGGTTTTGTCTTGAAAAACTTTAATAAGAACAGATCAGACGAACAATTACCATTGCAACTATCTATTAAAATATTCAACAGCATGCACCAACATTTACTTCTGATGCGTCCCGACTTTCTTGAAGGAATCATGCGGCAGCTAGTTGCAAACGTTCACACACTACCGGACGAGACACTAATCTTGGTGTTGGATTTCATAGCTGGCCAGCAAGTGAAGGTTGAGCAATTTCTCCATCGGTTGGAGTTTAGGATTAATGATGAGTTTATGACCAAGTATATTGAGTTTATGAAGAGTCAAAATAAGCTAACTCTTGACGTATTCGAATCCATGTGCAAGATACGAGTCAATGATTCTTTGATATTTGCGTTGAATGGATATGTTGAAAAATTGTATGGTAACAACTTACCACCAATTCACTGCTATGATGATTTAGAGCGGAGCTTGGATAGAGTTCAAATGTTGGTTTGCAGTGTTATCGAAAGTCTTGATGAGAGGAGCCTGTCTATTTCTGCATTGTTTACTATCTTTAAATTGAATGAAGAGTTTTTGCAAGTACTGGCTAGCTGCTCACTGGCCGTGCGTGGTGGAGAGAAACTTATACGCGGACTATCCTCTAGGTTCAAGGAGGTACTCAACTCACTCAGAGGTCAATCGGAGCCGGATGACGCATTGATTGAAGCGCTCATGTATGCAGCAAGGGGAACTGACACAAACTTCTGCAATGCCTTGGCGGAGCATATTTTGGCTGATCCGAAATACGCACAACAAATAAAGGTAGGGGCAAAAATTATCGACACTTCCCTAACTCAAGAGAGTTTGGAGAGCATATTAAAATCTGAAGAAATGACTGAACAAATGTTTGAAGTGGTGATACAAGCAGTTTCAAAATCTCATCCACACTTATCAAATTTTGCATTTGAATTCTACAGACGTAACGGATTGCTTCCATCAGCAAAAGTGTTCAAGTCGATGCTTGATAAGGCAATAAACGACAATGATTATAAATTAGCATTCAAAATATTTAATGATTCAACGACGTACATACAATGGCCAGATTACTACAACGACCTCACGATTTCCAAAACGCTCAACGATCTCATTCAATGTGTGGTGTTAAACATACCAATCAGAGAGTCCTTTCCCATGTTTCGCAAAATAAAAGCTCAGCTTCAACAACAAATAAATGTTGATTCCATAAATGCATTGGCTTCGGCTATGTTGGAGGCGAATTTGGTGGGTGACGTACTTGAGATGCTCAAGAGGGAACTACCTAATATCAAGGATGAGAGATTGAGACTCCCCATTGATAAACCATTTGGGTATAAATACCTCAAGTTGTTCAACACTCTCCACACTTATGCCATTACCAACACATTTGATAAAACAGTAACTAATAACTGGTACTTGTTCACGCACTTGTACAAGTACTTTCACATTCCAGAGGATCGTATACTCCCCACACTTCGATTCTTCTGCCAACATGACAGATTGAATGGTGCATTACTAATATTCAATAAAATGGTGGATCAGCATCAGTTGCATGGCAACCACTCATTTCAACCACCATCACCAGAAATGTACATGTACCTCTTGAGTGAGTTTGGTGATAAGTTGTACGAAGAAGGTGTGATTCAACTTCATGATTGGTTGAAAATGGACACAAACATTCCACGAGTGGACCTACAGCTTACCAATGTGATTATGAATGCTTATTGCAATTTGCAGGATGTGGCAAAAGTACGTGACTTGTTTATTGCTGCAAGTATCAATGATAAAGTTGATGAAGAGAGTGCCGTGATCATGATCAAAGCTTACACTTACAATGACCTACATTATGTCGAAAAATTTTGGGACAATCTTTCGAAATTTGACTTGATTCCGAATTACGACATGTACAAACAGTATTTGATTGCGTATTCATATTATGGCAAGACGGAAAGGGCCTTTGAATTGGTTGAAAAGATTGACGAGTATGATTTGGCCGTCAATGAGGACTTGTTGCTTAATCTACACAACTATTGTTACATTGAGGACAAACAACAGGAGATCAAGGACTGGGCAAAGACCAACTACGCAACATTGTGGAGCAATGTGGTAAAATCGGGTTTGCTTGTGGAGGCAACTGGCTATAAACCTCATGAACATTTCTTAGTGGATGGCTCTATCGATGAAAAGCCAAAACTTGTGGAATAAATAGACAATCTAAATCAACCTAGCTTGGTACTATTTACCTTTGTAGCAAATCGGAGCGAGTTTATTGTCTCATTGAAATTTGCACTCAATGGGGATATATTGACAAACATGAGAGTTTTGGAATTTCCTCCAAGACTATGCTTGAGCAAGTATGTCAATTTGGAATTCCTGTAGGGAATGTGCGATCCTTGGTTCAAGTTTAAAGAGGATATCACATCGCCCACTGCTGAAAGCGATTTATTTATAGCTTGCGTTTCCTTTAAACGGTCCCCTTCAACTTGCGATACACTTATACGTTCGGAACCGGCCAAATCTATTAGGTTCAAAGTGCCAAATGTCTTCACTCCCGTGGCCTTGTTCGAGCCCTTGATATCAATGATGAATATCGAATGTGAGCGTGAGGACTTGTCATTTGACTTTGTAGCAGCTGTGCTTCTTCTTTTATTGACTTGCTCAAGAATTGAGTTTGCTTGTGACGGAGATGTAATTGGAACTGTTGTGATATTTGTGATTGTGGTTTTACAGTTGACGTCATCATGCTTAATCTCGTGTTTTTCACTCAGTTGTGGATTCAAAAGGTCTATAATGTTTTCATTGTATATTTCGATAAATTTCCCATTAATTTCGTACTCCCATTGCTGCTCTTGTGTATCTAGTTCTTTAATATCATCAAACACTTTTTTGATTGACAAGGGAATCATCCCATTCACCGGATGTGACATGGTGAATGTTTTACCGGATCCTGTTTGTCCATAAGCAAACACACAGACATTGGACCCGTCTATGCAACTCTGTATCAATTGCGAATACTCCTCAAATATGCACTCGTTTTCGTGGTTCATGGAAAATATCTTGTCAAATTGGAATTTGTACGAGTTTGCGGAGTTAAATATTCCGACATTCTCCTTGACTATAGATAGTTCTTGCTTTGCATCCTCGTTCAAGTCTTCATCAGGCAAGTCGAATTTTATGAGTTTTGATTCTGCAGCTACCGCCCTGATACGGCAGAATACGCGAATGTTTCCCTTTAGATCTTGCAATTGTGCGTGTAGTTTTCGTCTTTTGGTTTCTTGATCCACCAATTCCATCTTCATCCTTTTGATCTCAAACTTCATTCTTGATAATTCGTCGTTTCGTAATTTCGCTTTTCCATCTAGCTCTGAAATTAGGTCAGACTTACTTTGTATTTCAGACCTTGCCGAGTCAATTTCCGCTTGCTTGTCAGAGTTCTTGGACTTTAATTGTTGGGCAATAGATTCGTACTTGGCATACTCTTTTTGCTTCAGGGGGATGCTCTTGTCGGTAAGGTCATTGATTTTTGATCTGAGGCTATCAATACTGTGCTTGATAGAGGCAGAAGTTTCCTCATTACTTGACTGAACTTGTTGCAAATTTTCCTGAAGGGCTTTCTCTCTGTCCTTAAATTCTTGTCTAGCCAATTCCAACCTTTGTTGAAACTCGTTACCTAAACTCTCTTTCTTCTCTTGAAAACTTTTCAAATTAGCATTCAATTTTTCAATCGCATTCAAATATTTACTCTGCTTCTCTTGAAGAATCTTATCTATCTCTGTAGCGATTTCTTCTTTTCTCAGATTCAATCTCTCTTTATGCTTCACCATCATCTCTTGGCTCAGAATTTCAAACTTGTGTTGCAATTCTCTCATGGACGACTCTTCAAAGTTGTTTAGTTTTTCAACATTCAGTTTCAACTCTTTCAATTGTCTTTCTAGTTGTAAGTACTTACTTTCAACTGTAAAGTTGTTCAACGTTTGTGACTCTACTTGAGTCCTCAAAGATATAAAGCTGGTATTCAACAGATCTATCTCTCGCTCCTTTTCATTAATTTGTTGACGTAAGTGATGTACTTCGGATATAGTGAGTCCGGATGACTTGTTCATTGTCAGGGTGAATCTTCTCATCTTTGCTGTGTGGTGGTAAGGTACTTGCTTACTCTGTTTTGTTCGTTTATCTAGTCGTTGAGGTGACAAGTTGGTCTGTATTGGTTTACTTCCCCCAAGTCCAGTTCTAACAACATTTTCCTTGTCTTCTGAATCATATATGCTGCTCATTGAATCTAGTATTGGTAGGAGCAACAACACTTTACAGGTTTTGAATTTGTTTGGGTAATGTTTTGTTTATGTTTTTTATTTTTTTGATCCAAGTGTCGCAAAATTATTACGACATTGGTGATTCGCGACAAAGTCTATTCGAAAAGGCGATGGACTTTTCTGAGATGAGTTTAATTCACTGCTTCATTTGAACTGACCTCACTACAGCAACAATGACAAGCAATGGCAAACCAAAATCCATACTAAAAAACAAGCACGAGAAGTCTCCCGTGGCTAAATCTTCAAAGGCAGTTCAGCGGAGTGGAAGTGCCTCATTGGAATCTTTAGAGGATCAACGCGAAGAGGTATACAGCTCAGACGAAGTAGAGGAAGGATTATCAGATTTAGACGAGAATGATGAAGTGGACGTGGAGGTGGACGTGGCCGGAATATCGAGCGAGGAAGACTCAGACGAAGGAGATAGTGACCAAGATGGTGATGCCTCAGAAGACAGGGATGGGGCAGAGGAAGAGGATGATAGCTTCCCATTAAAGAAGAAGCAAAAGAAGAATAAAGATGATGGGTCAGAATCTTTTGCTAATGCATTTAATTCGATTATCAACTCCAAATTGAAAGCATACAACAGGAAGGATCCGATATTGGCAAGGAATAAAACTACCCTAAAGAAGCTCGAGAGTGAGAAATTGGAAAACAAGGCCAAAAGAGCATTACTCTTGGAAAAGAAACAGTTTCAAGATAAGCATAGAATAAAACAGTTATTGCCAGTTGCAGCAGATGGTTCCGATTCAAACCAGATTAGGGAGATTTTGGACAAGGAGAAACAAATGAAAAAAATTGCCCAAAAGGGAGTTGTCAAACTCTTCAATGCTGTCTTGTCTACTCAACTCAAAACAAATCAGGAAATCGGTAAAGTACATGCTGGACAGAGCCGAAAAGAAGAACTCATGACTGATGTTTCAAAGGAAAAATTCATGGATTTGATTGCAGCTGCGGGTGAGGATTAAAGAAGAATGGACTTCAGTGGGTTTTATCGTTTGTAGAAAATGTACGTATAGAATGAGTTTATGCGAGAATTAGACTGCTAACAGCGTATTTTTAATTCTTCCGAGAATTGTTGCACTTTTCATCACAAACAAAACTAAATTTAATTCATGGTGTGAGGGAGGGGGAGTGGAGAAAATCGGGAACCAACCAATATATATAAGTGCATTTCCTATGAACTTAGTTTGTCTTTGCAAATCGGATTCGCTCAAGAGTGGTTCATAATGCAGAGGTTTGGAAGCACATCACAGCACTCACTAGACAATATTGTGCCATATAAAACAAATGGTGAGCAAGAATCAAGAAGCCTTCCACAGTCCAGTGATGAGGAATCGTTTATCGAAATTGTAACTAGACAAGCGTCGCATGCAGAGTCAATAAACCCACATGAAGGCGACACTCTGCAAATGGAACTGCACTCTCCTGAAATTTTGATGACTTCAAGAAACCCACCAAAAAATCGATGGAGGATACTCTCGTGTATAATGTTCAATTTTACTGGAGGTTTTGCTGATGCCGCTCCTGGTGCCCTTTTGCCATACATTGAAGCCGCGTACAACATCAACTATGCCGTCACTTCGTGCATTTGGGTTGGCAATGCACTTGGCTTCATTGTGGTGGCTTCGATGTCGCACAAAATCCAGCCATGGTTGGGGAAAAAGTGGTGTTTCCCCGTAGGCAACTTGTGCAGCGTTATCTTTTATGCTTTGGTGTCTAGTGGTACAGTTTTCCCTGTTATTGTTATTGGATTCTTTTTTGGTGGATGTGGCTTTGCCATGGTTGCAGCACAGTGCAACATTTTTCTAAGTCGATTGGACAAGCAGTCGACTTACTTGTCTTATTACCATGGTGGGTACGGAATCGGTGCAACTGTAGCACCATTGGTCGCAACGACTATGGTGAATAGAGGGATTCCCTGGCACTACCTTTACTTGGTCTTGTTGGGAATGATGGTAATAACTGGATTCAATTTGTTCTTCTCATTTGAAGGAGCTGACGAAGATTTAAAACCATGGGACAACGACGAGCATGAGGCGATAGAAATGACTGATTTTGCAAACAGCCAAGCACCGCCAGCAGCAGGAGACGCAGCATCGAAGCAACGCCTGGAAATGATTTTGGCTTTGCAAAACCACGTGACCTGGTTGATTGCGTTTTTTTGCTTATTCTACCAAGGAGCCGAAGTATCGTTGGCTGGTTGGATTGTTACATATTTACTCGACTACAGGCATTCTAGTGAAAAGACAACTGGATACGTTGCTTCTGGATTATGGGCGGGTTTGACATTTGGGAGATTAGTATTGACTCGTCCAATACACAAGTTCATTGGATTGAAGCGAGGCGTTATCGTCATATCTGTTTTGTCAATTGTATTGATTGGTTTAACATGGAGTATTCCATTATTCATTCTTGAGGCTGTGTTGGTGTCAGTAGCAGGTGTCTTTATTGGTCCCAATTACCCACTATTGGTTACATTCAGTGCACAAAAGGGGCTAATCCCTAGAAAGATTCAATTGGTATCATTGACTATAATGACAGCATTTGGATCTTCCGGGGGTGCTTTATTCCCATTCATTGTTGGTTTGTTGTCTGAAAAAGTGGGGACATTTGTTGTTTTGCCCGTTTTTATCGCTTTGTATACGTCAATGACTATACTTTGGTTAATGTTGCCTAATTTGGAGAGACAGGGAGAAGCAAAGGGTAAATTTGCCTTTTTGAATAGAATTTGGTAAAAAGAGTTTGTATAGAAAAGTGAGGAAACTTCTAGCCCGCACAAAACATTTTATTTAAGCATCAAGTAACACGTAAAGTGAGTTACAGCACCACACCACAAACATACACACATCTTCTCTTTCTCCACTCTCAGTCATGGCCATTGAAAAACTAATCAAGCAAGGGGACGAAGCCATCAAGTCCAAGGACTTTCTAGCGGCGATCCAATTGTTTTCACAAGCAATCAAAGAGAACCCACAAGCATTTCAAGCATTTCTCAAACGCTCAGTGGCGTATCAAAAGTTGAAGAATTTAGACCAAGCAAAAGGTGATATTTCTACAGCATTTACCATTGCAAATGAAAGAGGTAGACGAGCAGATATTGGGTTGTGCTATTTCAAGTTGGCATTGGTGTATTACCAAGAAAAGAAGTTGAAGATGGCATTGTCACAATTCAACAAGGCTCAAGAGTATGATTGTAAGGAGTCGACTATCGAGTTTTGGAAAAACAAGTGTGAATTTGACTTGAAGAACCATCCGGAATGGAATGTCGAGGAGAGTGATGATGACGTGTTTCAGACTGATGACCAGGACGTGGTTGAAGAGGAGAAGAAGGATGTTCCAAAGATCGAAGAGTTGGGTGACAATGAAATGGAGGAGAAGAAGCCAGACGGAAAGAGTGCGGAGAAGGGCAAGACTTTGACGAGCTCCACGAATGTGGACGTTATCAACAAAATTGCACCATTGAATGTCAAAATTAGAGATGATTGGTACCAGACCAATGACGAGATTATCATCACCATATATGCCAAGAGTGTCAAGGAAGAGAAATTGAACGTCAATTTTGAGGCTGAATCGGTGTCAATTTCATTTCCTGGTGCCAATGGATCGGAGTACAATTACAACCTAGATCCATTGTATGCTGAAATAGAGGTCGCGGAATCCAAATACAAGCTTTACTCAACCAAGTTGGAAATTACATTGAAAAAGAAGGCACCAGGTAAATGGTCGTCGTTGGAAAAGGAGCAAGCAAGCAAGACTCAAGAAGAGGCAGATGCAACTGCGTATCCAACCAGTTCCAAAAAGAAGATTAATTGGAATAATTTCAAAGTTGACGATGACAAGGATGGAGAACAAAAGGATTTCTTCCAAACTTTGTTTAAAGGGATGGATGAAGATTCTAGACGTGCAATGATGAAGTCGTATGTGCAAAGTAATGGTACTGTGTTGACTACTAATTGGGAAGAGGCTCGGAATAAGGAATTTGAAACGTCTCCGCCAGATGGAATGGAAGCTAAGAAATGGAGTGTATAATGAGGGGAGTAGTTTGTAATTGAATTCGTTGTGAATGATGTTTGAGAGTAAGTCCTTTCTTATCACAAGATGCTTATAAGTCCGCTTTGCTTTGTGTGCAGTACCCGAGTCCATTTATTCTGGGGGAACCCATTTTTTTTTTTTTCTTCTTCTTCTTTATTCTTCGCCTTTGGCTCTAGTTTGCTTTTGCAAATCTGAACCCCAGGATTCAATTCGAATACGATATTACTCAACGTGAATGAGCTTTAGGTCTTTACCAACTGCTAGACTATTCAATTCTATAACACATTTCCGCAAAATGCACATTGAATCAATACCAATGAGATGGGGGCTGGGTGACAATTATGCCTATTTGTTGATTGACGATAAATCAAAGAATGCCTGGTTGATTGATTCCGCGGTTCCTGAGGAGGTGACTTCATACATCAACTCGAAGAAGCCTCAATTCGAGCTCAAGGCTATTGTGAACACCCATCATCACTATGATCATTCTGATGGTAACCCATTTTTCCACAAAAAGTATCCTGACTTACCGATTATTGCTGGAAAGGATTCGCCATTGGTAACATATACTCCATCACACGAAGAAGTGATTGATTTGGGTGACAACTTGTCAATTACTGCCTTGCATACTCCATGTCATACACAGGATTCCATTTGTTACTACGTTAAGGATGGTGAAACTGGTGAAAAGGCGGTGTTCACGGGTGACACGTTGTTCATTAGTGGCTGTGGTCGGTTCTTTGAAGGGACCGGAGCTGAGATGAATGTGGCATTGAATAAGATCTTGGCGAAATTGCCCAAGGATACCAAAGTGTACCCGGGTCATGAGTATACCAAGTCCAATGTCAAATTTTCCAGCAAGATCCTACAAAATGAGGCAATTGACAAATTGAAGTCATTTTGTGAGGAGAATGAGTATACTACAGGGAAATCAACCATTGGCGATGAGTTGCAGTACAACCCATTTATGAGATTGCTGGATCCACAAGTGCAGGAAAAGACTGGCTTCGCTGATCCTGACAAAGTGATGGACAAACTCCGTCAAATGAAGAATAACTCTTAATCAACACTGTCGTCTTATCTTTGGTTTGCACACCGTATATATATATATATATTATTTCACCTTCTGTAATAAAAATAACTGGATTAACGAAGCCCCCCCCCCCCTATAGAAACTTGTTGCTATTCGAAGAAGAAATGAGGTATAATCTTCAAACCCTTACAGAACATTTTCACAAAATCATTCTACAAGATGATCCAGCTAAGGTTCACTCTATGGTTCAAAAAGCTACATCATTCGGACCACCAGAAACTTACTCTCAGCTATGTAATTTCATTCTTGGGTTTATTAGGCCGCCACCGTTCTCCTAGGTAAACCAACCACGATTCTACTTCAACTGAACTTGCTAAAAAAAAAAAAAGGTCCAAAGTAAAGGCCATTTGAGTTCCACTAAAATCTTGTTCAACAAGCCCCTCCGTGCAAATCGTAATCTGATTTTTATTTCGTTTCAAGTAGACTATGTCTAACTCGGTAATTTCATTCTTTTTTTGTCAAATTTATGGTGGGTAGCCTTCCATTCCTGCCCAGAATAAAGCCAATCGAAAAATCGTTGATGTTGTTTTCCTCAAGATCCAAAAACTCTGGGGATCGACAATTAAACTCACATTCCATGGTTTCGATCAGATTCCGCGAAATGCCCAAACTTTTCAAGCTCGATATATAATCCTATGCAGGTCGGTATACGATCAAGTGAATTATTTGCAAGGCATGCAAAACTTTACGGAAGGTGGAAATCTTGACCTTGAAAGCAAGAAAAGTTACTTCATTTGAAGGTAAATTGATGCTGTTTAAGCAAGAATCCAGCTGAGAAGTTGCCATTAATTTCTCGTGAATCATTGCTGCTTAGGTCCAATTCTTTCACGGAGGCAGGGAATTCAACTTCAACAAGCTCCTTTATCCTACAATTTGCAAGATTCAAAATCTCCACAAAGGGTGGTACCTTTACATTGTCCATAGATAACCGAAAGCTACTCTTCACCCCCAATTTCCTTAATTGTAGAGATTGGCATTCGGTTCGAAAAGTTGTGGCCTCAAACTCTCACAAAATTCGGTTTCCTTGCATCATCAACCACCAACTCCGGCTGCCATATTTCAATCAATTCCAAATCATATTCAAACTTACCCATGGCGAATTTTTCATATTCTTCAAAGATCCCAGAAAGGCACCAACCCTGGAGTAATTTTCTCATCAAGCCGATAAACAACCCAGTTCGATGTTTACCTTTATTTGAATGGATCAAAATGGGATAATTTGAATTATCTAAGATTAAATGTAGTGCCGTAGTCAAACTTCTCAAGCTCTGCTCATTCTCCTGTTGGTTTATAAATGGTTCCTGTGATGATTCCATGGGCAAGTTGTGGAATGTGATTGTTTTCTGAGCGTTGATCCAGTTGACGTATTGGTTGTATATGTCCGTTGATCCGTCTTTATCCTTTTTCTTCTTCTTTGTCTTTTTGCTTGAAGTGGCGGAGGTTGTATTAGCAGCAGCAGTAGCAGCAGTAGCACTGGCAGCACTGGCAGCACTGGCAGCACCGGCAGCGGTAGCGGCAGCCGCGGCATCGTCATGATGACCCAAGTCGCCGAGATATATAATGGTTCTCAAATTGAGCTGTTGTAGAAAGGGGTAGTTGATCTCCATTGGGAATCCAGATCTATAGATGCCATCTTCTACGAGGGAGAAGTTCAATGGTGGGACGAGATTTAGCTGGATTTGTGATTCAACAATTGTTGATGCATTGTCATTATGTGACGAATCATTTTGCAGGCTGGTAGATGAACTTTTCTTCGCGCAGTCGAATTGAGATAACGTATCCATGGTGGTCATTGTATGTCTTTGAAGGCAGAGTAATGGACTCTAAGGAGTTGGATCTCTTCTTGAGAAACCAGGAATGGGAATCGAAGTTTGATATTTGAAGTTGGCCAATGTCTATATGCAGTACGAACAAGAAAAAGAAAGACGCTTAAAATTTTTCACCAGTGCGGAAAACCTCACTGTAACAGAAGAAGCTTTGCCTTTTAATAGACTATACAGTTGAGATACTTGGTGGGACAGAATTATAGCTAGTCGTGTAAACAAGAATCCACTCACACTACCACGAAATAATTTTCCCTTACACACACACATACTCCCAAACATGTCCTGGATATTTGGTAAACCTCAAAGCAGCGATGATGCACTCAAGGAAAAACTAGGATTCGATCCAAAAGAAGTGTCCGATGTCCAAACCATCATATCTACACCAGGGTCAATCAACAGCACCACCACCACCAACAACAACAACGGCAACGGCAACGGCAACACATCAAACTCATCCACATCCTCCTACGCATCTTTACTCCATCCATTAGCAGGATTAGACAAGGGAATCGAATACTTGGATCTCGAAGAAGAGAAGTTGAACCAAGTTGAAGGCTCACAAGGTTTGATCCCCAGCAGATCCTGGACCGACGATTTATGTTATGGAACTGGTGCCGTCTACCTCATGGGTTTAGGAATTGGTGGATTGCTGGGGTTCCAACATGGGTTGAAAACATTGCCAGCAAACTCTCCCGGTAAAGTGCAATTGAACCACATTTTGAACAATATTACGAAAAGAGGCCCGTTTTTTGGAAACAATGCCGGTGTGTTGGCATTGACTTATAACTTGATTGACTCTACTTTGGATGGTGTAAGGGGTAAGCACGATGATGTGAATTCGGTAGTGGCGGGTGCGTTGGCTGGTGCGTTGTTTAGAAGTAGTAGGGGTTTGAAGCCTATGGCGTACTCAAGTGTGTTGATGGCGGGTGCTGCTGGATTGTGGTGTGGCATCAAACACAGCTTGAAGTGAGTGATGCGAGAACTAGAGACGAAAGATGGAGAAGGAGAGGGGAGAGGGGAGAGGGGAGAGGGGAGCTGGGAGAGGTTTTTGCTTTTTGTATATAAAGGAATTGGGAGAATGCAGAGTTGCTTGATATTGGAGTAATATAGAAATCTAATAGCAGCACACTGTGTTTGAAATTTTGTAATGTCTATAAAATAACCCCCTAAACACATTGTAACTCAAACAGTTTGTACTGTCTGTCCATTGATTTGATTTGCAGATACAGCCTGAACTTCAAGCTTGGCATCCATTTCTACTCCAACAGCGTTGTCCTTTTGTAGCTTCTCCTGTGCCTCATGTCCATCCAGCTTCTTTTGTCTCTTCAACTTGTGTTTTGGTATCTCTACGGTTCTCTTTGTTGGAGAATCTTTCAAATCTTGCAACATCTCCTCTTGGTTACTCTCCCAATTACCAAAAAATTGTAAAATGTCATCGCGGCGTGTCCCTGTTATATAATTTTCGAAACCCTGTGCATTTTGAAAGAAATGCAGTTTTTGACAATTCTTATTCATTATCTGGAAAATCTTGTCCTTCTCTTCATCTTTATCAACACTGTTCAACTCGTCAATAATTTGCTTCATTTGTTCAAAGTTTTTCAGTTGCGAAAACTTTTGATAGTATTTCGATTTTCCAGGAATCATATTCATAATCATAAACTTTGTGCCTGAATACAAATGATACTTTGAACCAAGTTCATATACTTCATTGATTAGGCTGTGTTGCAGCTGGACTGACTTTGTGGGCGTCTTCTCTTTCTCCATGCTGGCAAATACTGAAGGATTAGCTTCGGCTGCTTCTGCAATCATGATACTCAATCTATCGTTATTCAACGCTTGCTGTACAGTCTGTAAATCAGATCGCGATTGAAAATTACCATTGAGCACCACACTAATCCCAAACGATTCAATCAAGGGAATCAATTTTGGCAAGTAATTCCAAATTGGATCTTGACGATTTCTCATAATGGGAGTACGACAATGAATCGTCAAATTGGCAATACCCGTAGTGGAGCAAATTTGTTCCACCAATCGACGCGACGCTTCATAATTGGGTAATAATCTGATTTTGCAACTGATGGGTTTGTTATTTGGTTTGCCAACTTTTTCAACCAAGTTGGTCAAGATTGAACAGAGTAATTCAGGTGTCTTTAATAGCTCGGCGCCCATTCCTGAATGGGTTGAAAATGATTTAGGACACCCACAGTTTAAGTCTATTCCATCAACGTCTTGAATCACTTTTTCAGCTGCCGCGACTGCAAGATTGGGATCGGATGTGCCTAGTTGCAAGATGAGCTTGCCAGCTTCATTGGGGTGTTTGCGGAAAACAACAGTCTCATGGTTCTGAGATTGCTTCTTGTTGTTGTTGTTGCTGTGATTATGATTATTTTGAGCTATATAGTCAACAGTCCCTAGTTTTGCATTTTCAACTCGAGTAGTAGAAATCAATTTTTTGTCAATCAACTCTGGTGACCAAACTAAATCACAATCATATTTGAGCGATAGTAGACGTATGGGAAGCTCGCCACTTCTGACCATTGGCGCAAGACATACTTTGTTAGTATAGTCGACCATCCTCTTGAGCATACTTCTGAAACAAAATTGTGTGATGATGATAAAGTTGCGAGGGATTTCTCTAAAGAAGAGCATCTGGTACAACAGGATGGAACGTCTTTTTTTTTTCTTTTCATTTTTTTGTGCAAAAATGCACGCTCTGGAACAGTCAATGTCGCAAGATTGTGTGTCGTATTTGTTTTGTTTGCTTTGTGCATAACGTACTGAGCCGAGGAGTAACGGGCACAAAGTACAAATGTGGCCTTGTTTTGTGTAGAGAGGAGTACAGTGTAATAAGGTTTCCTTATTGGGAAGAATTGATCGGTGTTTACTCAGAAAGCTGTATAGGCAGAATCAAGCTAATAGGGAGATTCATAGAGACCTTGGTGTATTGGCGTCATTATCTCATTGTTGATAGTGAGACATTACCCTTGCGTAATGGATCCAGCCTGGTCTAACCAGGTACGATTCGAATGTTCGTTGTTATTTCCGGTGTTCTACATCGGCTTGCATAATGAATTGTTTTCCAATATCTCTGCTGAATAATATAGTTGCAAAAGAGAACTGATCCAATCACGGGATTGTCATATGGAAGAATAAGTTATAGAAGAAAAATCACTTTCAGGGAATTGAGACATCCACAAATGGAAACACTATGTGTGATAATTTCATAATGGATAAGTGGTGCTATTTAGCTAGTACTGCAGAGACGGATATACAATTTTTCCTTAATCATGATAAAAGATTTTTCTTTGAGTTAAAGAAATGGGGGCATCTTAATCCGCCCCAAACTGTTGTATTTTTTTTTTTTTTTTTTGCAATTGAATTTTGAAAAGTTGCCAATTGCATTCTTGGGTGTGCCAATGGCATGGTCTTAGTGAAGACGGAGTGTACAGAGCATGAATTGTAGAACATCATAAGGCAAGTTCCTGAATCTTTGGACACCATTTCAATAGCCTCCGCAATCTACCCCACCCCATTAAAAACAAAATAAAAACAACATACAAGAAAAAAAAAAATTTTTCTTTTGTGTAAATGACTGACTGACTGACTGACTTTTTTTTTTTTTCTTTCTGATCATCACAAACACAAAAGCAATCTGACATTATTTGTGTTTACATCTTGTGTCATAGACTTTCGAATGCAAAGAACAGTGGCGAGATTAGCTCTTGCTAGAATTATAGTGGAAAAATCTCTCGACACCAAGAGGTAGACAGCCCTCTTACCCTATATTGCAATTGAGTAGTGTAAAGAAAGAATAATTCATGACTGGAAGCATACGCCATTACAATTGTTAACCTTGCAAAGCTGCATAGCGGTTGTTTCCCTTATTTGTCATTTCTTTTGCAGATTGTGCCATTGGCTACAAACCCACAACAAAAAGAAAGAATAAAAAAAAAAAAAAAAGAAGAGAATGGTCATCTGTGTTTCACACTATAGCCTGTTTTCAATGACTAACAGAAAAGTACGCATGACAGTTGGCTAAGTTATAGTCTAGGCCATTACCATTACGACTGTATGTTCTGAAATATTCTCGAAACACGTGGAATATAAATGTAACATCCATGCAACTCTAATCCCCACATACTCAAGAATGTGAAATTTCTTTTGTTTTTAATATGTATTAGTCATTCATACCAAACACAAATGTTGTGTCTGATTTCTTTTTGTTCACACTGACCGTTGATTCACTTATTGCTGTTTTTGCAGTGTTAGTTTCAGATATTCACGGTTGCACGAATTCTTTTGCTTCTTCTTCTTGTTTAAGTAAATTAAATTTCTTTTTTTTTTTTTTTTCTTTTTATATCGCGTAGGAAGAAGAAGATAAAAAAAAAATTTTTTTCCTTCTTTTTCTTCTTATCGCGTAATTGATGTCATAGCCTGAGCTCTTATCAGAGTCTACAGACAAAATTATCCAAGTGTAGTTAACTTGAAAGAAAACCTCTTCTCATTGGACTTGATTTAGTACATCACAACCTTAGCTATAGCCACACAGCCCCTCCCCACCCCTTCTCCTCATGTAACTAGGAAGTGGATATTTCTCCCGACACGGAAAATAGAAAAAAAAAAATTTTATTTCTCCATCGTATCAAATAACCCCTCATGCATATCGCACTGCCTGATAAAATTCAGAAAAAGTTAAATTTCTTTTTTTGTCCTCCTCTCTCGGGAAAAAGAAGAAGAAGAAGAAGAAAAAAAAAAAAAGAAACAAAACTGGGCAGAAGCTGCATAATAAATACTGCATATAACACAAGATGACCCTTTACTTAACAATAAACAACACAAAAAAGAAATTTTTTCTTACACATTTTCTATTGTTCACCGTCACATTTTTTTTTTCTTTTTTTCTTCTTAGTCTCTTTTGTTTACAAAACAAAAAACAAAATAAAAATAAAAATAAAATTAATATATAGCATCTTTACTGATTACTAAAGACATACCAAAATTTTATAATTCTGGCGTCTTTTACATTGAGAGAAAGAGACAGAGAAAATTGTAACAGTATATTACAAATATCAAATACCCAGATATCAAAAATATAAATTCTTACTCCATACATACCACTTTCTTTTTCTTTTGCAAAAGATACCATTGAACTTGCAATTGTTACAAACTATATATTAATTCCTTGATAATGTCATTCTACTACTATCCAATGACTTCAGATACCAACAATAAAGAGCATGCTCGCCATATCAATGGCAGTATCATACCCAATTGTCCCACGCCCAACAACTTTGAAGACAAATTACCATCAACAATAGAGTCTCATGATAGAAACGGTACCATGAATATACCCAAATGTCTAGTGTCTTCACCAGTACACTTCAATGCAAATGAATCTGTTGAATACTTTGGTCCTCATTTACCTTCATACTACAGCAAAAGCGACAACAACTCGAGCAACATCACCAACAACAACACAACGTCAACCACACCTTCTTCTTCATCCACTTCTCAACCATTGTCTCCACCATTGTCGCCATATCAAAGAAATGCTGAGTTAAAGAAACCAGTCCAATTGCCACAATTCTTCAACAAGGACCTTAAAGTGGAGTCAAAGCAACAGCAACAAAAACCGCAGCAGTACCAACACCACCACCACCACCACCACGGACCATCCTTCCTCAATAGTGGCAAAGAGTTCAAGTTGGAAAACTTCAAAGATTACATCCTCACAGTCAACATCAAGCCAACACGAAAATACTACAACCATCAATTTGAATTTCTCGACAAGTACTCGACCAATGCTTCAATTGAAAACAAAAACTACATTGCGTCTTTACCAACGCGCAAATACAAAAGGAGATTCAATTACGACTCAAACGATGAATTGGCAACTGAAGACGCAACAACAACAGCAACAACAACAACTAGAGGAACACGTACTAGACGTTTACCCAAATCGTACGAAGATAGCGACTTGGACACATCTTCTGTCGTATCATCCAGCCCGAAAAGGAGACGGAGACCAAATGGTGGTGTTGGAACTGGTGCTGGTGGAAGTGCAGCAGCCAGTGGCAGCAGCACACCCATACCCATTGCAGTGCAACAACAAATGTTGATTGACGAATCGATACCTGACTATTCACCGGATGCATCGAAAACACTACCTGCCAACAACACCAAGTGTCTCAAGATTGAATGGAAGGGCCAACCAATGGACTTGTCACACGACCCAAATTTGTCGAAATACCCCAATTTGCATCCTGCTGAAATTGTGCTTGCTAGTATCTTGAGACTACCCATTGCCGTATACATGGATTCGAAAAGGCGATTGTTTTTTGAAAAAGTCAACAAGATCAAATTGGGCAAGACTTTTAGAAGAACTGATGCACAGAAGGCATGTAGGATCGATGTGAATAAAGCATCGAGACTATATGCTGCGTTTGAGAAAGTTGGGTGGTTGGAAGATGAGTTGTTTGACGATTATAGAGACTAAAGTTCTTTATATATATATATATATTTTACTCGTTTAATTTGACTTTTTAATGTGAAATACGTTGATAAGAAGTAATCCCTTTAGTCTCTTCTAGTCATCTTATACAAACCAAGTGTCTTCTTTTTTTTTTTTGAAAGTAAACAAAGCAAATTGTATCCACTTTTAAACTCTCAAACTCTCAACTCTCCCTCATCATCCTCAATTGGATCAACATTATCCTTATACATATAAAACTGACCAAAAATAATCACATCCTCTACAATAGTTCCCAAACTGCCCAATAACCAACTCATATTCAACACAATATAATTCCAATCACTCCTGAAAAAGATGATTTGCCCGGCATAAGTCAAGTTACCCAATGTGGAAAATAAAAAAAAGAGCAAACTGAGTCCATAAACCGATTTGCGTTGGTAGTTTTGGATGATTTGCGGGATACGTGCCCCCAAGTAGAGGAAAGCTGACACATAGCCCATAATTTGTGGACCGAGTGCAATTGGGTCGTCTTGTGGTGGTGGATTTGGATTGGTTGGATCGGTGGGTGGTTGTGGCAGTTGCTGTTGGTTTGGTGACGAAAGCAAAAATCCAGCCATTCCGCATGCAACGACGAAAATGATGGGTAAGATATATTTCACGACAATTGAGTGTTGCTGTGGTTCCAATGCGATATCAGTCAATGTCGAACTTCTTCTTCTATGAAGCAACGGTGCTGATTCATCAAGGTACTCGCGTTCTCCTTGGCCATGCTCATGCTCTCTGTTCGCCGTTTGGTTATGATCATGATGATGATGATGCTGATGGTGATGATGCTGTTGATGACGATGTTGAAGATTCGTGTAATAAACATACGACCAAATCATCAACGCATCAGCCACACAGAACCACACTGCAAGAAAGATAACCTCGGGAAGCAAATTTGCCCAAATAGCACCTATCAAGTTGAACAAATCCCCAGCAAACCAAATGGAAATGAACCCAATTGCTATACCTTCTGCTGATTTCAAGCGCCATTGCTCAATGAGTTGCGGCATGAGGAGAACTATCCAGCATGCTAGTGATGTGGAGCCCATGACTCCGCTGATCTGGGCTCGGAGCTGGGTAGTGTTATTGAGCAAGTGAAGCATTGGGTGGGCAAGAAAGACAAACACTCTTGATAAGAAACGGAGTTATTACGAGTTGAAGAAATTTTTTTTTCTAATTTTTTTTTTTTTTTTCCTTTATTTCCCATCTCCTCGATAGTGTCGGCGGCCCTCGAGGCGTGAAACACACCAATCTGTGAGAGAAGTGGAAGAAAAAGAAGAAGAAAAAAAAATTTCTTCTTTTGTTGCTGATCTTGCACCGCGGTTAGATGCCGAAAAATGCTTCATTACTGCTCATTTTGCGCGGCAATTTTCTTGACTTGAGTTCAACCCTCCCTGAAAAATAGACACCAGGAGCAGAGTTGTCAAGATTGCATTCGGTTTCTTCTAGAGGCACTTAACTTGCTCTGCGAATATTTTCAACTAAATAATGACTACTTTTTAAATGTGAAGCACATTTGTCGAATTTTTGCCCTGACTTTCGTGCAAAGTTTTTAGTAGTAGAAAATGAATCATAAAATATAGCATTTGGAGAATGATCGTGGCTGAAAACTTTATAATTGATAGACAGAGGTGCCATAACTTACATATTGCTCAATGAGTTGATGATTACCGTCTTGATGGAGCTGGGATTTTTTGTGGACCTTCCGAATCTAGTAATTTGCAAGTTTTCCATCACAGAGGTTATTCTTTCAACCGTTGAAGCACTCACTACTGAGTCATCAATATATCCTACCAGCAAAGTAGTTCATCGATCAAACCTAATTAGCATTAGCTTTCTGTGTCGAGCTTTCGATTTTTCTCTCTGAGGAACATTTGCCACAAATCAAAATAAAAAAGTATGTCGGCGACGCACGGCAATCTTGTAAGCAAATTTACTACAATGTTATTTCTTCTTCACTTTACTTAATGAAGGTAATTCAAACATTCAGCTTGACATGCCTAGCTTGAGAATTACGCCATCACTAAAGTGAATTGTTACTAAGGTCGATATAATAAGTCACGTGTAAATACTCAAATACTGAACGTGTTTTACAAAAACGCCAAAACAAAACAAAAATTTGCCTCAATTTCCGTCGAAAGCAAAAATGTGAACCACACTTTTTTTTTTTTTTTTCATTGAATTTTTTTTTTTAGTCAAACTAGTACAACACATCCAACGATACGTATATAAAGGTTGCAAAGCTTAGCACAAACATAGAACCTATAGCCATAAGCATTCAGAGTAGCCAACACCTGCTAGTACGTATAACTCAAATCAGAATGCAAAAGACTCGAGCCTAGCCCAAAAGACTGAATCTGAATTTTTTGAAAGAACGATGAAAAAAATTTTTTTTTTTTTTTTCATTCTACGAATAGTGGCAACCAAGAAGATATACGAAGCAGTGCCGTACCATTGGAGACGTCACATATGAAACCACATACGGACTATGACGGAGGTGAAAACTCACATCCTTTCCTTTGTTACTTTCTATTTTTTTTTTATTTTTGTTTCTGCTTGTAGTTGACTTACACACACACGTATGGAGTCATTTTTGCCTACACAAAAAACAAATCACGTCAAACTGTGGCGTCAACCAGATTTTAACAACGGAATCTTTTATAAAACAAATGAACGAATGAATGGTATTGGAAAATCGGAATTCACCACGGATACTTGAAGAAGTCATAACAACCCAGTATTGAGTGTCCCTTTTACCATCGGAGGCTGCTGTCACCTACATGTATTAAATATTTCACCAGGGAACCGAATCAGAATAAAGAGATCCATAGCGGCTGGGCATCGATGCTTTTATGAATAATCAAAACCAAAAGGAAAAGAGTAATACTAACTATTACCAAGAAGAGCAACACTTGCAACTGCAATCCCAACAGCAACCGCAACTACATTCGCAGCAACAGCGTGTGCCTATACCACGATTAAACAGCTTTTCAAATCGTCGGCAAACACTTGTACTACCATCTACTAGAGTCAAGGAGACGGAAGTTGTTACTACTCCATTGGTATTGCCATCACAGAGTGCACCTAGTCCATCAAATAGCTCACAAGTACGCACCAATCTACAGAACCAGCAGCAACAGCAGCAACAGCAGCCATTGCGATACCAAGAGCTATCAAGGAAACAACAACAACAACAGCAACATCAACCACAGTTTCTCCCTCAATTAGGGTCGCCTTTTACCAAACTGCATTTGTCGCAGTCGCCAATATTAGCACCGCATTCGCCACGCACGTATCCCAGTCTGGATCAGAACCAACAATTTAAACGAAAAATGAGTTATACCATGTTTTCACCAAATCCAGCAAGTCCGTTGTACCCCAGTACATCCTCCCAATCGCAAAACAACAACAACAACAACAATAACAATAACAATAACAATAACAACAATAACATTAACAACAGCATTAAAAGTAGAAGTACTGGCGTTTCGTCACCGGCTGCGAAAAGACCCAAGACGGATGATTATTTATTTGGGAGTGCCCATGGGTCTCCATTTGCGGAATCACCATTACCCACATCATCTACCTTACAACCCAACATCAGCTATACAAGGCGATCAAACACGTTGAATTCAAGCCAGCAGAAACCGGGAACATCTTTAGCCACAGCTGCTGGTATTGCATCTATCAAGAGGGAGAAAACACCCGAAAATGAAAACGAGGATGAACGGTTTCTAAGGTTGGCTAGGGATGCCTTAGTCGCCACTGCGCAAGGCATTGGTCGAAATAATCGCGAAGTGGTAGATCCAACTATACTGGATTTATTAACGAGGCTACAGTATGCATCGTCGCCACACGGAAACCCCATTTCTAAACTGGAAGGGTTGGAAGCTAATGATGCGGGCCAGTTAAACATTCAAGGCTTTTATCAACTGTTTCCTAATTTGAGTAACAATGTGTTCACTGGTGGTGGTAGCAGTGGTGAAGTTGAGCGGTCGAATAGTATCACCGGCAGTGCTCTGAATAGGAATCAGCATTTGGGGGAGAGAGGAGCAGGTGGAAGGGAAGGGGTGGCACTGACAGGTAGATACAATCCTGCCGGTAATGAACTGGGATGGAACTTTCTCATTGGAGAACCATTACAGTTAAAGAGTGATGCTGAGCGACAACGCGAGAGTAAAAACTATTCGCACCATGGTAGGCCGACTGGTCGTGCATCTTCAATCACATCTTTACTCAATGATACACCACTGCCAATACTGACAATGTCGTTCAGTGCTACTACGCAAGCATCTGAAGCGACTACAAAAGCACCACTTCAGCAAAGAAAGAGCTTGGCTGGTGGTGGTGGTGGTGGTGGCGCAACGATACGTAACAATGCCACATCAACATTGACGACAACAACAACAACGGCATCGTCATCGAAAAGGAAATCATTAGCTTTCAAAGACCAAACTCGTAAATTTCCGTGTGATAAATGCTCAATGGTATTTCGTCGATCTTCAGATTTGAAAAGACACGCAAAGCAGCATCTCAGTGTTCCTGCGAATATATGTGAGTTTTGTGGTAAAGGTTTTGCTAGGAAAGATGCATTGAAGAGACATATGGGTACTTTGACGTGTAAAAGAAATGCCAATAAGAAGTTGTATCTTGATAATTTGGCATTCTTGAAGAATGGAGACGTGGGGAATGACGATGAGGATGATGAAGATGATGCTGATGAGAGTAGTGCAAGCGAAGCTGATAATAATAATGATGATGAGGAGGCGGGTGCCATAAGGGGTAGTGACAAACGAAAAAGAATGAGTGATTTTAATGAGGAAGGACGGGAAGAGGGCGACGACGAGGATGAGGATGAGGATGAGGATGATGATGACAGAAAGCCCAAATTTCCTACATTTGGATACCAAAGGGGCAACTGAAATGGCCATGGACTCGTATCGGTTCATTTTTGAATCTTGTTTTGCAGTCAGTTTTGCACAAGGACCTAGTCTATAAGACCCATTTTGTAGTATTACACATTCACAGCCATATTGCAAGTTTTGCATCCAAAATGGAAAACCTTAGTATTAAACGTTGTAGTTTTTGCGTCAATGCCGGTTGAGGATCCATTTACCCCACTTTTCCGTTTGTTTTCACTTTATAGCAGAATCCTTGTGACGTCAAAAAAAAAAAAATAAAACAGCTTTGCACCTCGGATCAAAGGGAATCCGGAATAAATTTTCCGTTTTGTGCATCTATTGGAATATTTTTATATACAATGAGCTTTCATGAAGTTATTTTTTTCATGAAACGTAAACAGAAAAAAAAATAAACAAACGATCTATACGAACTGTAAGCATAAATCATATACACTCTGACAGCACAACTATGCCGTCTTCCAAGAAAAATAGGATTCAGACAGAGAAATCAGAGGCTGAGAAAAGACTACAGTTGGCTGTTATCGAATGTAGGGGTCAAGATGACCCGAATGTTGCCGCGATTGCACGGAAGTATGGAAGACACCCCGCAACATTAAGATGCCGTTTGAATGGACGCAAACCACGCAAACAAGCTCATGAGCACCAACAATTACTATCAGGAAAGCTGGAGATTCTCTTTGTTAGGCAGCTACAGGCAGCAGATGCCGCGCATGAGGGTTTAACAGCTAATGAGATACGAGACTTTGCGCAAGATATTTTGGATGCATTAGGTGAAAATAAACAAGTGGGTGCAAACTGGCCCTACAGAATGATAGAAAGAATTCCGTGGATAAAAATGCTATCAGCCAAACCGACGGACCAGAATCGAACCTACGGGGTCTCTTTATCCGCGATTGAGGCGTTTTTTCAGCGCTATGAGGATGCTGTAAACTGGTACAATGTTGATCCATCAAATATATGGAACATGGATGAAACGGGAATTTTCATACACCAATTTGGGAAAAGAAGAGTTGCCGGTGATAGTCTGAAGAAGAGTACAAATGTTAAGAGTGGAAATAGCAAGGAAATTACCACTGTTGTGGAGGCAATCTCGGCTGCTGGTGAAAAGATAAATTCACCCCTTGGAATCTTCAAGAGTAAGACGCTTATGACCAACCAAACTTCGGAAGATGAGACATTGCCATGGGCCTATGCCGTTAGTTACAAGGGCTGGATAACTGGAGACCATTTTCAGCAGTGGGTGCGGAAGATATTTATCCCACAAACGAAACCAGAAAATTCTGAACACTACCGAATTTTAATCATGGATAACCATGCAACCCATTATAACGAGGAGCTCAAACTGCTCCTACTTAAAGCTAGAGTGATTCCAATTTATCTACCGGCCCATTGTCTGCATTTAATGCAACCATTGGATGTTGCTGTCTTCAAACCAGTAAAGCAATATTATAGGGAACTCCTTGCCCGTTATTTTCGCTTACAACAAAGGCACGTCGTGGAAAAGAGTAAGTTCATCGAATTCTGGAATGGCTCCAGAAATCAAGGCATGACAGAGAAGAACATCTCAAGTGGATTTGAGAAGTCTGGGTTGTGGCCAATAAACAAGCAAATGGTGTTGGAAAATCCGGAGTTAACGAAGCAGAACTTGGACTTTTCTGATGGATACGCACCATCAGGTGATTCCCTGGATGCGAATTTATGTATAAACGGTGTCTCTGGTGTTGTCGACCCGAAGGAAAATTTGAATTCAATTGAAAGATATAAAAGAGCTATTCAACGTGAAAATATGCACGATTCAATGATCAATAAACAACTAGTAACTCAACTTCGAAAGGAAAATGCACTTCTCAGAAGTCGTTTAGAGCAAGCAGAAAACCCTCGGAAGCCTGAGCGCAAGCGGAAAGTCCAATCCATGGAGAATGGTGAGGTTGCTTTGTCTTCAGAGGTTATTCCGAAAGTTAAAAAATTGAAGCAAGATATCAAGAATGAAGGCGCAAAGGAACGGGGAAGAAGGCCACTAGCAGATATAACTAACACTGCTTAATCACCCTATTCAAAAAACAGTGCGATCAGAGCTTGTTGAGGTCTAGTTTTATAGAGTTTTTTGTATGAAAATTTGGTAAAAGTTTGATTTTTTTTTTTATTTTTTCTGTTTACGTTTCATGAAAAAAATAACTTCATGAAAGCTCATTGTATATCTATTTTTTTTTTTATCCTTGTTCCTGTACCGTTTTATGCTGAGATTCCGAGGTTGTAATATGACAGAAGGGTTACAATCAATTGTGGTTGAGCTGTGGTTCAAGGGTGTACTAGCTCAAGTGGAGAAGAGATGTAGCAGTGAATATACTTGAAGGTGTATCATACAAGTCGATGTACCATTGTAATATAGTTACATTTCGTTGTTGTCGCACGAGCGGAGGGAGGAGCAGACTCATAATTTTTTTTTTTTTTCCACATAAAGCAGAACAATGACATAAAGACTCAATAAAATAGTTTATGTTTTTTTTTTTTCTTTGCATAGTTTTGACTCAGACTCATGTCCATGGATACAATTAGTTTCTTTCTATTAGGAGAGACACCTTTTTTTCTTTTTTTTTTGATGTGTATTGAGATGAACATTTCGTCATCCAACAAAAAGGATACTATGAATGAATTACTCTGCCTACCAGCTCTTATCCTGTTGTGTGGATAAGTAGCTAGAGACATACAGCATAACGGGACCAAATGGATCACACATACCCATGTCTGGCCTATTCGAATGCAAGATTCAATTTTTTTCTTTCTTTCTGACTTCGACATATCCTCGGTCTATATGCAACAGCGACCTGCATACAGATACGACGATTCACTCAAAGAGTAACGGTTTCAGCAAAGTGCTCTATTACACAAAGAACTCACTCTGCTATGAAATCGGATTGTTTTGCAATACAAACAGCGACTTAAGTGAGCTTCTCATTTGCAAGACAATTAAGGAAGATGGTAAAATATTTCGTCAAGAAAAAGAAACAGAGAGAGCGGTGTGAGTATAGCTCACATGCAACAGTCACAACGTTTGGCCTGGTTTTGGCTCTACTCACATTCCCCTCACCATTTCCAATAGCAACTCTAAATTCATATGCCTTGCCAAAGAAAAAAAAAAAAAAAAAGCCCAACAGAACACTATACTTCCGAATTAGGCGCCTGAAAAATAAAAGCAAAAAAAGCAAAAAAAATAAAAAAAGAAAACATGGCACATCTGCGTACGAAAGAAAATTTCTTTTTTTTTTTTTGTTTTTAACTTCTACCCGAGTATAACATATAATTAGCCATACTCTTTAATTTATCACAATACAAAATACACAATATCGTCCATAGTCACAAATCACTCTCCAATCACAGGGGGAAGAAGAAGAAGAAGAAGAAAAAGAAGACAAAGATACTAAGTTTGTTGATACCGTGGAGAATCTTGTGCATATATATATATATATAATTCTACACTTCTTCCCCATACTTATCTGCAAGGTGTTTTTTCAAAAATTATCAACCACAATCCAGCGTCTTCGCCCTGCATCACTAATTATACAAAGATCGCTTCTTCCATCACATAGATTTGCTGCAATTAGCCCCTTCAAAATACCCTTATCCACAATGTCCTCTTCAGCTCAGTCTAGATTGTCACAAGTTGCCAACATCTTGAGTCCAACCAAGGCACCACACTCCCACACATCACTCAACCCCGACCACCCATTCAAGATTGCCGTCATTGGTTCCGGAAATTGGGGTACTACCATTGCTAAAGTCTTGGCTGAGAATGCCCTCGCTAGACCCCACTTGTTTAGCCATTATGTCAAAATGTGGGTTTTCCAAGAACAAATTGATGGTAAGAACTTGACTGATATTATCAATATCCAAAATGTCAATATCAAATACTTGCCAGGAGTCAAATTACCCACCAACTTGGTTGCTGAACCAAGTTTATTGAAAACTGTTGAAGACGCCGATTTGATTGTGTTTAATTTGCCACACCAATTCTTGCCTAAAATCTTGCCCCAATTGAAAGGTCATGTGCCACCAACAGCAAGAGCCATTTCATGTTTGAAAGGTTTGGAAGTCAACAAGGAAGGCTGTAAGTTACTCAGTACTTATATCAGTGAAGAATTGGGAATTGTATGTGGTGCATTATCAGGAGCAAACTTGGCTCCGGAAGTAGCTAGAGGTAAGTGGTCAGAAACTACCATTGCCTACACATTACCCAAGGATTACCGTGGACCAGGTAAGGACATTGATGAATTTGTATTGAAGGCTGCTTTCCACAGACCATACTTTCACGTTAATGTAATTGAAGATGTTGCTGGTGTTTCCGTTGCCGGTGCATTGAAGAACATTGTTGCGTTAGCAGTTGGGTTCGTCGAAGGTTTAGGTTGGGGAGATAATGCCAAGGCTGCCATTATGAGAGTTGGGTTATTGGAAACTATCAAGTTTTCCGAAACGTTTTTCCCTGAATCGAAAGCATCTACATTCACCGCTGAGTCTGCCGGTGTTGCCGACTTGATCACCACTTGTTCCGGGGGTAGAAATGTTAAAGTTGGTAGGTACATGGCCCAAACTGGTGCTTCTGCTCAAGCTGCCGAAAAGAAATTGTTGAATGGACAAAGCTCTCAAGGTATTGTGACCGCAAAGGAAGTTCATGAATTGTTGGAGAATACTGATAAATTGGATGAATTCCCATTGTTTGAAGCCACGTATCAAATCATTTACGGATCGGAATCTATTGAAAACTTGCCTCATTTGTTGAACTCTGATCATCCATGAGTTTAGCAGTTGCCGCTGCATTCACAGAGCAAATTTATCAATCTTTGTTTATTTGTTCCCGACTTCTGAGATTGGACTTTTTTTTTAGGTACTACCATTCATTAAGTAGGAGCTTCTTTTTTTTTTTTTTTTTTTGTACTATAGAATTAAACCAAATAGATGATAGAGTTTACCAACACGGCCCAAGATGTAGTTACTGATCCTAACCATCTAATGTACTTCTTTTAATGCTTTTTGCTGTTCACTATACATTCCCCGCCTGGTCAAGTTTGATTCTTTTACTTTCATCACCATCAGTAACCAGTTGTTCGCCCGCATCAACACCTTTACCCCCCTCTCGAGAAGTCACACTGGCGGCTTCACCACCACTATTATTTTCATCCAATTTCCTCTTGCCATGATGTTTACTCCTATACTTGGCAAGAAATTTCTCCATATAGGTGTCAGAATACTCCTTCATCTTCTTCAACTTGTGTTTATCTAGGTCCTTGGATGAAGAAGGAGCCACACCCTTGTTGGCTTCGCGTGATGCCAACTTGTTGACAATCTCTTTGGCACATCCCTTGACATTGTCTTTGCCAATTTCAGCAACATACGACTTGAGCAAATTGGGCACATGTTTGGCCATAACGTGCTTCCAGCGAGCTTCAATCGAAATCTCTTTGCTGCTCTCTTTGCCCTCCTTACTCCTGTGCTTATGATGTTGATGACCACTCGACTCCTTAGGCTCAACGCGAGCCTCAACGTCTCCAATTTTGGAATTTTTACCATCATCATCTCTTTGCTCAAGCTTCCGATGCCCATGCTTTTGTTTATGCTTATGTTCATGCTTATGTCTATGTTTGCTTTTCTTTTCCGGTTCAGGAGTTGGCTTTACCGATTGTGCTTGCTCGATCAACTCCTTCAATTTACGCTCCGTATCTAATTGTTCACGAGCCCTAGCCTCTCTCTCACGTCTCTCCTTCTCTTCCTCACGCCTGGCAATCTCCTCTTCAATCTTGTTCCGCTGTGGCTGATCATTATGACGATACTGACCAGGATATGGTGTAGACAATTGTTGATTGACCATGCTGCTTGGTCCAGTTGGAAGTTTAGGCCGTGTAGGGATCGAAACTCCCGGCTTGTCCCATGTGGTTTCTCGCGTATGGACGTTGTAATAGTAATAATTTTGTGTGCTCGGATCGAATTGCGCTTGCCAATTTTCAGGTAGACCATAATTGGGATCAGATGCTGGTGTCTTTGGTAATGTTGCTGAATGCGGCTGAATTGCATTAATCGAGTGCTGTACCCCATTCGCCTGAACCGGACTTGGGCCATTTGCACTGCCGCGTTCCGGTGATCTGGATTTCCTACCATATGAAGCAATTAATGATTGGTCAGAAGATTGGTTTTTAGGGATACGATAAGCAATCTCCAAAACTGACCATTGCGACAACAAATCTGAAGCTAGCTGTTTTATCTCCTCATTGGATGTTTTGGTTTGAATATCCTTTATAACGTCTTCAATCTGCGATGAAGAAATCTTGTTCTTTGTGATTGCTGGCCATTTGGACAAAATTTCCAAAATCATCTTGATCAATTCTTCATTTCCAAGGCCTTGAAGCACCCCTGACATAGTCTTGTACCCGTGCAATTTAACCATCAAGGAGTTGACGGCTGTATCATCAGTCATGTGCATTCGCAAAATCAACTTTGTGGTGATCAGTTCTTGTTGCGACTTGAGTAAAGCTGCCATTACTTTGGATACATCAGACTCTTGCATAGGTTCAACCTCCAAACTCTGCACAAACATTTCATTGATCGTTGAATCATCGTCTTGTTGCTCGCCTCGCAAATGCTTGTTTTCCTTCAACCACGCCTTCTCCATTCTCGAGGTAACACCCAATGCTTCTGCAATACCTTCTGGTAACAATAACGCAGCATCAGTCTGTTTCTTCCCACCCATAAATTTAATACAATTTGGCTCTCCACAGTAGCACGGTTGCGATTGTGCCCCGTATCTATCTACATTATAATCAAAAGTGATTTCTTCTCCTTTGGCAATGCGTCTTTTGGCAAATATACCCATGCGCAATTTATCACCAACAACCCATTTATCAACAAATGCATTGGGGTTACATGAATGATTAACAAATCTTGCAAGTGATCCTTTTTCAGTGGCGTCAATAAACGCATCTGGTTTCAACATCATAAAGTAAAAATGCTTATACTTTTTCATGTCATATTCAATCATTTTCTGGCGAAACGTCTCTTCATCAATCACTTCGCCAATGTACTCGTATATAAACTGACCTTCTGATATCGGCTTATTTGCTTTCAAGCCATAACCCTTGAGTTCAGTTTGGAATACCGATACATCAGCATATTGCCGTTTTTGGAACCGCTGGTTTTGACAATCATCTCCGCACAAACAATGTCGATTAGTACACTCAACAGATGTGAGTCTATTTATACAGTTGGAATCTTCGCCACAAGCCAAGTTCATTTCCCGTTCCCCATCCCATTCCTCCTCACAATCACACGTCATATACTCGGGCCGCTTATTATTGGATGGTGCGGCAATCAGCTTCAGCTGATAAGTTGAGATCTGCAAGTTTTGAAACTTTGTCAACGCCTCCTCGGTTTTGTCCTCAACATCGAGGAATAATGGCGGAGTGTATTCGCTATTCTTTTTAAGTCCATTCATTCAAAAGTGTTGTGTAGATTAAAAGTGACGGTTCGTACTGTGAGTAATGCAGGGAATTTTCATCGTTATTTTTTAAAAACTATGTTCTCTTTTTTTTTTTTTCACGAATTTCTCTCTCTCTCTCTCGAGATTAATTATGGTGTTCTGACATACAATGTTAACCGTTGTGCAACAAATTTGGTGGCCCCTCGAGTCTCAAAGACTCTTGTTATAGTAGCAATATGAACAATATAAGTATCGTCTTCACAGTTATACAACTATACGCTTCCGCTCTTTCAAAACACTCATTACACATAAACTCATTCTTTCTCCTTGAAACTTTCAACCCTCTCCTTATTCGTCTTAGCAGCATTCACCAACTGTACAAAGGCATTACCCACCGCGGTCGTTTTAGCAGCTGTACCATCAAACTTAGGAGTGGTATCAGACAATGAAATTTTTGATTTATCAGCACTTCCTTCAGTGGCTTTCAAGGAGTCGTTAAACTTTCTCCAATTATTCAAAGCAGACCCAGCAGACCCAGTAGACCCAGTAGAACCAGTAGAACCAGTAGACCCATGTCTTGTCACCTGGTCACCCTTTTTGTTCAGACTGCTCAGCAAGTCTCCATTGGCATTGAACAAGTTGATTTCCGTTGGATCATCATCCTCTTCAGTTTGCATTTCCTTCAATTTATTAATCCTATTGTGCAACTTGACAAGTTCAATAGCTTGTTTGAACTTGGCCTTGGCATCGAAACGTTCCTTCAATTGTGGCAACAAATCGGCATCGGTGTGCTTCTTGGCAATGTCCACGATCCATGGATCATTCAAGAGTTCAGTAGCCGTGGGTCGGTTGTCGGGATTGTATTGCAAAGCCTTGATTATAAATCTACGTGCATCCTTGGAAACATCTCTCCAATAATCAGCATGGAAAATAACTGCGTTGTTGTGTTTCACTTCATTAATGAAATCGGTAACATTTTCCGACCTGAATGGCGAATATCCACAAAGAATAGTGTAGGTGACAACTCCCAAGGACCAAATATCACATGGCTTACCGTGACCAGTTCCTAGTATAACTTCAGGTGCCGCATATCCAAATGATCCAGCAGACGACATCAACTTTTCACTCGAGTTCTGTAGTCTCTTGGCAATACCAAAATCAGCCAAAACCACAGGACTATTCTGCTCGGGAGTTAAATACAAAACATTTTCTGGTTTGATATCACGATGGACAATATCACGTTCATGCAAGTATTGCAAAGCTTCCAACATTTGAATAATAACCAATGACGCATCATGTTCAGTAAACCTACCCCTTTGTACAATTCGATCAAACAATTCACCACCAGTTGCCAATTGAGTAGCAATATAAAACTTGTCTCTACTTTCAAACCAGTCTTTGAGTGCAACAATGTGTGGGTTGTGCAACTCCTCAAGAAACTTGATCTCCTCCAACACCATTGCTTCATTCCCCTTGAGCGCTTTCTTCAAGATGATCTTCATTGCCACATCTTCTCCGGTAACGTTGTTTCTTGCATAACGTACAATACCGAATGAACCCGCGCCCAATGTTTTGCCAAATGTGTAGTTTTCCTTGTGTGCATAAGAAGCAGGTTGGCCAATGATTTTGTTCACAAACTTTTTGAGGTTACTTCCCTCAGCTTGCGCGTGATTGTCTTTCACCGCTGCACTCATTTGATATGGCGACGGATAACGATAGGTTTGGGGAAAGAAATATGTAATTCGTCCGTTTAAAGGGATTATCGTAATTGGGAAATGGAAACCCTTAATTTCAAAACTTGAATCTTCTCAGTCACGCACCACAAAAGCCGCAGAATGTCTATTTTTATACTGCGCAGCAATGGAATGGCACCAATAGTGTAACATTCAAATCAACATCTATCAAAGAGGGTAGAGAGTCAGGTATTTATACTAATCTACTGTAACGTAACCATGACAGGTTCAAGACATTGTAGGCTAGTTTGATCTTACTTGCACAGCCTACACGGCAACTTGCATTCATAACATCTCGCCGCCGCGGCGGTCTTTGTGTCATATTGACCTAAAGACAATCCACGGCACCAAAAGAATGCTATAAATAGAAGCAGAACTTCACCAATGCCATATACAAGGCCATAAAGACAAGAAGGTTCTAGACCAGCTGTGCCAGCTAACCAGAAGGCGTTTACCCAGGAACTATTACTGCACCAGGTTCTTGCAAGGAATAAGAGCGGGGTGGCGTCTTTTTTTTTCCGCTCCGAAATTAAGTCCGCGAAATTTCAGCTGAATGAGTCTCAACCATAGGCAATTAGCTGAACGCTACAAAACAGGGAGATAAATTGTATATATACTGTATGATATGTATTTTATTAATTTATATTTTTATAACATGTAACTATTGACCAAAATCTTGCTCAGTAACATTGGAACGCTCACACATTTGCTTAAAGATACTACCCTTGGAATTAAACAAGTTCCAAGGCGTATCAAACTCTCTCACCTCCCCTTTATCTAAAACCAAGATACGATCATAATTGATAATCGTCTTCAATCTATGGGCAATACACAATATCGTGCAATCTTTAAATTCACGAATGATGGTTTCTTGGATTTTGGAATCAGTTTCATAATCAACCGATGATGTAGCTTCATCCAATATGAGAATCTTGGAGTCACGGACCAAGGCACGAGCGAATGCAATCAATTGTCTTTCACCTAGAGAGAAATTAGACCCGTCGTCTTCCACAGTTTGATCAAGATGGAATTTATGCAACGCCAATGAGTCTGGAGTGGTGGTTGATTTCTCAGCAGACTTTTCGGACATATTGTTGCTCGATGATTTAGACTTGGCTTGTCTTTTGACAGCTTCTAACCTTGATCCTTCAATCAATCCAGTTCTTCTTAATGCATCCCACAATCTTTCATCGTCATGTTCGTTGAATGGGTCCAAGTTTGACCTAATCGTACCTCTGAACAAAACAGGATCTTGGGGAATGATGGACAATTTGGATCTCAAATCTTTCAATCCTAGCTTGGATATGTCAATTCCATCAATTTCAATCTTACCGGAATCCAACTCGGATAACCTGTATAAAGCCGTCATGATTGATGACTTACCAGCACCTGTTCTTCCACAAATACCAATCTTTTCAATTGGCTTAACTGAAAAATTCAAGTTCTTTAAAACCAAAGGCAAACCTGGTCTGTATGCCAATGATGCATAATCGAAAACAATGGTACCCTGGCTAGGCCAATTTGGAGGGGGTGCATTTTCAGTGATAATGTATGGTGCTTCAGTTGGCAAGCTTGTTGCATACGAATTCAATCTTTCAGCTGAGTTCATTTCATTTTCCACTTGGGTAAAAGTTCTGATAAGCATCGATAGTTGCCCGGCAATTTGCAACACATAAGACAAGATCAAACCAACAGTACTAGCACTCACATTGAACACACGGAAAACACAAAGCAAAGCTATCAACAAGGCAAACAACGTGGCCACAAAGTCCATATGAATAGCCAACCAACGTTGGTTTGCAATTGTAATATAGTAAGCTTCATTCATTCGATTAATCAAGTAATTGTTCTTGTCAATAAACCTCTCTGTAGCTTTATATGCCTTGATTGTAGCCATCCCGCTCAATGTTTCGTTAAAGTTGTTGTACACGAGCGATCTCTGTACTGCTTCCAAACGCTTCACTTCACGAGCAGATGCTTGGTAATAATCAGCAATAGAAACAAACAACATCCCCAAAAATGGCACAGCAATGGCAAACCATGGCAAATAAATAATACACAATACAATGACTCCAATGATATTGGCAAACACAAACAAAAAGAATCTCAATTGATCACCAATTTCATTATCCAAAACATCAGTATCTTTTGTGAATCGATTCAAAATACGTCCCATTGGTGTGGTATCCATGAATGACATTGGGGCATGCAAAACTTTTTGAACAGCAAGAACATTCATCTGTACCGACGCAGTATTTGTTATGTAAACCAATATGATAAACTCACAAGTCAACAAAATGAACGACAAGAACGTAAACATGATATAAATACCAATATAGAACTTGTTTGGTTTATCAAACTTGTATTCAGTCCAAAAGGATAACCAGGTATTTGTGAAGATTTGACTGAACGTGGCCAACACGATAAATGTGAGTAAAAGTGGAAGCATTGCCCATGGTGTAAACTTTCCTGATCCCAATTGGAAATATCGAGCATAGATCTTTTTACTGATGGCATTGACAGCACGCTCTTCATCAGTAATCAATTTACCATCTGCTTCTTCATCCAAGTTATATTCGCGGTGACGCCCCTCTTCGTCTTCTTCTTCTTCTTCATCAACATCTTCAGGAAATGCACCTACTGTAGTGACTGTCCGCGTAGAGCGACGAGTTAGTTGACGTTCAATATTACGCTTGTCCTCCTCAATCAATTCCTGTTCCGCACTTTGTTCCAATTCTTCCTCATTTCCTTCTTTCTCTTCTTTTGACTCACTATTGAATGCCATTAATTTACCAAAACCGGGGTTTCTTTCCTTCAATTCTTCAAATTTTCCAACATCAATAGACCCATCTCCATTCAAAAAGATTACTCGATCTGCAGATCCAATCAATGATAATTGATGCGTTGCCAAAACCCTAGTCTTTTCCTTCAACAAATCCAAAAGACAATTGTTCATAATGTGCTTACCAACACGAGCATCGACTGCACTCAATACATCGTCCAAAAGAATAATATCCTTGTTTGCATAAACAGCACGCGCAAGATTGATTCTAGCCTTTTGTCCACCAGACAAAGTGATACCACGCTCACCGATTTCCGTTCTATCTCCTGCAGGCAATAATTCCAAATCTGCTTCCAACGAACATGCATAAATTACTCGCTTGTATTTTTCTTCATCGTATTCTGAACCAAAGATGATATTGTCCTTGACCGTTGAGTTTTGTACCCAAGGGTATCCACAGAGCAACAATGAACCATTAACATAAACGGATCCACTATTACGCTTCATGAATCCCGACATGGCAGACAACAATGACGATTTTCCGGATCCAATCATACCAGTAATAACAACAAACTCACCTTTCTTGATCTTAAAGTCAATGTTTTTCAACCCTTCAAAATGTGCATCCTCTTCAGAAGAGCCATCTGTTATCGAAGAGCGATCCAATCCCTTCGACGAGGAAACATCACTATCTTGTACATCCAAAATGGCACTTTCTTCTGAGTTCCTCTTGTTGCCTTTCTTGCTTTTTTTAGAGCTCTTCTCCTCTTTCTCATCCTCATCCTCAAACACCTCCCACTCAAATGACGCTTTCTCAATGTCAATGGCCAACGACTCCTTATCCATCCACTCTTGGACGTCTGGTGGTGCTTCAATAGCATTTTCTTCAGGGTTTATTTCACTTTGTGCCATAAAGTCCCCAACACGGGAAATACCCATAAATGCATCGGCTCCGGTCGCTAACGCCATAGGTAACAAAAAAACTTGTTGGGTTAAGACGTTGTAAAGGGAAAGTGAGGAGAAAATGGATGCTGGATCTCTTCTTCCATTTGATATGGCGTAAAGCACCAAGAACGCAGTCATCGAGGCAAAGAGAGTCAACGACATGGCAAATGAGGTGACGATATTTCGAAGAACTTGCATGCGGTAAATGATCCTCATTTCTTTCTTTCTTATATCTGAGATGTTTTTATGATACGGAGGTTCCCACGAATAGAACTTAATAATCTTTAAATTGTTCAATGCCTCTTTCATATAGTTGACTCTTGAATCGGTATACTTGTTGGCCTTTTTTCTGTATGCAAATAGCTTCCCTGTAGAGAAAGCAATACCAATCATAAACACTAGCAATATTCCGACACCAACTAACGATGCGACACCAATATTGATGACTAGGATAACAATCGCAATAGCAATCGGGATGGGGAAAACAATCAAGAATGGTTGAAATCCCAAGGCAAAGTCGATTCTAGACAAATCTGTCCCCAACATGGAAGTGATTTTACCAACAGAATATTTGTGCTTAGCCTCGGCGCTGAGTTTGAATGACTTATCCAAAAGTGCCTTTGTCAAGACTGCTTTAGCTTGTGCACCGGTGATCATGGAACGGTAAAAGAAGTGATTAATCAACACACCCACAATAAACACCATTGCTGTTGTGCCAAAGGAATAACCAAGCCCTTTCCCAACTCCTGGCTCTCGACCGTAAGCCTTCAACTCGACATATTGAATCAATTTCTTACTCAACAATGGCATAGTTGTTTGACCTGCATTACTCAAAGCTAAGCATACACAAGCCCATGTGTATTGCCATTTAAAAGTTTTGGCCAAAGCCCAAACTGTTAAAAATTTACTCATCTCAAAATCCTTCATGTCTTCCTCGGGAGAAACAGATGTGGTTTCGGGAGCTTCGCCACGCTTGGCACATTTCTCAGCAATGTGCTTTTGCCTGGCCCTGTCAATATCGTGAGACATATATCTGTAGAAATCCTCGGCCATTTTTTGGACTTTTATATCGTCAGTCAAATAAAACATATCATCGGGTTGTAATGTTCTCTGGTACCCCACTTTCATAACAGGCGATAGCCACCAAAAGAATAATTGCTTGATGATGTTGGCCCTGTATCCGGGATACGGTTTTCTTTCCTCTTGCGTTGGCACGGGTGGCACCTTCTTAGACATTAGAAAACTCAAGAGTCTCTTTTGTCGTTCCGTCAGTAGCTGGTTGGACTCTAACGCAGATGGCGAAGTCATGATAGATGTTGAGTTTGTACGAGGTAGTGCAAAGTAAAAATGAAAGTAGTAGATGAACCTAAGAAGTGAACTCTTACTCTAAAGGAATGACTGAAGTAACTGATCTATACTTGTCTATATATATATATATATACCTAGGTGGCTGAAATTCTATCTTCAATTTTTGCTGTTGTATTTTGTACAATGTGACAAAATTTTTATTATACGCATCAGCTCAGACATCACACCCGCACAAAAACGGATTTGCCTCCCAAAAGAGGTAAAACCGTGTATAGCAACATGAAATATTGGCTAAAACTGCCAGCTTTTATCACTTACGAGCCGTGTGATACCTTCTCTACTTTTGCAGGGGGGGCAGCTAATCCACAGTCACTAATTCCTTCGAAGGTGCCAAATTTTTTTTAGGATATTGCTAAAAACTGTTCGCATCTAGAATGAGTCATGCAAGCACCACCAATAGTACACATCTGGCAAACAGAAGAGATAAAAGAGTTAGGATGCGCAGTCCTATCACTATCATATACCTCTCTATAGAGTGTAAATAGTTACTTCAAGATAAGGAAACTGCTCGCAGAATGTAGGTGTAACACCGGCTGTAGTGCGGTCTTAAAAACCCTAGATTTGGAAGTTCGACCGTTAAATCCTTTGGTCTTCGAAACAAAAATAAAAAATTGAAAAAAAAAAAAACGGAATTAAGAGGCTCAACTACCAAAGTCTTATAACGCGCCTCTCATCTTACGACAAGAAGATCAATACGGAGCCAACAAATGTTGCTCTCAAGAGCTTATCTTTCTTGTTGATGGGAAAATTCGAGCTGTATGTGTAAACTACTACACTACGTCATGGCAGAGTAATTTCTGATACGGACCTGACAACCAAGAAACGGGCCTTGTTTTCGGAATAAAGGTGTCAAACTTCGGCTTTAGCCACTCTCTCTTTTTTTTTCATTTATTTATTTATTTAATTTTTTTTTTTTTCCTTCTTCCCACTTCGTCCGCCCCGCCCCAATAGCAATACTGTGATTAGCCGCTTATGTAATCGACACACAAACGCAAAGCTCATGCCGTGTAATGCTACGGCTAACTTTTACGGGATTGAAGCTGTTGCACAATCGAATGCAAGACGCAGCTGTACCTTTAATTTACGTGTCGTTATCAGTGCGAGACGACAGTATAAGAGTCCGCAACAATGATCTAAATTTTGGAGGGCAGGTACATAGGGCATGGCGTCACTACGATCAAAAACAGATGCAATAATTGTACATGCTAAACAAACGATTCAGAGTCTGAAATATCCTGCAACGACGACCCAGGACTGAATGAAAAAGCAAAGAGTTTACAAGAATGGTGGCCAGTTCAAAGTTCAAGAGAAGCTTAGCGGGCTCATCTCACATGCTTCTTTTCGTAATGTCGATTGAATCCCTTTAAATCGGCATATTGCAAGTGACAATATTTGCATTGTCGCTTTAATCGATTACCAACCATCACGTTAAAAAACTTACCGACGTATTTTGGTGTGTTTGAATCGTTGTAGCTTAAATACACCTCCTTCGCTTCAATACTTGATGTCGGTGGGGGGCTTGAGTTTTCGTCGGTTGCACCAACCGCTTGAGAGCATTTTGACGGTTTGTATGGGATTCGAGTAGTCAATGGTTTTCTATCAGGCTTCGCAACTCGGGGTTTGGGGAAGTTGCTCTTAAAAGTACAGCGTGTCACGTCTGGTTTCTTGGGGACGATCAAAAGGGAAGAAAGGAATAATGTTTTGGATTTGGTGTTTGGCAGCACTAATGGTAACGATTCCTCAAGTAATGGATTTAAACAGTTGCCAAACTCTTGGGAATTTCTGAGCAATTGCCGTAATGTAGAAGGCCTTATTTCAGTTAGGATACTTGATTTACTAGTTTACCTCATCTAAATAGGATAATACCATACCTGGTTGTCATCTTCAAGTTTGATTTTGCGGTTGCCAAAATCGATACCGAAATTAAGACTTCTTTTTCTCTTTTTTAAGGTTGTCAAAAGAAAAAGAAAGAAAAATAAAGAAAACTGAGTAGAAGCTATTTGTAATGTGAAGAAGTACAATTAGCTTCACATATATCGTTTTACCTTTGGCGTCAGCCCACTTAATCGATACTGCTCTTGTAGAGTGTTTGAGAGACAGAAAGCGCTAAAGGTGAACTTGTACAGATGGCACCAGTGGGCCATTGTCTAAGACGTAGAATTTGAGGACCCGGAAGGTGCCGCTTGAGGAACAAAGGAAAGAGTTTAAAACACACGTTTGGAAGGGCATTCCGCTGGTAATGGGTTTACATTTATCGAAGTACTAAGCGGAAGTAAATTCAAGGTTAGAAGAGGTTTGAGGTGATTACATTGGAGAGTTGATTATACTGGATATAGTCTAAATTTTTGAGAATAACTATTTGAACTGAAACGTAAAAGAATTAGAAGATGTACTTGATCAATGAGACCAAGTTGTTGACGGCCCATATAAAAATGATTTTCCTGTTGGTAGAACTGGAAAGAACCTTTGTGAATGTATTTTGAAGGAAGCTGGAGGCTCTCAAAGCATCAAGCAAAATACCCAAAGTGATGACCCCGTCATTAACGAGATCAGTGATCAAAGTAATAAGAAACAGCTTTCCATCACTGGTTGAGAAGAGATCATCGACAATAGACACACCCAAACCGGACTTGTTCAACGATTCACAGATGGATTCTGGGTCCGCGACAATGTTGACCAAAGTGATGACAGATGACCAAATCGATTCTTGTACAGTACCGATGATTGAACCAATGGCTCCCAAAATATCCAATCTCTTGACTGAAATGACTCCATTGTTGTATAATGCCACAATGATGTCCCACAAAGCAGGAATCATCTTGTAGTTGATGAAGAATCTCATGACAACAGAAACAGCCAAGCCAGAGTTGTCAGCAGCTTCCAACAACTTAGTCAATCCATTGTTACTAATGTACTCCTCAATTGCCTTAATGGTTGATCCTTGTGTAAGTGAGTTTGTGGCAAGACCATGAACAATTTGTACACCCGTGCCGGATTTGTTCAACGCAGTAAATGCGGCAGTCAACGCAGGGTTATCTCTCTTTGTCACATTGCCAGTAACTGCAGCAACCAACTGTTTCAAGTATTGGTCCACCTCTTGCAATTCAGCCTGGGATGGCTCGTCCGCTCTTTTGGTAATGGAAATGGCATGACTGACCAAGTCCACCTCCCCTGTTTGTGCGAAAACAAACGTAGCAAAGAATAAAGATAATAATATGAACAAGCTTTTCATTGGTGATATAGGTTGGAGAGTCAAAAGAAAAAAACAAACAAAACAGAGTAGCAAGGACGGAGGAGGCTTTCAGGTATTATATATATTCTCATCTAATTTTCATTTCGAGAAAGTTTAAAATTCTTACTATGCCCCGATCAGGTATGGTTATTGGATGAGCAAATGTAGAAATTGTGATATTTCATTTTGCAACTTAAACGTTAAATACAGCCTTACGATGTTTCGTAACTAACTTTTGTCCTACACTTGATTACCATACTAAGCTACGATTTCAAATATGTAGGTAAAACTCTTTACCACTTTAGGAAATTATTTTTTTTTTTTTTCTTTTTTTTTTTGGTCCTGTATATTTTGTGTGATATTTTGCAACCTAAAAAACGTTTCGTGAGCTAAAAATACAATTTCATCATCATTAGAAATGTTACGAGTGGGGGGGAGAGGGCATCAGCTCAGCTCTCGATGTCTTTCACAATTGGCTTATATATATATTTTTTTTACGAAACGGTCTATTGTTCAACGTCTTTTGTTTTCAAGCATATTGCTCATCATCCTCAAACGGGGTAAAACATAAATAAATACATTGTAGAGTGTCTAGGATGCAGTCAAACAACAAACACTCAACTTACATACCATGTTAGTCAAGTTAAGATAGTTTCTATTTTCACACTGTGGATGAAACCCCCGTAAAATAGTAGCAACAGAAACTATATAACCATTAATGGCGACTTTGTGCTATTTTAGAGATGTGCGAAGGATCAAAAAAGGTTCATTGGTAATAAAATGAGACTAAGGCGACAAACGAGGATGAAACTTTAAGCAGGTGGAGAAGTAAAGCAGTTAGGGCCTGTGAATTTTCTACAGAACTTGTGACAACAATTTTTCTTCGTAATTCCCGCATGTGGCGCAACCGGTTGCGCTATCTGACACAGCACAGGCTCTTCTACTGGCTCAGCATACAATTTTTTTTTTTTTTAATTTTACTCTTGACACGATTGATGACGATGAAATTTAGAAATGGACTCTTTTAGTGTGTAGAGTGATGTCTGAGGGTGAAAACTCACTCAGTTTTTTTTTTTTCGAAAATGCTGGAAAGGTTACTTTTCCTGTAAAAAGTATGCCGGTTCATGTTGCACTTATCAGTTATTTGCTCTTGCAGTGGTGAGACACAATTTGGCGCTGATACTATAATGGACGCTGAACGTCTGTCAATCAAGTCCAGTAGTACATGGCCTTGGAGTCTACACAACTGTTTACAATAGCCTACTAGTAACTGGCCGGAACTGTACAACACTCACTTGTGACTGATACATCGTTCAATGTAGAGCTCAACGACGCTTTAAATCGAAATTAGCCGTTTACCCATCAATTGGACAGAAATCTTAATTTTTGAAGCCAGATATTCCAACCTCTACCCTTCTCACTAACTGTTGTAAATGAGACTTTACGTGCTCTCAGAGTTTGGTTCTTTTCCATCTCTTCTGGAGATGTGCCGACCGAATCTTGTCCCTAGTTACCGCTTAATTAATAATTTTGGGACACTTTTGCAACTAATTTTTGAAAAAAAGTGAAATTGAAACTTTGGCGGGAAAATAGATAACACCGGAAAGATATTCGTGCAGGGCTTAACCAAAAAGAAGGGTACGCAAACTAATGCAAAATAGATGGAAGCAGTGTCCTTTGTGCAATTACAGAAACAGTAAAATCAAGCCATCCTCACTGTCCTATTTAAGAACCTCAGAAACAGCTACCGCAGTGTACAAGAATGACTTGTAAAACGCCTCTGAGCTCTCAATAACGAGATACCTCAGACTTGGTCGGAATCCCTCGAGGTGATTGTGCTATTGTTCACAACCTTTTTGCATTGTTATATCTCGGCTTTCAACTTCCGTTTAGTGGGTTGGTTTTTTTTTTTAGCGCGCTAATTACCCGATTGAGCTATACAATGCACGATTCAGCGCGATAACGAAATAATAAGATCCGAGCAGATCAACGTCTCCACCCTGCTGAACTTAAAACTTGCATCAAATAATGGAGGGGCTTTCCCGATAGCATTCTTTATATAACACTTTACCTAGCTGGCCAGCTCCATAAACATTCTCAATTATCGAAGTTACCACAACAGCACTACAATGACAAAAATTGATTTCAACGCAATTGCAATTCGAAAGGGAAGGTTAGTGGAAACTATCCACGAGACAGCCAAATGGGGGGCAAATGGCGTTTGGGGATCGGCTCCAACTGAAACCGGAGTTTGTCGCTTAGCATTGTCTGACTTGGATAAGTCTGTACGTGATTGGTTTGTCAAGGAGACCACAGCATTGGGTTGTAAAATTAAAATTGACCAAGTTGGAAATATATTTGCCATCTTCCCAGGGAAAAACAATGACGCATTACCTACTGGTATCGGATCTCATTTGGATACTCAACCAAGTGGTGGAAGGTATGATGGAATTCTTGGAGTCTTGTCAGGGCTAGAGGTGTTGCGTACTTTGAAAGAAAACAACATCGTTCCTAATTACCCAATTGCCTTGGTTGACTGGACAAACGAGGAAGGTGCCAGGTTCCCAATAAGTATGGTTGCACTGGGTGTTTGGGCCGATGCTATTTCCCTAGACACGTGCTTGGACTTGGAATCCATTGATGACGAAACACCCAAGAAATTTGGAGATGAGTTGAAAAGAATTGGATATGCCGGTGAAGTTGCTGCCTCGTACAAGGAAAACCCTTTGGCTTGTCACTTTGAGATTCATATCGAGCAGGGCCCAATTTTGGAACACGAGGGGAAGAAAATTGGTGTTGTTGTTGGTGGACAAGCGTTTGAATGGAACTTGGTTACTGTTACCGGTAGATCTTCCCACGCGGGCACTACTCCAATGAACACGAGGTCGGATGCTTTGCTCATGACTTCAAAGATAGTAATCATGGCCATCGAGACAGCTACTGCATACGGAGGTGTTGCAACGATTGGTACTCTTCACTTATCCCCGCAATCAGTGAATGTGATACCCAATGAAGTGAAGTTCTCTTTAGATGTCAGACATGTTGAAGACAAGATTGTTGCCGAAATTGTGTCAGAGATAAAAACAAAAGCAGCCGAGATCTGCAAAGTTGGTATTGGATCAAAACTTGCCAAGCCGTTATCAGTCAACTTTGAAAATTTGACCGTATCTCCAGCAATAAAATTCAACCAAACCAACATAGATACGGTTAAAGAAGCTGCCTTGCTGTTGTTTGACGAAAAAGATATCAGAGAGATTACCAGTGGTGCTGGCCATGATTCCTGTTATACTAGCAAGAGAGTTCCTACTTCAATGATTTTCATTCCTTCAAAGGATGGTGTTTCTCACAGTCCAGAAGAGTACTCCTCTCCTGAAGATGTTGAGAATGGGTTCCAAGTATTGTTAAGAACGGTCTTATTGTACGATGAATTGAGAGCTGAAAAGTCAGATGCCTAGATGTGCACTAGAGTGTATATATAATACATGACAAATAAAATATACCATTTCACACTTTCATAAAAGAAAGGCTTCTGCAAAAACAAAAGTAGAGTAAAACATTTTCATATCATTATGTAGTGCTATCAAAATCCATAAACAATACATCAAGCCTAAGTAAGAGCATTTTCTTTTTTTTTTTCTACTACGGGAACAAAAAGTCACCGTTGTCCAACTTAATTTGTAAGTTGTAGTCCGGCTGGAAAGATGCGTACAAAGTGTCCGGGTCATTGGTGACATGTGCACTATAGTGTGCTTCCTGATCGGGGATAAATTGCTTGGGTTTAGACTTTTGGTCAACGGAATCAGCCATCAATTGAGCTTGGCAAGATTTATCCATCAACGTAAATAGGTAAGCCGCTTCGTCAATAGTCAGTCCCATTGTCAATAAACCATGGTTTTGTAAAATGACACAACGAACATTACCAGCAGCCTCAGCAATAGCTTTACCCTCATCTTTTTCCAAGGCAACACCACCAAATCTCTCATATACAGCCTGATTGTTGTAAAACACACAAACATCTTGGTTAATCATTTCCAATGGCTTGCCAAAAGTCGAGTAAGCTTTACCGTGGACCGAGTGAGTGTGGCAAGCAGCATTGACATCCGGTCTAGCTTGGTGTAACGACGAGTGAATGGCAAAGCCTGCAGCATTGATGGGAGCTTGATTACCATCGGGCAAAATTTCACCCTTTTCCGTAACATGGACCAAATCTTGTGCTCTGATCAATCCGAAATGTACACCCAATGGATTAATCCAAAAGGTGTCTTTATCAATTGGATCACGCATGGAACAATGTCCAGCTTCACCTTCATCGTAACCCTTTCTCGCAAAAATGCGGAATGTAGCAGCAGCATGTTCAAGCATATGCTTTCTTTCAGCAAGCTTATCGGTAAAAGTTGGCTTTTTGTAAGGATGCTCTCCTCCCATGGAAATATTGTGGGAACCTTGAGTACCAAAGTCGTAACCTTTGGATGTTTGTTGGGTTTCTTGCGTAGCGATGGTTGGGGTCATTGTTGCTTTGTTTCTTGAATGAGTAAGTAGTAAATTGTTTCTCTGGAGTTATTGACCAAACATGAACCTCAATTTATAAGTTGACAATACTTAATAGTGAGGGGGACGACAAAATATTTTCTATCATCAAAATAAATTGGGAAAAAGTGGGGGAGCGGCGGCGGGGATTCCAGTAAAACACAAGAATTTTTCGCAGCTTACAACTAGGATGCAACAAAGCTTGGGAATATATCTAGGGATTGTGGTTTGAAATTAATCCTCCAACTACAATATACACGTGTTGATATGACAGGTGGAGTTTGAAACTTTGTAGTTTGACTCTATACCTTTTAAGTTTGACTTCATTCTGGGAAGGTTTTGATAAGCGCGTGTTGCTCAATTTATCAAAAAAAAAAATTGTTTATCTTCTTTTCCGCTTAGATGTTACACAAAACTGACAGGTTTTGAATTTGGGTAGCACTCTCAATCTGCCTATTATTCTCCTCTTCCGTTCTTGAACGCACTTTGACGCAGGAGAGATTGTTCGGCACCTGAACCGGCCATAAAGACGTAATACACTAGCATTTGGATTCCAACAACAGGTCATTGCATTAAGTAGCTTTGTTCACAGTCAGTTGGCGGCACAACTTGATCCACAAAGCTAAGCAGCAACAGCAGTTGTTCGCAATGGCTACGCCTTCAAACACGGGAAATTGCTAACTATCATCATTAGATAGTTCTCCTTGTGAATTCACTTCCACCAAAAGAGTGTTTCAGCTAACTCTATTCAACTGCAAATGTCTTGGAAACACTTCTTCTTATGATGTGATAATTAATCGCCGCATTCTATCTCCTTATTCAGTAACAGAACGCGGACATATAATATTCCCCATATTATTTTTCTCGGGTCCTTTTTTCAGACGTACAACATTCCTAGCGCTTGTTGGGTGCGTACGAAGCGGCGCTGATAGGCTAGTTAAATGGACAGCATTGCTGTAAATAATTCTTACTGAAGAGTCCTGTAGCCCTAGCTTGTGGGAGGAGCTGACAATAATCTCGCCATAGAGTAATTGAAGATAGTTGCAAAAATTCCTTGCTCTTCTCAACGTTTGTGTCACTTTGAGAAAAATATCACAGATTTATTTTGAAACAACCATGAACCGAAAGCTGAGTAACCGCTATTGGCGCATTCTAAAACTACCCACTCTAAGTTGTATCAACTTTTCAGTATGAATTGGAGTCACTTGATTAATTTAAGTTTATTATACCTACTATTATGACGCGTTTAAAAAACGATGCCTTGTACTGAAAAAGTATTTTGATGCAGTATCTCAGAGTGGCACGAGCGTCTGTAAAAAGCTTGGGTTACAACGCGTATAACTGACCAGATGATGCAATACTTGCTCGTTAAGAGTGCCCGTATAAACCTCGAAAGTGGTGGCACGTGATAATCCGTTGCACTTGGGGGTAGAAGTATTGTTTCGGGAACCGCAGTTTACACTTCCAAGCAGAAGAAAAAGCTAGCGAATGCTTGGTTATATCTTCTTGAACACTTGAGAGACTTCGCCCACCTCCACACACACAAAACACTAACAAAAGCATCAAGAAAAACGAGCCGGGGATGGAAAATGCCGAACTTGAAAAAATAACATAAAAATTCTTGGAACGCTCACAGCGCAGGGCTGAAACGGCTGCAAACAATGATGTACTTGTCTTAAGAATTCTTTCACCCCGCTTTCAAGCATCAACACGGAGCACCAAAACAGCAACATGTCAAAACTTGGTCCCGAAAGTGGGGGAATTACTATCGGCTGGCTTTGGTTTTGTATAGCTCATACGTTGAGCAAAAAAACTATTAATAGCCTGCTATCTGTCATTCTTTGTCATTGAACTATCTTACCCTCCTATGTAATCAACTATAGTCCAACATGTCCTTGTCCACTTCAACAAAAACGCCTGAGGTTGAACACATATCAGACTATTCGTCTGGACAAGACCTGATGTCAGTGGATGATGACATCTTTAACGAAAAGCCCACGTTGACCCTCCCTGTCATTAAAAACTATTTCGCTACACGACTCACGACTTTGTTTGACTTGCCAGTTTACCATCAAGACAAGAGATGGTATGAGCTCATGAATCCTATTCCCGCCTTGAGAGAAATGACATTGAGAGATTGGAATTACTATGGGTTGGGATGGTTTGGCTGGGTCTTGGACGCCATGGACTTTTTCTGCGTGTCTGTTGCTTTACCTGAAATCGCAGTCAGTTTGAATTCGACTGTGGCTGATATCACTTGGGGTGTCACTGTTGTTTTGATGCTTAGGGCTATTGGTGCTATATCTTTTGGAATAGCCTCGGACAGGTTTGGAAGAAAGAAATGTTATATTGTCATTTGTATCTTGTTTATTTTCATTGAAGTTGGTACTGGATTTGTCCAAACTTATGAGCAATTCATTGGAGTGCGTGCAATCTTTGGAATTTTGATGGGTAGTATGTTGCCTGTCTGTATGGTCACGGCAATGGAAAGTCAGCCAGTACGTGCCAGAGGTTTCTTATCTGGGTTGTTCTCACCCGCTTATTGTGGTGGTTACATAATGGCCTTGGTATGGTACAAGGTGTTTGCTCCAACTTATAAACCAGGTGAAGGGTGGAGAAGTTTGTTTTGGTTCAGTGGTGGATTGAGTGTCCTCTTGATTGTCTGGAGGTTACTAGTCCCCGAATCAAATGAATTCTTGGTTATGCAAGAGAAGAAGAGAAAGATTAAGGAACAAAACAAAAAGACTGGAGGAATCCACAAGTACTTCAATACAACTATTGTGAAAACTTTGAAAACTGAGTGGTTGTTGTTTACCTACCTTTGTATTACTTATGCTGGTTGGAACTTTATGAGTCATGGAACTCAAGATTTGTACGTCACAATGTTGGCTAATCAATTTGGTGTTGGTCTTGACAAGAGAACAATGGTTGTCGCTTTATCCAATCTTGGTGGGCTCATTGGAGGCGCATGTATTGGGAGTGTGTCTGAAGTTTTTGGAAGACGGTTATCTGCAATCATTGCTACCATCTTTTGTGCTGCACTTGTGTACCCATCATTTCACAATGCCGACAAGAACTGGGGTGCATATGTTGTGTTGATTGCTTCGGTGATGGCATCTTGGGGTGTGTCTTCTGCTTACGCATTGGAGTTGGTAAACAAGGCACACAGAACTTTATTAATTGGGTTGGCGTACCAGATTGGTAACTTGATTAGTTCAGGCAGTGCCACTATTCAAGCGCAACTTGGTGAAAAGTATCCTATTGCAGGCGCTGGCCCTGGTGTTTACGACTACGGAAAAGTTATGTGTATTTTCTGTGGTGCAGTTTTTGCATTTATGGTTGTCATATTGGCATTGGGTCCAGAAAAGTTTCACAGAAACTTGAAGATGGTGCCTGCTGAATACGGTGCCTACCCTGATGTCGAAGAAACTTTGGATTTGGACAAACCAGACAAGGAAACCAGAATGTAGGGCAGTACAGCTAGAATACAGTCTTTTGATTTATGTTTCATACTAGTGCGACATAATGATTCATACCAAACAGGCATTTATTTTTCATACTAAAGTGAATTAATTTTTCAAACCAATGCGACATAAATTTTCATACTAAGACGACATCAACTTTCAAACCAATGCGACATAATTTTGTTTTATGTGATTTTGTTGCAATAACATACAAATTAAATAGGAACAATAAAAGAAATGAAGTTCAAGCTGGAGTTACACACAAACAGGTATGTAGATGGACTAAGTGATTCTTTTCCTTTGGATTCAGACCTCATGGTTTTGGACAGTCAGACAGCTCCATTAGAGTCCTGTTTTTGTTACAGTGATTACAATGAAGCAGTCCCTCCAACTAAAATTGAAGTTGACAATTTACATTCCGACATGGAGTGTGATGATGTAGATGTAGACGTTAGCTCTGAACAGGATGAAACCTGTAAATTTAAAAGAGGCCCATACAGATACTACTCCGAAGCAGAGAAGCAACGATTCTGGCAACTAGTTATCGAGCAAGGGTCTTCTGCATACAGAGCTGCACAAGCACTCAATATCAGTTTACAAACAGCTTATAATGGGAAAAAAAACTGGAATCGCCTTATTGCTGACATAGCTAATGGTATTCATAAAGAGACAAAGAAGCGTGGCCGCAAACCTCTTCTTATCCAAGAACACAAATTCTTTTTGAAGGATTTGGTTCTTTCGGACCCCACTGTTACTGTAGACTTCTTGTTGGATAGACTAAGGAGTACATTTGAGGGTGTGAAGGCAAGTGTTTCTACTATTTATAACTTTCTCACCAAGGTATGCAAGTTTAGTCTCAAGAGACTTTCCAAATGGGCCATGAGACGGGATCTGCCAGAATTAAAACAACAGAGACTCGAGTGGGCACTTGAGAATAAGGGTAAAATTGACCTTGAAAAGAATTGTGTTTTCATCGACGAGGCTGGTTTCAACATTAGTATGAGACGGGAATACGGATGGTCAAAAGTGGGTGAACAAGACTGTCTTTAAAGTTCCTGTCACCAGAGGTCTCAATGTTTCATTCTTGGGTGCAATCTCTCCAACAGGGTGTATTGACTTGAAGGTGCGACTCCAAGCCGAGCTGATCATTTCTACTCATTTGTAAAGTCTGTGCTTAGAGAAATTGAAACAAACGAGGAACTTAAGGAAATGAAGTATTTGGTACTCGATAACGCAGCCACCCATAAGCGTCGTGATCTCGACTTATTGGTGGCTCTGAGTGGAATGGAACTAGCATTTTTGCCAGCTTATTTGCCGGCTCTAAATGCAATTGAAGAGTTTTGGTCGGTGTGTAAGGCCAAAATTAAGCGATCAAACTTAACTAGAAAAGAACAATTAACTCCAAGGGTAAGAGAAGCAACAGCAAAGATAACTTTAGAAAGCTATCAAAGTTTCTGTAAGCATGCCAGTAGCTTTATACCATACTGTTTAGAAAAGAGGTCTTTCTAAACTATGGGCCCTTGGAAATGGGAAGGGGACAGCTTTTGGCTTGGGAATTGAGTGCAAAAGCTCTTCAAGAGAGGCGAGTAGACAAGGACTAAACTCAGACAAAAAAAAAAAATGACTTGATAGTACTTCATACTTTTAATCTAAATGCCCCAATTCCGCAGCATCAGGCTCAATTAGGTCAGAGGTGTGGAAATTGTTTTGGGTAATTTTGTAGTTTGAAAAATTAATTCACTTTAGTATGAAAAATAAATGTCGCGGTGGTATGAATTATTATGTCGCACTAGTATGAATAAAAAAATTAAAAAATACTGTACTATATGCAGAGCGGGCAGCGACGAGTTTCTCACACTCTTGGGCTTTCCGATGAAAAAACTTCTCGTCAAACCTAATACCTTCTTCTGTCTCTTTACTGATTAATAGTATCATTTAATACAGCTGATTTTGGGTGTAAAACTCCTCCATCGTACTTCACTACTTTACTATTGCAAACACAAAGCTTCGCATCCATACCTAGGAGAAAATGTAAAAAATTACATTCAAAAATAAACGCGCACAAGTATCAATGACCAAACCAAACTAGCGACTCATATAATACTACATAATCAGTACCCCAGAAAGCAAAAAGAATTGACATCACCCACACTATTAAACTGTTCAGAAGAGCTTGTGTTGATGTGACCTATCCCTGGCAATATAAAACTTATTGGAAAACACTAGACGTTGAAGGGGCTAAAAAAAGGTTGGAGATAAAAGTGGATAGTTATTATCCAGTTGGTTAATCAACGTTTTTAGGATAATCCATGGTGCATGTTGAGCTTAATATGAAATGAGTTGCCGTGTTCCTATATGTGAACCCTTTCTTTGAACATATTTTTGTGACAATTTAAATAGGCAAATCCAAAAGGCAACATATCAATTTTTGCATTCTTGGAAAGGCTTTACATTAACATTAACTCCAAGTTATTTTGCTGTTTAATCAATATTATAAGTTATGGACAAAGCTGCAAGTATTATCAACTCTGTTTCCCAAGTCCAGCCAACGCTAATTGAAAAAATCAGAGAATCGACTCAAAACCAACGCCAAGCCTTCATTTTTGGCACTGCCGGATTAGTAACAATTGTGGCTACTGCTGCATCTGTATTCACATTAGCAAAAGCGAATCATAAACGAATTACAGAGCTCGAGGATCTACTCTTTCGGCAGCAGTTGGAAGTAAGAGCCAAGAGTGACGAGGTAAGAGTCCAGAGTCAAGAGGAGCGTCAGAAAAGATATCAAGACCTCCAATTTGAGGCCATGAAACACATATTCGTTACAGTTCCACCAAATGCAGCAACTGCTAATTGGTATAATGAAACGCTTATGACCCTTCACCAAGTAATGCTTGAACTACCTGCAGCGAGTTTTACAGGTACATTAGGACAGGACCCAGAGAATCCAGTACCAGATCCACGGGTTGAAAACACTAATAGGTATATCAGATATTTGAACAGATTGGATAAAATTTGGCCAGGCTTAGTGGCACTCTTTATTTTTTGGGTGGTTGTGTGTGAAATTATCTCAGCGCTTATCGGATGAATATATGTTCTCTTAACTCTTTGAAACCTTTGATTGACTCTGTTGTAGTTTCTCTTCGGCAGTGCCGTATGGTTACGAGTATTAATATAACGATACCAATGTTGAGATACAAAACTTTACTAATAGATATGGTAGTTATATATTGTTGAAGGTTAATTCCTATACGTTCATTTTTAATGGTAATCGTTCAGTATCCTATCCTTTTATACTTGAACTCACACTTAAGGCAAGTCTCTGCACGACCCTCAGTCTAATCAAAAATGAGGTGTTTATTGACTCTAATGTAATTGTTGCACGTGATTATTACATTATCCTTCTTCTATAGGGAAAGGAATTTGGGTCACAGAAACAAGTAGAGTTGCTGCAATCTCATGACAATTGCATATAGATGGATTTTTAGAAATATGGTAATCAATGATGGTGTAACTGTTATTGAATCAATTATGTTTTACTATACAATTTAGTGTAGAATACTTAATGTCAAAAAAAAAAACAAGTGTATAAAATGTATAAAACCAACAGAAGTTAGGCCATATATATGTTCTTTAGCTTTACACAGCCACCCAAATGCCACACGTCACAATTAATCCACCTTCCTAAGAAGGTTTAAATCAATCAAATTACATCAGACAATTGGTAGCACCTAACTTATGGTGTTGCTATAACCCAAAAACTGCATTCGATATTTATTCCTTTTTCACCTGTAACGGTCTAACCAACGACGGAATCTTGAGACTGATTTGGGTCGCCGCAGACTTGTTTCAGGGTATTTGACTGAAAATGGAACTATCTCATCCAAGGTCTTTACACAATTTAAGATAACAAAGTTCTCGAAGATGTGTATATCCCACAATGGCTGCTTATGTTTGTCTTTTATAGTGTTGTAGAAGGACCTGTCAGTTCTAACTTGTATATAACATTCACCCACTTGACATTCCATCATCTCTAGTACCAGAGTAATATCCAACTTTTCAAAATTGAGATTTAGATTTACAAGAAGCGGCGCTCTTTCAATTATCCATCTAAGGGGCGTTAATTGGGTGGTGGTTCCATTGTATTGAAGTGAAAGGAATCTTACTCGGTCGAGAAAAAACATACCGACTATTTGAAGGAAAAAACGCTTCATGGAGTCACTGCTTTCAGTATGGCCAACTGACTTATTCGCATCGGTGATATAAAGTTTCAAAACTGTAGGATGCGCCCTTGCTGTAACATGTGGTCCATACTCCTTCAATTTTAAAAACTCTCCAATTGTCATTCTCACCTCAATAGAGTGAATATAAAAACATTTATACTTCCATATCCAATTATCTGTCTCGTTTAGCACGTGCAAAACGTGGAATATATTTGATGACCTCGACTCAAGAATAAACTCTGAGCTTGGTGGAGGGCAAATATGTAACACCAGTTGACCATCGAACGAATAATACGGCATGAATATATACTGATGGCGATACTCATCCCCACTCCACACTTGAAGCACAGTAGTGAAGTAAAAGTAACGCTTAATCAAATGTTTCACAACTTCAAAGTCGAAGATTATGTACTTTTTATAATATCTTGAAGCAGGTGGACTTCCACAGTGGATATAAATCTTTTCCCCGAATCTTCTTGAAAAAGGAATCATACTTGCACGTACGGTTTTCCAATAACCAAAAAGTTCGTAGATACGTAGGCAATTCTGGTTTACGGGTGCCAATCTATTGGCAATTTTGTAGGCTCTATCTCCATAAGCGACTTCCACCAATAGCTCAAATTGGTCAATTTGTGATAGCAAATTTAAACAAAAAAGTACCACATCTTCAGGAAAAGTTAGTAGATGCTCCTTTAGTTGAATAGCCTTTAAAAGCAATTCAATGGGAAGGTCAAGAAGCTGCATGTTATAATGCACTGATATTGGGTTTAAGTGCGAGGGGACTTTTGCAGCAATATATCAAGCTAGATGGTCACAAAATTAGGAAACTACAATTACATTGGGTGCTCTTTTCACAATTATGTAAAAGAAAGGTCCATCAGTGTTTTGGTCCAAAGAGTTTCCTCAAAATGGATTTATATGTTNATGTTGAAACCAGCCTCGTCGATGAAAACACAATTCTTTTCAAGGTCAATTTTAACCTTATTCTCAAGTGCCCACTCGAGTCTCTGTTGTTTTAATTCTGGCAGATCCCGTCTCATGGCCCATTTGGAAAGTCTCTTGAGACTAAACTTGCATACCTTGGTGAGAAAGTTATAAATAGTAGAAACACTTGCCTTCACACCCTCAAATGTACTCCTTAGTCTATCCAACAAGAAGTCTACAGTAACAGTGGGGTCCGAAAGAACCAAATCCTTCAAAAAGAATTTGTGTTCTTGGATAAGAAGAGGTTTGCGGCCACGCTTCTTTGTCTCTTTATGAATACCATTAGCTATGTCAGCAATAAGGCGATTTCAATTTCTTTTCCAAATATAAACTGTTTGTAAACTGATATTGAGTGCTTGTGCAGCTCTGTATGCAGAAGACCCTTGCTCGATAACTAGTTGCCAGAATCGTTGCTTCTCTGCTTCGGAGTAGTATCTGTTTGGACCTCTTTTAGATTTACAGGTTTCATCCTGTTCAGAGCTAACGTCTACATCTACATCATCACACTCCATGTCGGAATGTAAATTGTCAACTTCAATTTTAGTTGGAGGGACTGCTTCATTGTAATCACTGTAACAAAAACAGGACTCTAATGGAGCTGTCTGGCTGTCCAAATTCATGAGATCTGGATCCAAAGGATAAGAATTACCTAGTCCATCTACATACCTGTTCAGCTTGAACTTCATTTCTTTTATTAATAATATTCTTTCCAACGAGAAACAAAATCACATAAAACAAAATTATGTCGCACTGGTTTGAGAAATTATGTCGCATTGATTTGAAAAATTAATTCATTTTAGTTTGAAAAATAAATGTCGCGGTGGTATGAATCATTATGTCGCACTAGTATAAAACATAAATAAAAAGACTGTACTTAAAATACTTTGTACTTATGTATGAAAATCAAAAAAAAGAAAAGCAGTAAAAATTGACAAGTTTAACGCGGTAATATCTTCAGACACTTTTGTAAATCATAATTCCGCTGTGTACCGGAGTTACTTCCCGATTCGGATATAACCATATCCGACAGCAAAACTTTTCAGACACAAAATTCCCACCCAAATTTAAAAAATGTTTTTTTTCTCTCTCTCTCTCTCTCTCTCTCTCTCGATTAATAGGCATTATCTTGGTTGTTCTCATTATTATGTAATAAATGTCGGAATTGTCAATGAGTAATACAGAAGCCACTTGCAAATTGTAAAAAACTTTTATCAAAATGAAGGAGGGGGAAGGGACGAGAAACTTCTTCTTATTCATCTGATCTTATGCCCTACACATAGGCTTCTTGCAATTCTTTCTTTTTTTTTTTTTTAACTCTGTGACTACTACCATGGGCAGCAGCAACCCTACAATAACAGAACAGCTTCAGGGCTTTCCAATATTTCAAATGGTCATCGTTGGGTTACTTCGACTATCTGAACCAATCGCTTTCGCAAGTTATCTCAGTTACATCTTTTTCATGATCAAAAGTTTCCGAATCGCAAAGAGCGATGCTGACGTTTCTAGATACAGTGGTTATTTAGCATCGGCATTTGCGTTCAGTCAGTTTTTGAGCTCAGTCAAATGGGGCAAAGCATCTGATAAATACGGGAGAAAGCCTATTATTCTTTTCGGATGCTTTGGTACTGCGATTTCGATGATTGTTTTTGGTTTCAGCACAAACTTTTATATGGCTTGTGCTGCAAGGATCATGATGGGGTTATTGAATGGAAATGTTTCTATCATGAGAACAACTGTGGGGGAAATAGCCGTTGAAAAGCGCCATCAGGGAATCGCATTTTCAAATTTGAGCTTGTTATGGAGTCTTGGTAAATGCGTTGGTGCGTACCTTGCAGGGAAATTGACTGACGTTGACCATTTTAGAAATTACAGACGTGATGAGGAGGAGAGTAAACACGAGTCTGATTCCTTATTTGTGAGATTTCCGTTTGCATTTTCAAACATTGTCATTTCATCAATCATACTCTGTTTTATTGTCCTAGGTTGGTTGTTCCTTGAAGAGACAAACGAAAGGGTGAATCATAAACGCGATCGGGGGTTGGAAATTGGTGATTCTATTCGCCGGTTGTTGGGGTTTGAAGTACCTGACCGGCCTTGGAAAATGGCAAAGTCTGAAGACGGTGAATTCTTGATCGAAGAAAATTCATTACGTGATGATGACTTAGAAGAAAATGACACATACGAGTTGCGACTGTTGACTTCAAATGAGGAAGTCACCACGAAGAAGAACACTGATATTGCACTCTTCACTTGGCCGATAATTTATCGCATAATTTGTAACTTCTTGTTGTCATTTTGCAATATCATCTATACCGAATTCCTCCCCATTTTGTTGTCGAAATCAATCGATGCAAAGTCTTTGAAATTTCCAATTCATAGTCGAGGTGGTTTTGGTTACAGCACAGAAGCCGTTGGTAAACTCCTTTCAGTTACCGGACTTACTGGCGTGATTTGTGTCAGTTTGTTGTTTCCTGTCATCAACAAGTACTTGTCGCTTTTGACTGCTTTTAGATCTGGATTAGGGTTCATTCCGCTCATATCATTCACTTTGCCGTTGATAATATTCACAATACCAGAGTACAATCCGTTGTTTCATCTGCACGCCCAAACAACAGCACTTCTTTACTTGAACACGTTTTTGTCCTCATTTGTCGGTTCAATTTCGTTCCTGCAAATGACACTTTTAATCCATCGTGCCTCCCCGAAACAACATAGAGCCGTCATCAATGGCTATACAATTTCATTCACCGCTTTTGCACGGTTTTTGTCTCCGCTCATATGGGGGTGGATTATGTCATTATGTGATTCCCATGGTATTGGTGTTGTTGCTTGGTGGATGCTAGGTGCTATCTATTTGGTGGTATTTTTCTTTACGTTTCTTCTTAGCGAGGATGACGAGCCGGAGATTTGAAAGTAATGGACGTTGAAGAATGGAACCGTTTCGTAAGTATACCTAAGAAACAAACTGAGACTAGAGATGCAAATAGTGTTTTTGCAAAATATTACACAAACATTGGTGTCCAGAAAATAATATTAATTACCTGATGCGGTAACATCACTACGTCAATAATACGAGGAAATACTGCAAATTGTCAGAAAGCTATACCCAAGGTTCAACTTGCAAAAAGAATCAATACAAATAAGCTTTTCTTTTTCTACAAACTGTACCAAATTAGGACATGTACTCAATCGAGGTTTCTTCGACTTCAATCTGTGTGTGAGGGAGTATATAATAACTGAACCTCCCTCTTATGCGAATAAGTTCCTAATTCTCGTGCTACATTAACAATGAAACGTTTGATCATTTTAGTATCGCTATGGTTTGCTACGTTTGTTTTCGCACAAACAGGGGAGGTGGACTTGGTCAGTCATGCCATTTCCATTACCAAAAGAGCGGACGAGCCATCCCAGGCTGAATTGCAAGAGGTGGACCAATACTTGAAACAGTTGGTTGCTGCAGTTACTGGCAATGTGACAAAGAGAGATAACCCTGCGTTGACTGCCGCATTTACTGCGTTGAACAAATCCGGCACGGGTGTACAAATTGTTCATGGTCTTGCCACAAACTCACTTACACAAGGATCAACCATTAAGGCAATTGAGGAGTACATTAGTAACAATGGATTGACTAAGTTGTTGGAAGCTGCTGACAACTCTGGCTTGGCTGTTTCTGTTGTCATGAGATTCTTCATCAACTACAAGATGATTCCTGCTTTGTGGGACATCATTGTGGCATTATACAACAATGGAGTCATTTCAGTCAAGAGATTGGATATTTTGGGAGCCATTGGTTCAATCATCGGTACTGTACAAGAATCGATTTGGTCATCTGTCATCACTTTGGTCAACATTGTCGCGGACCCAGAATCCATCTGTGAATCGTTGAACAAGTCCGGTTTGGGTGTGTCTATTGTCGATGATCTCTTCTCAACCAGTGATGGAAAGCTGTTTCTTATTACTTTGATCACTGATCTCGTTAATGACGGGGTCATCACTTTGGGTATTTTGCTTGATGCTTTGAGAGCCTCCAGCTTCCTTCAAAATACATTCACAAAGGTTCTTTCCAGTTCTACCAACAGGAAAATCATTTTTATATGGGCCGTCAACAACTTGGTCTCATTGATCAAGTACATCTTCTAATTCTTTTACGTTTCAGTTCAAATAGTTATTCTCAAAAATTTAGACTATATCCAGTATAATCAACTCTCCAATGTAATCACCTCAAACCTCTTTTTGGCTTCCTCTAAGCTAAAGTTTGCTTCCGCTTGGTGCCACCTCTCGTGCAATCTTCCATGCAACAAAACTAATTTTGGCTCTTCACTATTGGTATCATTGACGGCTTTTCTTCCAAACAAGCTCGACTTCATTTTGTTCCAATCGGCAAAGTCAATCTTGTCCCATTCGTCGGGTTTGTTGTATCCCAAGCGTTTCAATTTGGGTGAGTTTAAAGGTTCAGGGTCCAAAATCACTGTTTCCTTGGGCTTGCTAAAGTAGATCAACACCAATCTTCTGTAATTCTTTTGATCGTGTGGAGGAGAAACAACTCTGTGGATAGAGGACTTAAAGTACCCACCAGTGATAAACTCCATGGCATCGCCGATATTGACAATCAATCCATTAGGAGTGTGGCCAACATAATTCCATTCACCAGTGTAGTAGTCACGGATTTGCAATGACAAAATTGGCTGTGAAGTAATGAATGTAAACCCGCCACTGTCAGAATGGCCTCTCAACCACGTGTTTTCAACCTTCTTTTGGTCCTCTGGGGACATTGCGTCGTAGAGCATAAACCTTCCAGCACCACCACCTGAGCCATCAAAGTCGCCGTCCTTGACAGAGTAGTAGTTTTCATAAATGAACCCTTCGGGAAGTTCCAACACCAAGTCCGTTAAGTTGCAAAGCTTCTTCAAGGTATCGGTATGCAAAAAACGGTAGTACTCGGCAATCTCTTTAAGGTGGTCCTTGGCGACTTCTGGGTAGTTATTAGCCTCTGTGTCGAAAAATTTGGAGTGATTCATGTGGTTGAAATTGTAGTGAGTGATCGAATCCTCAACCCCATTGCGCATAGACCAGTACCCCTTTGGCTTGTAACCAGAACCACGTTCCGCGCCAACTGACTTGGATCTATCTTCAAGGTCCGATTTGAGTGCACCGGCCAAGTACTTCTTTTGTTCTTCAACTGGCACCTCCAACAATGCTTGCGCTACTGATTTGAGGTGCTCTAATTTCTCTGCACCAAATCCGTGGTTGATCACTGAAATGAAACCATATGTGGACAAGGATTTTTCAATCTTTGCAGCAAGCTCTTTTCTGCCAGCAAGGTTTTCAGGACCGTCCTTGTACAATGATAGGTCAATAGATTCCAACTCGATTGGTTTCTCGCCTGAAGAAGACAATGGAGCTTCAACAAATGGTCTTAATGTGTATGTCGGTGCTTTCGATGGCATAGTTGGGGGTGGGTATTGCAATATACGAAGAAGAGCAAAGTTGAATCATTTGACACCATTTATATCAAACGCATTTTCAGGAGGGAAGGTCGGCGTTATCTACATCCACCCGAAGGTGTGGTGTCATCGGCCACTATTATGATCACTTTTGTGCAAAAATTGGCAATGCAGGAAAAAAAAGAAAGAAAAACTGTGGCTGCAAAAAAAAAAAAAAAAATCATCCAATCAAATACGAAAGCCACATCCGAAATCTACATGTGAATCAATTATCAACCGTACACTATCAATTTGCTTACCTACATGTACTTATCTAACCCTCCTTGCCGAATTTTTCCTGTAATGTCCTTTTCAACTTCGCCTCAAACTCCTCTTTGCTCTCTCCTTCTCTCCATCTCAAATTGTAAGCAGGATGGTCGGGTTTCAAATACGTTGGGTCCTCTCTATCAATTCCATACAAGTTCTCCCTAAATGTCAATCCGTCCTTTGGATAATCTTGCCAAACCAATCCTCTTCTCTGTAACTCTGGAATGAGCAACTCTACAATATCCTCAAACGTACCCGGTGTAATTGCATATGTGAAATTGAATCCATCAACTCCTGCCACATCTACCCAGTTTTCAATCTCATCCGCAACGTCAGATGGGGAGCCAATGAACAATACACCAGATCCACCAACGGAAATTTTGTTGGCGAGGTAGCCTCTAGTCTTTTTGAGATCAGGTGGATCTCCAGGGAACGCCTTTGTGAACAGCTCAACAAAACTGTGGATCGCATTGCTTTCCACTTTATCCAATTCCTGATCCCACTCGTACTTCCCAATATCAATTCCAGACCATCCGCCAAAAAGCGCCTGTGCTCCTTCGAGATCGGCATACTTTTTAAACTCTTGAAACTTCTCAACAGCTTCTTCGTAGGTAGGAGCAACGATAGCCGTGACCAATTGCACTTTTTTCACATCCTCGGGGTTTCTTCCGTGCTTCTTGATCAAGGTGTTGAGCTTGTCGATTTTGGTCTTCAATCCCTCCGGAGTGTTACCATTGATAAATACCGCTTCGGCGTTTTTTGCCGCGTATTCCAAACCTTTGGAGCTAGCACCAGCCTGTAATATAACCGGCAATCTTTGGTATGGGTTCGGTTCAGAAATGAATGGACCTGGTACTTTGAAATGTTTCCCTTCGTAATTGATTTCTCTGATTCTTTCAGGGTCAGAATACACCCCTTTTTGCGAATCCAATTTGACTGCATCATCGGCCCACGACGACAAGAAAAGCTGATAAACTACTTCCAAGTACTCTTGTGCTTTCTCATATCTCTCATCATGTGGTGGCAAGGGTGCTCCATTCAACAAATTTCTGCTTGCAGTGTCCAAGTACGATGACACAATGTTCCAACCCACGCGTCCATTGGTTAAACGATCCAAGGTAGCTAACCTCCTAGCAAAATGGTACGGAGCCTCGCTGATTGTGCTTGACGTGATGGCAAAAGACAAGTTCTTTGTCACCGCGGCCATTGCAGGAACAACGGCACTTGGCTCATTGATGGGCCATTGCGCCCCAGACTTTGCCGCTGCGGTAATATTTCTTGGACCATTGTAGACATCATAAGGACCCAAAACATCAGCAATGAATAGCGCATTGAACTTGCCCTTTTCCAACAATTTGGCAAGATTTGTCCAGTATTCAATTGTGTTGTAGTCTTTTGATTTGTCCTTGGGGTGTTTCCACAACCCTGGCGATTGCAAGCCTGGAGTTGCCATATCGAAGGCATTGACAATGATTGGCTTTCTTTCCTTCTTTTGTCTTTTGGTTGTCATTCTTGGAATGGATGTAGTTTGTAGTCTTGAAGAAGAAGGAGGTGAAGGCTTGATTGAAGTGCTTTTCGCCAAATTTGACGTTTTTGCAAACCAAAAAAAAAAAAAAAGAAACTGTGGCTCATATGTTGCAAACCATCCGAACGAGAAAAAAAACAATAGACGACAAATTCGGCACGCGTAGCTAGATCCGACTTTCGCACCACGGACATTCAGATACCCAGTGCAAGGGTGATTTGTGGTTACTAGCTTAATTTTCCTCGAGGATGGGGAGGTGGGGGGGGGGGGGGCTGCTCTTTTAATGGAAACATAGTGATTGAAGTAATTCAGTGTTGAGATTAATTGGAATTGTTTGAAGCGGTTTTCCAAGAATGTGTGTTGATAGTTTTCCAATCGTCTTTAATCAAGAAAGTAGCACGGATGCTCCATTGGTAACCGCAACGAGCTGTTTTCAAAGAAATGTCTCATTTGTGTTGGTAAATACATATGACGTCTATCATGATGTTGCAACTTCAGCTTTAGCAAGCACGTCAATTGTTGACCTTCAAGGTGGTTATATTCTTGCAATGAAGTTTTGTTAAGAAAATGGATACAAGTTTCAGCTTCTTCTTTCAATTAAGGCTTTTTTTTTTAAAAAAAAAAAAAAGGGCAATCGTTTCGGGTTGTACATGAATTAGATCTAAAGTAAAACAGTGTCAGCACCTATAATGTTAGTTTGTTACATTGAAAAAAGTCCTACTGACTTGGATGAAGATTACTTGCTGACTATCACTGATTAGTTCGATGACGATCATCAAACTCTTGCACAGTTAGTTTTAGTAACTTAGCCAGCATCTCATCTTATCGCAACACAAAATTAAAGTTTTTGTAACTACAAACAAAAATGCGAGCATTTAAATAAAAACTGTGCCTCCACGCGCTGCACCCGAAATCCGCACTACTGCCATGGAACAGGACTGGTAAAGTGTTAGGGGCAGTAAGAGTTGATCTCTTGTTGGGTCCGTATACACACTTCAACTCATTCTAGTATGATTTTATGAACTGTAAGCTTCGCTCACTTGAGGAAGTATGGCAAGCAAGTGCGTCATAGCAATCGAAACCTCGTAACACAAATGGTTACGGATTTTTCCACATTTTGTGTCTGCCGATTAAATAATTTTTTTTTTTTTTCTTTCGCTCACTTTCTCCGACAAGGGGATAAGGATAATCTTCAAGGGATGATACGGAAATAAAGGAAGAAAACAATTGGTTACAGATAGTTATGTTAGTAGGAGCATGATCCAAGTCAAATGGAAGCAGATGGAAATGTACACATTAACACGAAAGCCTCAGAGAGTTTCAAGAACTGGTGAATCATGTTTACATCCTCTATTTTGGAGGCAATATGCTCTTCAGACATTCTTTGATTATCTTTTTGTCTGCCTCCTTGTAAACTGTGTCTCACCCAACAGAAAAAAATAAAATTAACTTACTCTAGAAAGAAAGAAAGTAGTTAACAAATAAATTACTTGCGTATGAAAAGAAAAAAAAAGGGCACAGACAGACAGGCAGGCAGACAGACACAAAATTTAATTAGAGAGAGAGAGAAAGAGAAGGAGAAATTTCATTCGAGGCTGAAAGGGTAAAAAAAAGGAAAAAGAAAAAAAGGAATAATCTTTGTATCTCAGAGGAGGACTGAATTCTCATATCCTTTCTCCTTAAATACTAAACCACTATATCAACCGTTAATTAAACACACATTGGACAATCGCTTCAAAAGACTTACACACTCGCTACAACAGAACATAACCCGTCGTTGAAAACTGATTGGATAGTATTGCAGCTGACTAGCTGGCTGGCTTCACTCTCAATTTCTTTTTTTTCATTTTTCATCGGACACCCCCTCCCCCGTTGCTTTTTTAAAAACACCAAGATACAGGAAAAAAAACCTCGAGTTTTCTACAACTTAACGGTATCTACTTCAACTTGTGTATACTACTCAATTAGTGGATATCAATACATTGGCGACTACTAAACGAGTATTCGTTGATACACCAGTGCATACAGGTTTTGCAAGTTACATTCGCTATTTTACACACTTCCATTGCTCAATATCTGTACATTCGCTTAATACCAATACCATAAAGATGAATTTCGAGAACAGCTTCCTATCTCAGGATGATACAGCTGAGATTTCACCGATGGTCAATCAACAGGATTCATTTATGTCCAATCTAGATCACAATGTTATCAAGTCCCAATATGTCACACCCAACCCAAATATCAACACATTCGACAACATCACTTTCAACAGTGAGCAGAACAGCTCTAGCGCATTTCCGCCCCACGACTTTTTTGACCTTTTGGACTTTGACACCGATAAGCATTTTGGTTTGGAGACACCCAAATCGTCGATGGATCCCAAGTTTAACCAGCCTTTGCCTGGTGGCCATTTTTCAAACAATGCCACACCGGCAACAATACCCATGGCCAAATTTCCACCATTTTACTCCGGAGATAAGAATAATTCTCATTCAAATGTCACGGTTCAAACGCAGTCATCTCCAATCGTTTCCAATATAACGAGTGCGCATAATTTCAACTCTGTTGATGTTTTCAGTGAGCCAATGTTGAGCACTCCGAGTTCTCTGACAGGGTTGAGAAGCTCGCCTCAGCAATTTACCTCACCTTCGTATGCAAATTACCAAATGGCGCAAAATTCGATACCTGGGCCAGTTTCAGGGCCAATTGGTCTTGGTTTGAACACGGATATAATAAATGCTAACGCTAAGGTACCACCACCACCACCACCACCAACGCAACAATTGCAGCTGTTACAAAGTCTGAAAAGGCACTCACCCTCGCAACAAACTTTCTTGGCCCAACCTCCTTTGCCGCCACAGAACCACATGACTAAACTCTCACCATATGAGAGGGCTAATGCCATGTTTCAACAAAAGCTACAACAACAAGATTTAGTTCAATTGCAAAATGATCTTGAATCGACGAGGAAATTTCGGTCGGAACTGAATTTAAACTTGCAAGCGTTGATTAAGGAGGAGAAAGAGAAGCAGGATTACCGAAATACTTTGAGGCAGTCAGAACTGCCAAAACAACGTGTGTTTAAGCACACCAGGTCGTCTTCGAGAAATATTGAAATCAAAGAGGAGACCGACGTCTTGCGAGAGTCACTTGCAGAGAATGGAACGACTCAACAAGCAGGCTCCTTGCCAAGTCGACATGAACAGGTTCATAACACTACAGACATGGAGTCACCAACAACTATCGAAGTTACAAGCCCACAATCCTCTATCGAGGATCTTAATTCAAGTACCAACAACGTTTTCCAACAGAATGACATCACAGCGGAGGATTTGCTCAATGATGACAATTTTGAAAACTTGGTCACCCCACGCATGGACACGAGAGAGTATTTCAAAGATATTGTTGATTTGGATAATCAGATTGATATTGACGTGGATAATTTTGAACATAACGTGAGCGAGTTTGTGTCGTTGGACAATCGAGTGCTGTCAAATGCAAATTTGAACAATACAAGTGTGGGATCAACACTGCAAAAGAATAAACTTGCAGTTGCTTTACCATCATCGACGACAACGACAACGGCAACAACAACGACAACGGCAACAACAACGACAACGACAACGACAACTCCACCATCCTCATCTACAAAGAAACGAAGCACAAAGAAAGTTTTGAAGAAATCGTCATCGTTCAATGGATCTCCATCACTCATTTCTAATCCCAAGCTTTCCAAATCAAGAAGTCAATTCAAAACTCTCCCCTCGAATTATACGGGTGCGACTATCGGGACTTTCCCCGTGATCAGCACCAGCGTCTCCAATAAAACCACGACAAACACAAAAAGCCAGTCAAGTCCATCCACGTCATTCGTATCCCCGCAGAAACGGGCCATATCCCTAAATCATGCAGATATGTTGGGAACCGTGCCCATCCTTGACTTGGGCAATCATTACTCATTTGTATATGAACATGCGCACGAGAATGGTGGTCCTGGTGGTGGTCCTGGTGGCCATGTTGGTAGAAGCACGTCTCATCATCGGAGTTTATCGGGTCGAAGATTGAGTAGTTTCCAGGATAAGAACTTCAGCCCAAATGTGCAATCGAAGATGTTTGAGTTTCAAGTCAAGTTGAAGAAGTAAGGATTTGAGAGAGGGAAAGGGATTTATTGGGTTGGTTTTAGTTTCGTTTCTTTTTTTTTTTTTTTTTCTTTTTCTTTTCACCGTTTTCTTTCTTATGTATTTTGTTTAGTTTACTTTGGGACATTTGAGGGGGTTTATCCCATAAAAATGATTTTGTTTAATGTTTGGTTCATCTATACTCGTTTGTAGTGGTTGCAGTACTGAAGGATCTTCTGAAAAGGAAACGGAGTAGCTTACACTGGCTCATTTAGTATAACTTAGATATTTANGGGAAAGGGATTTATTGGGTTGGTTTTAGTTTCGTTTCTTTTTTTTTTTTTTTTTCTTTTTCTTTTCACCGTTTTCTTTCTTATGTATTTTGTTTAGTTTACTTTGGGACATTTGAGGGGGTTTATCCCATAAAAATGATTTTGTTTAATGTTTGGTTCATCTATACTCGTTTGTAGTGGTTGCAGTACTGAAGGATCTTCTGAAAAGGAAACGGAGTAGCTTACACTGGCTCATTTAGTATAACTTAGATATTTATTTTGAAAAAGTAAATAATATACAGCTTGTACCCCTGTGCACACCCTCAGAGTAAGTCAAGGATCGATAAACACAACGTTTCATTTACATCAACAAATCCGCCCGATATCGAAAACTTCATCAATCACAACAGTCCAATTACATCACCTCTCTCTTCCGGATGCTTCCTCTCAATCCTTCACCTTCTTCACAAGTCTTTATCCCTAGGCACATACTCAGTAGTCAACACCGGCTTTTTTCTCAACCTATCCGTTAGTGAAATGACGCCCTCGTTGTTATAAGCCCACATGGTTAATCCAATGGGTACCAAACCCATAAACACTATGTTGAATGCAACTGATCTTGGCTTGAAACGGAAGTAATGGCCTAATTTTTCCTTGGCCGTGTTGAATTTTTGCAATTCCCTGTCTGGGTGTAATGTGCCTGCCATTGTCGATGGTCCACTGTGTAGGTATTCCTGTAGCTCTTTGCTCAGCAGTGGCTTTTTTGTTGGAATTTAATTGGTGCGTAAAAAAGAATTTAGATTAACAGTGAAAGTGGTAGCACTGATGTCACAAGCCGGTAGCGCAATCTTTCTTTACATCTTTTTTGTAAACCAAAACAAAACAAACACGTCCTGAGCAGCAGAGCCCGGTGGCATAAGACGTCCAGCAGCCAAGTACAGCTTCGTTATGTCAAATATAGAGTACGATACTCGCGCAACTGCGCTTCTTACAGAACACCTCGGTTTTGCTCCCATAAAAGTCGTTGACGAAGTGATCAACGCCGTCAATCAAATCATGGTTCAAGGCATAGAAGCACTTGAGAACTACCTAACCAACGTCCACGCCCAGGGCCAACTACCGGATACCATAACCCACGACGAGATTCTTGCGGGCACTGCCAAATTAGAATCACTACTTCAATATCGTATAGACTTCGCATTTGATAAATATGAATTGTATTGCTTGACAAATATTTTCCATGTTCCTCGGGACTTGATAACTGATGGCTGGTTTCGATTGCGAGCGCATGAAGGGATTGATTTCATGCAGTTGTTAGAGAATCCGATGGCGAAGCTGGAGTATGATGATGAGATTTTGAAAATGAATGATTTGATACGGCAGGAGTTGTATAAGCGGCGGTATTACAAGTTGCAATTGGTCACTTTTGATAAGATTAGGGAGTACCTTGAATTAGTCCTGGATAAGTTTGGTAAATTGTATGAAATGAGGGGGGAGACAATGGGGAATGGAAGTGAGGATGATAATGGGGAAGCAGTGGGGGGGACTTCAGCAAGAGAAATTCTTACGAAATTGAACCCTATTGATCTAACGTTGGCTGAAATGATTTTGCAATTGAAAGACGTGATTAAACAAGTTGAGATTGCTAAAGGCAAACTCAGCACTGTTGAATTGAAAAAAGTCACTTTTGATCATGGAGATGAGTATGTGGAGAAACGAGGTGTACGTATTTTGAAAGATTTGCGTATTATAGCAAGCAATGAGTTGAATCGACTAAAGGATCTGGAAGTAGGAGGGCACGATGCTGGTGATAATACTGATATCAACATGTTTGAGAATATCCCCGATTGGGACATTGTGAATCAGGAAGTTAATGAAGCTAAGGAATCACGAATAGGAGTAGATACTCGTGTCGATGAGAAATAGCAGACCGAACTATCTAGAGCGACGTAATGAATATACAACGATTACTTACTTGATCTTTTGTAGTGGGTACAAGACTCTTCTCCGTTTCCTCTGCTGTTATGCATTCCTAGGGTTGTAGGTTGAAATCAGTTGGTAGCGATGTTGTGTCTTCTAGGTTTCTCGTCCATCAACAAAAATCTATATGCGTGGAATCCATCTGGCAGAACAAACTCCACGCAATCTCTACAAACAGACCCAAAAAGCTTCCTCGACTACTATTATACATAATGAAGGAAACAAGAGAGTATAGAAGAAAAGAGAAACAGGAGCTTCAAGGACTTAGCGAGCACAAGAACCGACCTAGGACCATCACCCATCTTCATGAACTATTACCTGGGTTGAATGATATCAGCGATGCTTTTGAAGCATTACCCTTGGACATCGTAAAGTATTTCACACTCTTGAAGGAGATTGACGCCAAGTGTATAAACACCGTGCCACAAATCAACCATAGGATCAAAAACTATATTGACAACTTGCACGTTGCCCCTGCACTGAATGACGGAGATGTCAATGGAAGAGCAGATGAAGATGAAGTGCAAGTGCAAGCGCTAGCGCTTGCTAGGAAACAAAAACTGGAGAATTCACAATTGAACATCATCAAAAATAAGATCAATGAGGTTATCCCTTGTCTTGAAGAGAAGATGCATGTTACTTCAGTAGCCACCGATTTGTTGAATAAACATATGCGTCGTATAAATCAGGACTATAAGTTAATCATACAAAATAATGAAATTCCCGAGAACATACGTATTGGTCCATTGGTCCATCCAGCTATGATTCTTGACTCGACACATCCTGCAAAAGACCTTCAGAATGGAAATGGAGAAGGTGCAACTGGTAATGGTAACGGTGGTGGTGGTGGTGGTGGTAATGGTGGTGGATACGGTCACGGCTCTAGTACGGCGCAGTCGCAACGTAGTGAGAGTAGGAGAGAGGCGTTGGCTGCGAGAAAAGCAAACAAGGATGATGATAGAGATGGTGGTGCTAGTGGGTCTAATGTGAGTAAGAAGAAGCGGAGTAAAGAGCAAACTCCATTTGAAGGGGGGAAGAGCGCCAATGGAAATAATAGCAGTACTGGTGGTAGTGATAAGAAGAGAAAGAATGAGGATCGAAGTTCAACTTCGTCGTTGTTGAAAAAGAAAAAGAAGGGGGCTGATGATGATGGTGATATTGACGGTGGTGATGAAGATGACGGTGATGATAACGGAGTGAACCTGAGGAGTGACGGCAGGAAATCCAGCTCGGCTAACCTAGATAAGCTGAAGGGAACGGCAAGTAATTCGGGTGCTGGCGGAGGAGCAGGATCCTCGGGTGGTAGTGGTGGCTCGCATGAACCTACGTATTGTTATTGTAACCAAGTTTCATTTGGTGAAATGGTTGGATGTGATGGGGAGGATTGTAAGCGAGAATGGTTTCATTTGCCATGTATTGGGTTCAAGAATCCGCCAAAGGGGAAGTGGTATTGCGATGACTGTTTAAAGAATATGAAGGTGAAGAAGTTGTAGAGGTGTGAGGAAGCTTGGGGAGTTATGTCCTTTTATAGTAATGTTGTCAGTTTCTTTCAAACTTCAATGTATGAGTGTGCTCTGAAAATTGCGAGATAAAGTATTGAAGTGGAAAGAGGATAGATGTGTTTACGACTAACCTGTGAAAAAAGCAACACAAGGCGACGACGTAACAGGCGTGTATTTGTGATTCTGCGAAGCTGGTAGAGAGGATATTGTGTAGTTATTGTTCTTTAGAGGTTCTTTTCGAGGCAATTGTGTGCGTTGAAGGAAGAAAACCAAATAGCCACAAAAAAACCGCGCCAGTGTGTGTGACTGTAATGAAGAGAAAGTAGGTCAGAGAGCGCAGTGAAAATCGAAGTTTCGATGACACCAAATTTAAAGTTTGAGGCTGAGAGGGTATCAGTGAAATTATGTGTGACGGATAAAGGTGACACGTCATATCGATAATTTGGTGCAAGTGAAATAGAACCAAATCATTTCAGATCCAATCGTCAATATGTAGAAATGATGATGAAATTGGCGTTTGTTTTGTTGCTATATAATATGCATATATATATATATATACATTTACACGTAATGCTCAATTTCTAATGTCGTGTGTGCTAAGTGTCGTGTCGTTTCTATTAATTTTGATTGATCAATTGATTGCTGAAATTTAAACAAAAAATTAACAAAATAAAAATACAAAAAGGACTTTCGTTAATATTTAATTAAATTTCAAATTTTCTGTGCATATATAAAATAAACAACAGAGTAGAGTCATTTCAATACTCAGCACTTTCTTGCTACTAGATTACACTTGACTGCCATTTTTTACAATGTTGAGAGAGTACAAATTGGTAGTAGTAGGTGGAGGTGGTGTTGGTAAATCAGCACTAACCATTCAATTGATCCAGTCGCATTTCGTTGACGAATACGACCCTACGATCGAAGATAGTTATCGAAAGCAATGTACCATTGATGGTGAACAAGTCTTGTTGGATATCTTGGATACTGCTGGACAAGAAGAATATTCCGCCATGAGAGAACAATACATGAGAACTGGTGAAGGATTCCTTTTGGTTTATTCCATAAATTCAAGAAATTCGTTGGAGGAATTGCAAACTTTTTATGAACAGATTTTACGTGTTAAGGACCGTGACCAAGTACCGGTATTGGTTGTGGGAAACAAGTGTGATTTGGAGATGGAAAGACAAGTTAGTTACGAAGAAGGTCAAGCTTTGGCGAATAGTTTCAATTGCCCGTTCGTGGAAACTTCAGCTAAATTGAGAATCAATGTTGAAGAAGCGTTTTTCGATTTGGTGAAGTATGTTAGAGCTAGTGAAGAGAGTGAGGGGCAAGAACGTTTGAAAGACGAGGGAGTATCACCACAACAACAAGAGCAACAACTCAAACAGCAACAACAGCTGCAAGCACAACAGGCTCAATCCCAAACACAGCCACAATATCAATCGCAACAACAGGCCAATGGTGTAGTGGGAGGAGCTGCTGCGGGTGCGGGTGCGGGTGCGGGTGTGGGTGCTGGTACTGGCGCTTCTGCCGCTGGTGCTGGATCTGCAGCTCAGAAATCAAATGGAGCTGGACAAAATAACTCACGAAAACAGCAATCTCAGCAAAATGGTTCTAGTGGAGAAAAATCCAAATCAGGCTGTTGTGTTATTGTTTAGGGGAGTGAGCTGGCAGGAAAAGGAGAAAAGGAAAACATGTTCTTCCTACTAATGACTATGCAGTCACAATGGCTGGCTTTCCCTTCCCCGAAAATACAAAGAAAATCAAAAGTTTCGAGTCAATGGACCCCAAAGCGGTCTCCGGGATTTGTCATTTGGTTGTTTATTGTAGTCGAGTTTTGAAAAAGAATATATCGTTAGTCTTTTGTAATAAGTAATTTATTTTTGTGAATCGAGCGTACAGAGGTGAAGTGAGGTGATTCTACCAAGATTCATTCCATCTTTACACGCTACAAAACTTCTCTCTCTTCTTTTCTAATTGATGAAGTGAATAACAATAAAGTGTAAGATCAAGCTGGCAAAGATGAAATCGGCAAATGATCTTTCCGGTGAAATACCAGTAAACACCCTTTTAAACCTGTTACCACCGCCATCAACAACATCAGCTCCATTATCCACAACAAAGATGTCTTCGTCATCGTTGTCATTGTCAACAATATCAACATCAATAATGTCCTCTACTTGATCACTCTTTGCGTTGCTCTTTTTATTACCTTTGCTTTTTCTGTTTTTACCACTTGCACCACCACTAGACCCCTGATCATTGATTTGTAATCTTAAACTCACCAACAACACAAATTGGCCAACACAAATGGCGAATCCACCAAGAAATGCATTGAATGGGAAATTACCAATCAAGAGCACATACACAAATTGTAAAATGCCCAAAGACACCAAAAACACAAGAAACAAGTCAATTAGTTTCAATTTGGGAGTTACGTGGTTGAAATAGTCCCTTGTCGTTGTGTTTATTGCTGATTGAAGTTCGGCAAATGTGGTGGTCACCGATTTAGGTTGCAAGAGGATTGAGTCTGAAACAGGAGTGGATGTGGATGTGGATGTCGATGTCGATGTGTTGTGGTTGCCAGGACTAGATTTTGCGGCGGCAGCAGCAGCAGCAGCTTGGGCTTTCTTGATTGCTGAAGCTTCCTTTTTGGCCATTGTGTTCCTTTCGTTGTAATGGGAGAATTGGCGTCAACTGGTTTATGTCAATGTGTCGTTGTCAATAGAAAGTGGAAAAAAAAAAAGAATCACTCCAACGTGACGAAATTGGATCGGACACGAAGTAAAAGACACAACAGACAAACAGACAGACAGACAGACAGAGAAATGGAAAAACGAAAAAAAATTCAAGGCCTCGCTACAGTCAATACAATAAGAGCTCCATAATTTGTTTCAACAGCAAAAGAGCTTTGACACAACATCCGAAGAAAGCCATTATCTCCTGGCTCTCATAGTATAAAGGAAAAAAGAAAGAGGTAGCATTGAGAAATGGCGGTTCGTCAGTCTGTTCCCTTACAAGGCAAACTTAGTCAACAGTTGAAATCGAATGGTGACGACGGGTCGAGTTACTCGGAATCAATTCCGACTCAGCAACAAGAGCAAGAATTACTGAACAATATACAAGCAGAGAACTATAATGGCCTACAGCAGCAGCAGCAGCAGCAACAACATAATCAAGACACCAGTGATGCGCAAGCCCAACTAATCCTCAACGAACAACAGCAAAGATTAGACCATGCACAAACCACCAATAGCAACCTACGCAAAATATCCCACCCTCCAGTACTACGGATCGTCCCGCCACTCAATTTCTGCCCCGTTGAAAAGCAATTGTACCGATCCGGCCAACCATCAATTATAAACCAACTGTTTTTGAATCAATTGAATTTGAAAACAATACTATGGTTAGCTTCAGAAGAGCCCAACGACGATTTCCTCGACTACTGTCAATCACAACAGATAAATATCGAATACGTGGGGATGTTGAATGAGTATATTGATTTTGACCAACAGCAGCAAATGCAGCCTAGTATGAACCCATGGGATTCGTTAACTGAACCAACGATAACTAGAGCATTGGAGCTTATTGTAGATAAACTGAACTATCCGATGTTGGTGTGTTGTGGAATGGGGAGACATCGTACTGGTACTGTTGTTGGATGTTTGAGGAGGTTGCAAGGGTGGAATTTGGCGAGCGTGAGTGAGGAGTACCGGAGGTTTACTGGTGCTAGAGGTGGACGGATTCTTGTGGAGTTGTTGATTGAGGGGTTTGATGTGCTGCTGGTTGATATTGATCTGGAAAAGGCGCCTGAATGGTTGAAGATCAAGTAAGAAAGATGAGGATGCGGATGAAAGTGGAGGTGGAGAAAGGCAAGGATATTCTTTTGGGAACAACGCATGTGCTTTACTCTGTTGATCAGTTTGGTAATTGACCTAGTAGGGTACTACAGGAAGTGGTTTAAGGTATTGATGTTTAAAAATTGTGAGGTTCGCTCCCAAAGAGGAAAGAGATGTCGGACTTTCACGTTAGAGACTCATTTTTCCAGTATTTGAGGCTTTGGTGATACAAGGGTTTGTATAGTGGTCGGGTGAGAGTGGTAAATGACCTTTTAAATAGAGCATATCAATATATTGGATGTGTGTGATTAGCACGTGTGCAATTGGCATTTGGAAGAGACGTGCATTTGCCACCTGCTGTTAGTTATCTCTTTCCGTGTGTTAGTTAGCGTATTGTGCTGATTGTTGAAAAGTTTTGTTCTGTGTTGTTTCTTATCTCTGTACCTCGGTATTTCAGTATTCTTATCATACGTCATGCAAACTACGCACAAACTAGCCAGTCACGACGTAATTTCTTTCCCCTCGATTTGCTGACACTAAAAGTGTACACACTCACAAACACGCCCCCTCTCCCTTTCAATCTTACATCATAACTATTTTTAAAGTGTAAACGTTGTATCTCGATTTAGACAAACCCCGATCACGGTTTTTATTTTCGTTTTTTTTTGCTCTCCCCCTCCCTTCCCTTATCACACAGAGAGAGATAAAGATAGAGAATTTATACACTTTTGCACTACCTCCAAAAAAAAAAAAAAAAAAAACTCTCACGCACACCCTTTGCGGAGAGAGACACCAGAGAGAACAGAGGAGAAAAGAAGAACAGCCACACAATTCTAACTATTCTTAGCCATTGCCACACATTCAAACAACAACAGCAACATCAGCAACATCATCATCATAATCTATCAGAGCTTCTTCGTCTAATAGAATAAACCACCACCACTACTACTTTTATCACACAACTTTTTGTTTGCGTTCCCTTGATATACTAAAGAAGGCAAATTAAGCATTCAACATCCCCGTCATCAACTCCTTTTTCTCTTATCTTTTTACACGCACACTTCTACAACCACAATCTACATAACAACAGCAACTATGGCAGGTACTTGTGTGAACACTATAAAGTTGTTAGGCTTGGGCTCACTTGGGTTATTAACCTCGTCGCTTATCCAGCAATCCATACAAAACATCCCCAATCTAATCACTCAAATAAATTCAATTTACCAATTACAAATCAGTGCTTTGAATACAAAAGTTAAAGAGACCAAGCTGTATCTTTGGGGTTCAAGGGTTGTTAATGGACTTTTGGCTGGTTTTAGTACTGTATTCTTCACTTTGGCTTTCCAGTATAGTCCTGTTGATGAAAAACATCCGTATTTGGTTTATGCTGCCTTTGGTGCTCCCGTGACTCTTCTTGGTTTGTATATCAAAACCTGGGTTTACGAAGAGAAAATTTTGAAGAAGCAGGATGTATCAGTTTGGAACAAGAAGGAATCTTCATCTGCCAAGACCTCGAACTCGAACTCGAACTCGAACTCGTCCCATGTCCCATCTTCGGTTGTTTCTGCTGACGAAGATGACGACGCTGAAGCGGCTATTTCCAAAGTCAATAGTGTTGATGAATTGGGCAGGTCTTATGTTCATCTTTCCGATGAATCAGGTCTCTCCACTCCAACTTCTTCTCAACCTGCTTCGCCACAAATCAGACATCAAGAAGAAGCAGGAGATGAACCACAAGAGGCATCTTCAAAGGAAGAAGCGGACGTTGATCTTGAAATTGAAGCTACTTTGGCCAAGAAGGAAATCGCCCAAGATTTAGAACACATCAAAACGGGCTATACTATCGGATCTTATATTTCTGGTCTAAGTTTGACCATTGCTATTGTTGGGTTATTTGGAGATTTCTACTTTTTGTGAGAGACGGATGATTTCACTCAAAAATTGAAATTAGGGTAGGTGAGTTTACTAATTATGTTTTCTTTATATATATTAGTCTTATATTATACGAGTTGTTTTAAGAGACGTCTTTTGTAGGGGGTGCCTTTTTAGATTCGTCACCTTTGGACACGCGTAAAAAGAAAAGTAATCACGTGCACATCTTACAAACTATCAACAAACAATCAACACTTTTTTTTTTTTCTTCGTTCACATCCAAACATCCAATCCTTCTTTTCCTTTTTGACATCCAAACACCAACATCAATCCCAAAAGGAAGTACAAACTCGGGGGTTACTCTTTTTTTTTTTTTTTTTGCAACTTCAACTTGTGAAAATATAAACAAAACAACGTCACTAACAGTACCTTCAACTTACTGTGATTGATTGGTCAGCCATTACACAAGTGAAACTATTGGAAACACTTTTGCTTGTTTAACATGGATTACAATTACAATTACGATTCGGCTTTCGGTGACAGTGCTGCAGAAGCTACTGCAGAAGCTACTGCACAAGCAGCTGTGTTTGCTGCTGGTCAACAGCAACATAATCATCATCATTTGCAAGCTGCTGCTCACAATGCACGCGCTACTCAACAGGGTCAAATTAACAGAAACGCACCCGTCAACACTACTACTTCCGCAGGCGATCAATTCCAGATTCCTCCACCACCTCCGCAATTTCATCACCAGTACGCCAAACCTCAAACCAACATCTTTGTCGACAGCGACAACAAGCCGCTTGCATTCTTCATCCCGAACAACGAACCAAATCGCAACAAGTACCGCCGATTGGTGATTCAAAATGGCGGGTTTGTCACTGATGGCGGATTGGACAATGTGATACATGTGTCGAGCCGGGACCATATGGGTGGGTTTGTTCGGATTAATTATATTGAGGATTGTGTGCAAGTGGGACATTTGTTGCCCACGAGCAATTATGTTATTCATGTGGCGGCCCCTTCTTCGCTGCTTGATGATGTTGGGGATGAGCCTATGATCGATGCGTTCTTGGCTCAACAACAGCAACAACAGCAACAACAGCAACAACAGCAACAACAGCAACAACATCATCATCATCAGCAACAGCATCATCATCAGCAACAACAGCATCATCATCAGCAACAACAACATCAGCAACAGCAAAGCAATGCGAATGAGTTTATCAATTTCAGTAGCACGGCCACTCCATCCACTACCAAACCCACGTCATCCACCACCTCCTCCTCCTCAACAACAACAACAACAACAACAATAGCCCAGAAACGAGCACCTCACAAACAAGGTTCCACTCTGAACCGTTTCACCGACGAAAAAGACGCATACATCTTGGAACAAGTTCGCAAAAGGCCCAAATTCCGCCACTCGCACGATTTCTACCGTGAACTAGCCACGCACGACATATTGAGCATGCACACCGGCAACTCCATCCGGGCTCGATTTAGGCGTCATTTGGCACCGCGTTTGGAGTACGTGTACAAGACGAACGAGCGGGGTAAATTGCTCAAGGACAAACTGGGCAATTACATACCTGTCCCCTTGGACCAGTTGGATGGTGGTGAAACGATGAAGACAAAGTTTACTGCCCTGGATGATTACGACTTGTGTTGTTCGGCTATTGCTTACATTAAACAGCAATCCATCTTGCAAGGTTTGGATTATGATGGTACTGATGCCAGCCGAAAGTCCAATTTGCCATATCTGTTTTTCAATACATTGTATCATAAATGGCCCAGGCACCCGTTGCATTCGTGGAGAGATAGGTGTCGGAAGTATATCGCTAATGATTTGGATTATGTGGCGTATAAGCAGTACTACGAGTCGTGTTTGGCGAGGGGTGATGTGCCGCAGGTGTTGACTAAGGTGCCTCAACATGTAGCTAGGTTTAATAAGAGTGTTGGGGAGTTGAAGAGTGATGTGCAGGCGCAAAAGAAGCGGAATAGGGAGAATTCAGACAAGGTTGACGGTGATGGTGATGATGCTACTGCTGGTGAAAATGAGGATGAGATTGAGGATGAGGATGTGGCGTTTGTTGAGAATGCGGAAGCACTTGCTAATGCAGCTGTTGCTGCTGCCAAGGCTCGTGATGAAGAAAATGCACGAAAGATAGAGCAGTCGTTGCAACAACGGAAACGCCAAAAGACGCGACAACAAGCCAAAGCCAAGGACAAGGACAAGGACAAGGACAAGGACAAGGACAAGGACAAGGATCAAGAAGATGAATCTGCACTCGATGAAGAAATCGGTGAATTGAAAAACTCCAACATTGGTGATGCCTTGAATTTTAAATCCTCAAGTCAGAAGGGGAATGGTGATATTGCTGATGATTCTGAATCAGGTTCCGATGTGGATATCGATGATGTGCTCAGCGATCGCATTGAGGTGCCAAAATTGACTGGTCTTGGAACACTTGACGAGGAAGAGGAAGAGGAAGAGGAAGAGGACGAAAAGGGAGGCAATGAAGATGGAGCTCAGGGTGGGTTAACTGAGACCAATGGCCAATCGGAAGAAGAGTCGGGTAACGAAGAATTCTTTTCGGCGCCGACTAGGTCGGACACCTTGGGATCGCACCGTATTGATTCTCTATTGCAATCACAAGTACTGGCGAAGGAGGATAGCATATCGAATCAAGAAGAAGAAGGAGAAGAGAACGAGGACGAGGGGGGAGTTGGCGATGGTGATGATGATGACGATATCCTGGATATAAAACTCGCGTACCTTGCCAATTCAACGCCGTTGATTGACTGTGTTGACCCATCCAAGTTTCTCATATTGCTCAAGCAAAAGAAACCACGAGTGCTATTACTCACTGAGCTTCTCGATGAGAAACGAAGCAGCAGCAATAACGATAGCAAGGAGCAGAGCGATGATAATGATGATGATGATGATGATGTTTCATTGGACGAGATTTTCCTGAAATTGAACTCGCTCGGGTTCAAAAACGCCTTCATTTGCCATATCATCTATGCATGTTCAAGTGATACTTTAGTCATGGTCAACTACATTGCCCAGTTCATCGATACGTTATCTTCTGCAATCAATGAGGCTAGTGAGAAACAAAAGTCCATTCAAGAAAGCAAGAATAAGAAGAAGAAGAAGAGGACGAGAAGCAATGGTGGAGATGGGGATTTTGATTGGGAGACGGAGTTGGTTGATTTCTATTTACCGTTCAAAAAGGCGCCTGTGGGTACTTGGAACAAGACGTTTGATTCTGTTTTGGGTACTGATCAAGAACGCAAGTTATTGAAGTTTAAGAGTTGGCATGAGATTGCCGAGCGTAAGAAGTTTATTGCTTCTTGTGTAGAGGAGGACGAGGAGGAGGACGAAGACGAAGAGGGAGAAAGAGAGGGTGATGAAGATGAAGATGAAGAGTAGAGGGTTGTGTTTATAATTTTGTAATTTTGGCCATAATTTGTATGCGTATTTGTTTGTGTTTGGGCTCCGGGCACCTCCACGTAGCCAACTTGAACCCCCTCCCCTCCCACTGAGGAGACCTAGCAGGATAGTGATGGATGATGCGATTGAAGGATTCCTTTACTTTGCCGAGACCTGAAAATTTAGTTTATATAAATCCATAGAATTGACATAGATACTTACAATGTTACTTTAAAACAAAAAACAAGTCAATATATTTGTATGTATATACATAGCAGTACAATACATACATACATACATACATATACAAAACACGACTAGGCCAAAACAAAACAATAAAACAAATAATGTAAACAGCAAGGGAGAGGAAGTAGTTTCATTCAGGTTGAATATCAATCATGAGCCAAGGAAGCCATTACCAAATCCACCATTTTTGTTCTTCACTAAATCCCCCTTGTTTCGCTGCTTCAACACTTTGATATGAGCTGGGTTTGGCCGGGGGTATAAAATTGAAAGGCAAGCACAAAGTATAAAAAAAAAAAATAAACAGTAAAACAAAACAGTGAGTTAAAAACCAAGTATTGAAAAAAAAAAACAAAAACTGATGTACAGCAATGGGTTCATATGTTGATTAGTTTGACAAGAATCCCCACCATTTTTCAGCATTGTAAGCACCATCAGCCTTCCACAAATCGTTGAAAGCAGTAAACAAAATAGAAGCAGATCCACAAGTGTCCTTAATGGATTGGATAGCAGATTGTTGGTTTTCTTTAGATGGGACAGCCTTGTTGTTGGATTCACCTTTTGATGGCCAGCCGGTTTCGGTGATCAAGACATTCTTCTTGTTTCCGCAAGCGGTTGAGACTCTTTGGATTTGAGACAAGACCCATTGACCAGCTTGGTCAGCGGAGTAGCCACCGTCAAAGAAACAGTGAGCGTTGACGGCAATGTAGTCAGAGTAGTCACACAAGTCTGGGTTGTTGATGACAGCGATAAAAGTATCAACAGAGACAACTGGGCCAGAGTAACCGGCGGATTGCAAAGATGATTTGGCTTGGTCAACGTAGGATTTGATTTGGGATGGGTTGGCTTGACCAGAGTTGACCAATTCGTTACCGACTGAGACGGTGTGGATGTCGTCCCATGAACCATGAGCCTTGACTGCATCAGCAATAGCTTGGACACCAGAAGAGATGGATGAAACATCGTAGATACCAGCGAAAACCTTTTGGGATGAGGTCTTGGCTTGCAAGACTTGAGCGACTTGGTCACAGTCAACGCCGTACAATCTAATGACATCGAACCCCTTCAATTGAGAAACTTCGGAAGCAATTTGCGATGAAGTCTTACAGTTACCATTGTCGGCGTAAGGAGTGTAAGTGACACCCTTGGCACCACCGGAACCGACACCAGATGAAGAACCTGAGTCAGAAGATGATGAAGAAGAAGAGCCACTAGCTGAAGAAGCAGAAGATGCAGCAACAGAAGTATCAGCATTTGCAGCAGTGGAGGCTGGTTGGTTTTGAGGAGCATCAGTGACTTGGCTAGCTGGTGATTGAGCAGTTTCAACAGAGGCTGGAGTAAAAGTGGTGGTGGCTTCACCAGCACCCAAAGTGACAACAACAACATTGGTTTGAGTAACAACGTGAACGGCTCTCTTTTCTTCGTTGTGTTTGTGGTGTTGATGTTGTTGTTGGTTAATGGCCAATGGAGCAGCCAAAGCTTGAGCCAACAAGGCGGTGGAAATGATAGTCTTGTACAACATTTTGTAATAGGTTCTTGATTAAAGAATGAGCGTAGTAGTAAATTTGAACAATTAGCGAGTAGTACTAAAGTTGGATAAATGAAAGTAGTTGTTGGAATCTAAGAACTTCTAAAGGATATAATAAAGTGTAAGGAACGACTGATAGAAGTTAAGTTAGACGGTTAGTTGTGGTGAAAAGAAAGAGGAATGGGAATAGGATTGTTGGAATTATTTTTTTTTATAAAACAAAAAAAAATTTTGTCCATTCGTTGGTGGGCGGTGAAATGTATTTGAGAGAGAGAGAGAGAGAGAAAATTCTGTTGTGGTTGTTGTTGTTGTTGTTGTTTACTGTTTAGTGTGTATACTATTGTGTTGTGTTGTGTTGTGTTGTGTTGTATTATTTTTGTGATCAAACTTTTGATTATTTCTTATTCTATTGTATGTTTGTATTTTTTTGTTAATTTAATATTGATGTATGGATGTGTGGTTGCTGTTTACAGTTTGACTAAAAATGGTTAATATAAAATACATTTGTGTTTGTGTAAATAACCTCAAACGTAAACAAAACAAAAAAAATTTTCTACATAAACGAATGGAGCCTAAAGGGGAAGGGATTGGAGCCTAGAACAAATCCTTCAGTGAAGTTGTATATTCCGAGTAATCCGAGAGAGAGAGAGAGAGCAAGCTCTTTTCACAATGAATCCGGTTCAGACGGGTGATTAATGCTCTGTCCATACCTATACCTACTCTCCACTCATAGCATAGTCGAAGTGAATGGACGCGTCTTGTGTTGATATCAATAAAGGGATAAGATGAATACGAAATGGCTGTATCGAATGAGAATGCCGAAGGAGGGGCTTTTGTTTTCCGCCGCTCCTCTCGCCCCAAATCGTCCCCCCCCCCCCCTTATGCATCCCTCTCCCCCTTGCATTTTCCAGGTCGGTCGTCGTAAGGTAATATTGTACGTTGGAAGAAAATGAAAATGAAAAAAAAAAAAAAAATTAAAGATTGACGCATAACTTTCCCCTTTTGAAGTAGAATTGAAAGACATAGAAAAAATCAAAACACGTGCAGTTTACAATAGAGAAGAAAAGAATAATTCCTGTATATAAATATGCAGTTGAGCTAAAGATCAATAGGAGGAACTTTTGGTGTTTGTGTTGTATTGTGTTGTATTGTGTTGTATTATTCTTGTCTCTCTCTCTCTCTCTCTCTTTCTCTCTTTTGATCACCTGTACACGTCTTATACAACTTAGATTTTTCTTTTCTTAGTATTTAAATAATATATATGTGTATCTACTGGTCTTTCTCCAAATACGCTTCTTTAGGAATAGCCAGCAATATCAAAACTGTAAACTTAGTAGTTGTAGTTTGCAACCACCAACCACTTCTACGGCATGATATGATATGATATGAACATGACAATATTACTACTAGAGTAGCAAACTCAACATCAATCTAGTTTAAAGAAATAAACTTCTCCTTTGTTGAAGTGGTCCGTCATATATGAATTATTTTTTTTTTCATTGGCAACTCATTGCAGATCCCCTCTGCGCTGAATGGCTGCTTTATATTATTCGCATGGTGGTGCTAGATGCACCAATTCTTAACTTTCCGCCGGCAGTTTCATTCAGCACCTTTGGTAGAGGAGAAGATTATGTCCAATGCTACGTTAAACTTGTCATCATCAGCTCTTGCTTTCCTTCGCATCTAAAAACTGAAGGGCAAGGAGGGAGGAAGAGTACTTCATTAGATTTAAAACAGTGTATTTTCCACTCCTCGCATAACGTAACCTGGTTGACCCTTGCAATGCCACGATCTCATTTGCCCTATCTTTCCTTCTCATCGTATAGATTTTGTTCTATTGTCTTTTGGTTTTGTGTTTAATTACCTTTTTTTATGAGCACACAAAACTCAAGATTGTCTCATATAAGCGAAACGGCATACATACTTCCATCAAATACATAACCTCCTATCCTCTCAGTCTTTACGGGAAAATGGATTGGAAAGACGTGACTTGACTTACACTCTATTAACTGCACATTTATACATTTGGAAACATGTACGAAGCAGAAACTACTCTCAAATGCTCTTGGCACTTCCTGTAAATCAAACCTAGCTTTAATTATTTTGGCTAGTCTTTATACAAAATCTAGATTCGTTCAAACTTAAGTCCTATTGTTGCAACTCATCTATGAAAAAAAATTGAGTCACAAACAGCAAAAGTACACCCTTCTGTCTATGAAAATTTCTCAATACAAGCTTTTTACAGCGAGTTATATCCACAATTTTGTGTCTAATGAGGTACAGTTTCAAGTACCACAATCTACATGGACAACTCGGAACCTCCAAGCGGACAACGGCATATAGGGTTCACACAGACCCAAAAACATAGCTCAAATTCTCCATCTACTTACAACAAAACGATTTAGTGCATCTTCTTTAGTATATCGCTCAATTTTGGTTTTTGTAGCTCATTGTCTGAGCCGCTGCTGCTGCTGCCACTGCTGCTTGAGGATCGTCTTCGCTTTGTCCCTCTTTCTTGGCCATTTCCACCTCTCACGTTATCAACCACGTCCTTACCACTGCCCTTACTCTCGTCAGCGCTTGTTGATCGGCGAAATGATTCTCTGGATGGTGTTCTTGATCTGCTACGTGAGTAACTATTCGACCGACTTCTCGAAAAACTTTGACTGCGGCTTCTCGAATAGCTTCCGCTGCGACTGTGGCTGTTGCTACCGCTGCCGCTGCTGCTGCTGCTGCCGCCGCTTCGCGAATAGCTATAACTTGATCCACGACTGCTCAGACCCCGGATACGGTTCCTTCCTCTGCCTCTCGCCAGCGGCGGTAAATTATTCAACACATGACGCATCTCTTCCGTCAACACACCCAACCCAATCGCAGTGAAGAAATTGATTGAGAATCGCAAATGTTCAGCATCATCCTCATCAACATCAACAACAGGAAACACTCCATTCAACCCGCGTTTCACGTACGAATCGTTAATCAATCTCGCTTTAATCTCATCAATACCCAACTCTTCAACCATCTCTTGAAATATAAACTTGAGCAAGATCCGTCTTGCAGGGTTAGTATCTTGTTGAGTAATGCGTACGTCATCCCATGCTTTATCTAAAGGTACAACGTCAGCAGCAAACAAGTGTCCAAAGAATTTACCAATGTTTCGTAATGCATTGGCTTCAAAGTTCTCAATTGTGGAATAATAGTGTTTGAATAGTGTTATGAAGTTGTTTTGCCAATGATGGTTCTTCCCGCAAAGGATTTCACCAATGACGCCAAAATACTTTGAGTATGTTTTCTCTTGTGAACAACATTTGATGATCATGTCGCAAAGAGTTTGTGAGCTTTGTTGCTGTTGTTGTAATTGATATTGTGAAGTGGATTTTGTGCTTGATTGTGGCTGAGACCGTTGGCGACTAAGCTTGAGAAGTTTGTGTACTGCTTCCTCAGACGACATTGATGACATGACTGTCAAATAAACTTGCTTTTGATATTGGATAAGATCGGATTGTGTCATGTCTGATACAATTTCAGCCGGTCTGGATATAGCATTTTCCTTCGCTGGCTCAGGTGCGTTGTCGACACCTCCCTCTTCATCTACGTCGTCATCTTGTAGTATTTCTTTCCGTAATGCATCGTATTCCTTTTCATGTCTGTCAAACTCTTTGTCATAGTGATACACATTCAAATAATCCTTTGAGGTTATTACTTCTTGCAAATCCAACACGTGAGTTTGCTTATCCTCGTCATCAACTAGATCCAACTGTTTATCAATCAATGGGATCGACTTGAATTGCAGTTGACCAAGTTTCAATAAATTCCGCAACGAGTTCTGCGATTTGTAGCTCAACCCATCTTGATCCTCCTGTACCAAATCTTTAACCCGATTCAAAATCACCGTTGTTGGCACTCTTGATTTCAAAATTAAGAATCGACCAACAACTTTGAAAATCTCGGTACATAATACAACATCACCATTCGTCACTGGGGATTCCAAAAGTAACTGGATAATCTGAAGTAATGTAACCTCATTCACAACTTGATGCATAGTCAAACAACTCAAGAATTGCAATGAAGATTTGCACAATGCAGAGTCATCAGTTGTGTATGCCAATTTGAATTGGAGGACAATTCGACTCGAGATTAGTTTCCCAATTGAACCGATTTTGGAATTTATCACATCTATTACGGATGCGTATAGTGACGATTTTCCAGGATTTCGAAGTTGATGATGCATGAGTGACCGAACTAGTAGTCCACGTCCTCTTTTAATGTTGAGTGTGAATAACTCAAAGATAGATGTTTGGATGTTAGAATTGGTCAAGTTTTTCACAATCTTATCGATGGAGTGTTGTAGTTCCACCCATTTCTTCCGCTGTACCTCCTCATCTGTTGCGCTGGATGCACCGGTGGTAGCACTTGCACCATTCATGAGTTCGGTTTTGGGGTGTTGATGATATTTGGACAATCTTCGAAAATGCTCATCCTATTTTGGTGCGGCTTTTTCTCATTTGAAAATTTCGCATCCCCCATCCCATCTCAATATCATCCACCTTCTAAAAAAAAAAGCACATTTTCTCCCTTCCCCCTCATGAAGATCATTAGACAGAGCATAGCTAAGCATGCTGGTAGGATACTACATGCGCCTCGCTCAGAAACCAAGGAAGCTCGAACAAAAATCAACCTCCGCAAGAAGCTCGATGATATAATGGAGAATAACGGTGAAATGCTTCGGCACAATAGGCAATCTGTGGAAAGGATACAAAAACAAGCTAGAGATGATCAAGCTCTTTCGCGGGCTTATAACACCCTAAGGCGAGCTTATGACTCAGTTACGTTTATTGACAAGGATGGTAAACCATTCAGTGTGGATAAACTACGAATGAAGGACCTTAAATTTAGAAACAAACAGTCAAGACTTGTATTTGACAATGTAATGAGAGTCAAAGATATGACCAAAAAACAAGTTAATCGAGGTTTGGCAATGACGCTACTAGGAACAAATCAAAAACAATTGGATGACCCGTATTTTGTGACAAAAAATGTTGTTGATCTCCTAGCTTTTGATCAGGATGCAAAGCGTGCCAACTACTTGTGCCGAATCACTCCCAAAAATGCAATAGTGGCAATGAACACAATCATGGAATGGCATTTTGACAGGAAAGACCAAAAGCGTGGGATCAAGTCTTTTAACGAACGAAGGGACTTTGGCGTGCCTTGTGACTCATACACATATCTCAAGTTTTTTGACGGGGTGGCCAAGACCAGTGAATGGGGCAAAGTTGGTGATGTAATGTGTGATCGGATGATTGAAACTTTTAAATCTGCAAGAACTAAGTTCTTCCAGGACGATGACAAAATGACGACGTCGGTTTTCAATGCATGTTTGAGTATTTTGGTCAAGAATTTTGCCTATAGGCAAGTGAAAGCATGGCTGTTTTTTGATGAGTTGATTGAAAATAAGGAGCTAGGCATCAAAGGTATCAACCCTGATGCTCAAACATTCACGATCCTTCTACAAGGGCTCCGCAAATACTCTGATCATGAAAAACACAAAATTTTAACAAATACAAAACTTTCTTCTCATGAGCGTATAGTCAAGCTTTTGGATTTGGAGGCTGGTCATATCAAGGCTGCGGATATCATTTTCGAAAAAGTGAAGACAGTGGCAGCTCCGCCTGCCCCCACATCAAGCCCCGAACAGGACAAGAAAAACATTGCAAAGTGGAGGAAAAATCGACTTGAGATTGATTTCCCACTTATTACCACTTACGTAAGCAGTTTTTGCAGTCGTGATTCGGGCACTGGGCTTGATTTGAAAAGTGGATCGCACTATTTGTATAATGAAAAGACATTGGAGATTCTTCGTAGTGTGTCATCTGAAGTCGAGGCCATATTGAGTTTTTTGGAGCAAGATGATGGTGGCAAGGTGAATGAGCCAATAACTGCTTCGTCCAAGGTCAAAGAGTATACCGATTTGAGGATAAAATCGGCTGTCAATGGTGCAAAAAATACACAATTGAGCTATGTTTCAAAAATTGATGAGCTAATTCCAACAAACGTTGTCAAGGAACTTGGCACCATCCCCATAAACCCGCAGGTCTATATCCCCTACCTCGACAAGTTCAAGTCTTTTTCAGAACCATTGATTGATTTTAAGCGTGATTGGTCAATTTTTGAAAACCCATCCACCAAAGCTAAAAAATCAAAAGACGAGTTGGAAAGAGCAGAACAGCGTCAATATTCAGTCAATGCATACATTTTGAACCAGGTTTTTGACAGTCTTATAAATATGGGTAAATTCAAACAGTTTGTACAAGCATTTTGGTTCTCCATGATTCAATGGGGCGGCGTTAGATTGTACACTGCTGATTTGAAAAAGTACAATGTTTTGGACGATTTCTTAAACAAGGCTCAGATTCGCAAACACCAAGATGCTAGAGTGCCGTCCATTATAGATGATGTCATGTTTAACTCCTTTATTTATAAAGTTGCCGAGCATGGAAGAGTGAATGGTTCAACGAGGTCAAACTTGGTATTGGAGATGTTTGCAGCATTGACATACTCCAAGTACCGCGTTGGGAGTATAGAAATAAGCCAAAATCATATCGACCATATCTGCTCCACTTTGGTCAAGGACTTGCATTATTATAATGATTCAATTAAAAAGAAACAGTACAGTACCAAGCCACATATAACCCAATCTCAATTGCGAGAGTTTCTCAACAACTTGAATGTATTTGGTCAAGTTCATGCCGCTTATATGAACAAGTCACAACTCATTGTTGCATCGAATGCGTTCTATCAGTTTATGGATAAAGTCAACAAGACGTTACTTTCTGCAAATTGGGTGGGAGTTGACAACGATAGGCATAGGCTACATTTCTACAAGCTTTTGATTAGGGCAAGCATTCGCTATTACAAACCCAGGTTTATGGTGAGCAAAACTGATCCAAAGACGTATTGTGTCTCTATAGAGACTGCAGTGAAGGAATCACTCAAGATAATAAATGGTATCGAAAACCTAGACGGCGGTGACAAGAAATTGCGGATAGCTTTTAAGAGATTGCTAAACTTGAAAGTAACCGAATTGAACAAGGAGCAGTATGAAGCGTTTCTCAAAGATATTTACCAGTTGATCGATCTTGATGAGAGCAACACAGTGACACATGGTATTGGTGAATTGGATTCTCGAGACACTTGTGGTACTGAGGCTTCTGACCCTGTCGAACTGGACAAAACAGATGCGGTGAAAGAAGCCCACCACGAGTCTCAGCACTGAGCATCGCTACCACTTGTGGCACAACAAAAAAAAATATATACATGTATATATATATATTGGGTCACAATCCCCGATCCCACTCTGTACATAGAACCTACGCCCACGAGACGACATACAGACAATGTCAAATCCTGTAATATTCATAGACGATCCCATTGCAAAAGATTACACCCCTCTCATTGAAAAAGTCTTGTCAATAGTCAATGGAGTTGACAGATTGGACATTGTCATCAAAACTGAAATCACCAATGTCACCCATTTGAACGAGATACTTTACCACTACTATAACCACGTCAGGACTTCGATTGATGGGTTGCCATTATTTGATTATACATTCTCGATAAATATTATATTCAACATTTCACACAAGAAATTGCTCAAATTGTCATTAAAGTGGAACCATGCCTTTATTGCTGAGCAAGAACTGGATATATTTCAAAATGTACCCCTTGCTCATACATCACTTGACACCAAACTCGCACAGTCGGGCTATCCTTCTAAGTGCAACAAGGTCAGGAAACAATTTCACACCACTGCAGTGGGGGGAACTTTCGACCATTTACACGATGGTCACAAGATTCTTCTCTCAATGGCATATTTCCTCACTTCGAAAAGATTGATTATTGGAATCACCGGTCCGGAGTTGTTGCAAAACAAGAAATTCAGTGACGTTCTCGAACCATTCGGTAAACGGCAAAACTCAGTTGTTCAGTTCCTTGATTTAATAATGGATGAAATTGTGCATTATGAAATTTATCAAATTAATGATGTTTGTGGTCCTACTGGCTACATTGATGCTATAGATGGACTAGTCATAAGTCATGAGACTCTTTCAGGTGGTGAGTTTGTCAACAAGTATAGACGCGAGCACGGGTTTAAAGAGTTGGACTTGACGGCGATCAAAGTGATTGGAGATTCGGATTCAAATGCAGAGAATAAATGGAAAGGTAAAATCAGCTCGACAGATATTCGAGAACGAGAATTGGAAAGAAGGAAACAGCGTAGTCAGAGCTAGTGTTTTGCATGTAGAGAGATATCAAAGTATAGATTGTACCTTTAGAATTTTTTAAAAAAAAAAATATCAAGACCAAAAAAATAAAAAAAAATGGAAACAACAACGAATGATTGCACGGATGAGTGTATACCTCTCTTTCTCTCTCTCTCTCTCTCTATCACCTTATTGAAATGCCTTTCTCGTATAGGTTTTGACGCTTTGGGCTACGATCAATGTGATCAAGAGCCAAATTGAACCTCAACGTGCCAACTTTATCAAATAATACTAACTGAGGATCAGTTTCGTCAATATACAGTCCCTTGTCATTGGCATCTGCCAAGGCAAACTTGATCTTATCAAAAGCCTGCTTGCCCAACCCCAATTTCCTCCTTAATCTCTCCTTTGTATCGCTCCACAACTCATTGGGGAAAAGAATGACAAAAAATGGTATACCGTGGTGGTTTGTGCTCTGTTTATGGAAGTGAAATGCAGGGATTATGTTGATATTCTTTGCATTTTCACGAACTTTGATAAACTCATCCCTGAGCACCTCATCTTCAATATCTTCTGGGTCAACGGATCCGCCAGTACTCCTCTTGATAATATCGTGAGCACACAATGCTTCAACTTCAGCCGGAAACAAACCACAATAAATCTCCTCTTCTTGGTTCACCTGCAGTACTGGGGTATCCAATCTGAGAATTTCCGTGAATTTGTGATTTGATCCAGACCAGCACAAAAGATGTTTCAAGTCCTTTTCGGAAACTTCAACCTTGTGCAACAACTTATTGACCAAATCTTGCAATGTTCCTCGCTTTGGCACCAACAATTCAAATTCTTGGTACTGTAACAAATTACTAAGCCAAAACACTTTGAACAGTTTCAAATTCTCGTACTCCTTCGTTTTGATGTTCAAAACCTCGTACTCGATATCATAGAGTTGATTCACGGAAACGTTTCTGGGGAAAATTTGATGCAAAAAATGGCTAGTCTTTAACGGATAGCGTGTGCCTTGGTTTCCAATGACAAAAAGTCTCAAGTACTCAGGGTCACATTTGATAACTGCTGCAATAGCCTCGGCTAAATCTTGGTAGCTATAAGTTGTAGAAATCCACAAGTCAAAACTTCTGCTCAACTTTTTCACCTCTTCAATTTCCTTTATCGTCGTTTCATCATTGTATTGGCCATTCAAATCTTTCCGCTCTTTGTTGGAGTTGAGCTCTGCGTTTTCGCTCTCTTCTTCTCCTTCCTCGTCGACGTAGTCGGAGTCCTCATCCGATTCGTTGGCATTGAACGGCTTCACTCTGACGTGCACACGACTTGCATAAAACCTGTAATAATCCTTCACATTCTTGAATCGTTTCTCTCCAGCCAATTCACTGGCATTCGACACCTGCGCCACAATAACATCACCAGTACTCAACTCCAATTGTTCAAAAACTCTGTCGACTTCAAGCTTGTCGCACTTGTGCGGAGTCAATTCCTCGTACAATTCAAGATTGATATCCTCTTTGAATCCTAATAAAGCTTTGACCGGCTCAATAATCGATTTGACCGGGTCGCTAGTGGTAACAGTGATATGTGACAAAGACCTCACTTCCTGGGAAACAGGATCAAAGTATTTGACAAAAATGGTAATGTCATTTGAGTGTTTGTCGGGAAACTTCATGTCCTCTGTAACCTCATGACCCACTGAGTTGATCTTTGCAAAAGTTTCATCAAATTTAAAGTCAGCAGGATCTATCCTCTTTTCAACATCAACCAACTTGATCAAATTATTGATATCTTTGTTGAGTTCCTCCACGTAAAACACCATATGATCGTGCTTCCTGTTGAAAAATTTGTTGTAAAAGCTGATAACTGTTAAATCATTGGCCTTGTCATCGACAAATTCGTCTAATCTATTAGTATGATTGTTTCTATGACACACAATACCAAGTCTGAACAAGCTTGTATCCTGGTAGCCCAACAGCTCACCGATTTGATCAACAAGGTCGGAAAATGAGCTATCTTTACGAATTTTGAACGGTTTAGTATCTGACTCAGTCCCAGCAAGACTTTCGTCATAGTAGATCTCAGATTTTTCATCCAACGCCAAATCGAATCCTGTATGGCTCTGAATTGTGCTGATGGTGATAACTTCGGCGGTTATGTAATACAACGCTTCTTGTCTTTCTTTTTCCAATTCTAACCTCTCCTCCCATTCATTTTGAATCTGCTTGGCAATATCTGGCGATATGACTGCATTTATTGCTTCTTCATCGGAGGGCAAAATTGTTTCCAATTCGGATTCACGATAGTACACCAACATGTAAGCAGACGTAACCCTTCTAATCAAATACTCTTGCTGCTCCAATCTAGACATGGTTGCCAATTGCTCTCTAGTTAACTCGGGAGCTCCAAAATTCTCCTTAAAGACCTGTGTCTTCGACACTTTCCACACTTTGTCGTCATCGAATCTCAACCACACATTGTCATCAGCATTGGGCTTGATCATGGCATAATAGTGACCATTGGAGATTGTTCCCTGGTGAACCAACACACCATGCAACTTGTAATTCCAATTTTGGTTACGGACATCTGCAGGTAAATCTTCGTCCAAATATGGTTTCAAATCAATTTTATCCGGAAATTCGTAAAAGTCGTCGATTTTGACCAAGTCATCAACCATAAAGTCATACTCAAATCTTTTCAATTGCAAGTGCAAAACTTGTGGGAAGGATTCAAAAACAACCCCCTTCTTGGCATCTTGATACCCATACTCATCACCAGCCTGGTATTTGTTTTCACCATCCAACATTTCTATCTCAATGTAGTTCTTGAAAGACTGTTCTAAATTTTGGCAACCTTTAACATTCAATTGGATATCCCAAAAGTCCTCAACTCTAGATGATTCATAAGGAACATTGACACACTTGATGTAAGACTTCATTTTTCCAACGAAAATATCGTTCAATCCATTCTCTATCTCCGTGCCCTTCATTGCCGTTTCCAACTTGTCCATCAAAATACGATTCAATTCTTGCACATCATGCTGTGTAAATGCATCCGACGAGTCCCAGCCAAAAGATTTGGTCAAGTCCAGTGTGGTTACAGGATCGTTTGATTTTGACAACTGGTAGAAAATACGCTGTAAAGCATACGCAACTGCAGCATTCTTTTTCAAATTCGTGGGTATCTGATAGACCAATTTCCTAAACACCTTTGTTGTGAAATAACTCTGTATAAGAGAGTTTAGATAACAAGTAGCTCCCTGGTTGGTCAAACCAACATAACCAGCATTAGTTTTCGAGTCGTAATTAGTCAACGAGTTCCACAACGTTCCAGTGGAGGAATCATCAATTACTCTGACAAAGGCAGTGATGTTTAACTGATTCTTCTCCAAAATGGGGAAATCCGATGGCTGTACTCTGATGTTTCCTATTGACTTTAAAGTTTCCAATTCAATCAATGAAGAAAACCCCCAGTCTGTGTCATTTTTACTAAATCTATGTGAGCTTTGATTTGGAAAATGAGCATCTGGGTGGTCGGGGTTCCACAAATCAAGTCCAAATTGTGCACAAACATACCAGTTTTCGTCCAAGGGCTTACCAGTAGCCTCGTCTTTAGGTGGGTGTGGCTCTATGTAAATTGAGATGAAAGTTTGTTGACCATTGCCCCTAGGGAAAAGTAAAATGTTCCACTCGAATTTACCACACTTGAAAGTTGGGGATCGAACCTTGTCCTGTTTCAGAAGCAGGGCCCAGTCTTTTATCTCCCAAACGTAATGTGCCGAGTCTTCAACAGGGTAATCCTCAATGGGCTTCATCAAAGTGCTTGCAAGTGCATCAAAATCAGTTGCCACGGGGTACGTCTTTTGTCGTCCATTACGTTGTTTGCCATGTGCGGAGTCGGCTGTAGACGCTAAATTGTTTGTCTGATTTTGATTTGCATAATCCGAGTCAGTATTGCCCACCACGTCAATAATATTTCCATTGTCATCCACTATTTGAACGTCATCACTTAATTCTCCAATGGCGTCTTGCTCGGTGATCTCTTCTTCTTCTTCTTCTTCTTCTTCTTCTCCATCGTCGTCGTCGTTGTCTTCCACTTCCGCATCTATGTCAGCAATTTCTGGACTGGACTCCATTTCGAGATCATTTAAGTCTTCGTCGACTACTCCCGGTTTTCGAGACACAGTGTTGGGCTGCGTTTGTTCTACCGAAACATCAAAGCCAAAGCTGTCAATTGAGTCGTCTGCAGTTCCCGCTCCCTTGTCTTCGTTAAATGCTCTTTTTTTGGTATTTGTGTCTTGACTCAGAACCATTGTGGGTAATTTATAATGGAAGTAACAATGGTCTCTTGTTGACAAATATGAAACAGCAAGGTGTATACCTTCTCTTGCACTAATGCGAGGAAATGATTCTTCCGTTTAGTTTGCTTCCTTTCACTGGATTTGAAGTTCTTTGAATTGGATTGGGTTTTTGCCGTTGGATGACGTCAAAGCCAATGCTAACCCCTGGCAAACAAAAAATAAAACAAAAAATAAAACAATTCTGAATTTGCCTGTGTTGTATACTGCTATCAAAAGTATAGCTCGTCAATGAACTGATTTTGAGTTCCTATTTTTGCAAGAGTGGTTTTGAAAGCAATACTGTGGTTGTATATAAGCTGATTGAATGTTATGTTTTGTATGTAGAAAGAAGAGGAAAAAGAAGTCTGTTTACAAAAGTAAAAAAAAAAAAAAAAATAAATGATCCACACTGTACCCTATATGCTGTTGGTACATGTTAAGAGTATCAAATGGTATTTGTATGTGTGTACTGCATTTCTACATATATGCATAGAAATCACTGGAACGGCTAAAGCTCCTTTACATTAAATAGAGACGTTTGTATCTGTGTTCATAATGTTACGCTCTTCGTGCTGGTTTTGACACCTCCCCCCCCACGCTTCCGTCCTGTTCACTTCCTTCTCTATTTTTTGGCAAATGTACACTACCCCCTTCTATCATTGCTTTCAAACTTGAAAGACGGTGATTGATTGACAATGTAAAGCATACGTATGTTATATAGCACTATTGAAAACACATTTGACTCTAGTTGCCTATCCAGATTAGACGGTGCTAACACGAAAATGCATAGAGACCCCAGTGAGTGAGCATTGGCCACAGCATTGGCCAGAGCATTGGCCACAGTATAGGGTAGAGGTTTGGAAAAGAGGCCAAGTTTCCACGACTTTTGCCGTGACACAAAGCCGATAGTTGCACTCGTGCAACCACCCACCTTTGCAGGACCGGTGGACACCATAGGACATGAGAAGTGAGTGACAAAACGACCTATATGTAAATAATCAAATGGCCCCGGAACAGTATTGTGGTAACTTTTTGCTACTGCTGATACTCTAATCACTAAAGTCTATCATACAAGGCATGCGCCACTACTCTAAAAAGTGCAAACTACAAAAGTTGTTCTTCCCTTATTCCTTCCCCGAGCATATTTGAAATTGTTTAAACTGCACTAACTCATATATGTAACTATTGTGATAAATGGGTATCTCCCCCTTCCCCCTCTCTGTCTACTACGAGCTGACGCGATTTAATTGATAAAATACTTGCGCTGCCGATCCTTGGTCCAAAACAGACCTCTTAGGGTCTGACACTGTATTGTTGCAATAATTGTTGGCGCTATAAGTATACCCACTTGGTAAACCAGTGAGTTGGGTATAATGATCGGCTAGCGATTCAACTGTTTCAAAATCAACATAAACACCAGGACTCAATCGATCATATTCATACACCATGTTGCCCTGGTTATTGAGTTGATCAGTGTACTGTGACTTGCCGCCAATGACAATCAAGTCAGCAATTCCAACAAACAACAAGTGGAGATACTTGAGTCCATTGTTCCAGCCACCGCCAGCATTCATGAGCGCATTCGACGTGTTTGTTGCAAAAACTGCTGTAGCTTTTTGATCGGCAAGATTCAAAAACGTTTCATTCTTTGTAAACGAATACAAGTATGCGTATGATGAAATGGCTGTACCCACGGTATACGACAATTTTCCTCGGTCAACATCACCAGTGTCGCTATTTATACCATCGTAGTAATACCCATCCAGAGGATCTTTGAGATTCGCTTCCATCCAATTGAGGCATTGCTCTGCAAAGTCAAGCAATGATGCATCGTGATTGTACTTGTACAAGCGCACAGCTGACAACGCAGCCTCGGTGGTTGAAATCGACGCTACATAGGTGCTGCCAGTCTGCCATATAATACCCCCAATTTTGGACCATTGTCCCTGTATCAACTTCACCAAACGCTCAGCATTCTTCAAATGTTCATCATCCTTGGTCAAGTCGTAGGCAGCCAACAAGGCCCATACAATCTGCGCATTGTCGTCTGTGTAAGATTCCGGCTGATTCTGAGTGGCAGTAAACCAACCACTCGAGCTTTGATAACTGTACAATTCCGCCAATATCTTTTCCGATTTAGCAATGTCCCCGGAATCAATAAATGCCTTTGCCACAACGGCAATATCCCAAACTGCAGGTGCAGTATAGTTAGAGGAGCAAGTTGGGTCATTAAAGTTGAAGGCCAGGTGATCCTCGTCCCAGAACAAACTCCATGTTGAATTTAGCACTGACTTGTACGCGTCTTCCGCGTTGAACGAAGTAGCGCGAATTTGTAAAGGAAAACAAAGGGCTGTATTTACAACCGCAAATATCAACAAAAAGTACATTCAGCTATAGCCGGAAGAAAATAGAGACAAAAAAAAAAAACCAAAAAATTGACACCAGCTTGAAAGGTGGACGACGATGTGGGATGTCTTTATATAAAGACTCCATTGGAATGGCAGTAGTTGTTGCCATTGTTAATGTGACATCATGTCTGATGGGGGCTTTTTATTGTCTTCAACTTGCTTTGCTTTGATATTTCGTTAACTCCGTAGGAAACAATTCGAAATCTGACCTCGATTTAAATCACGATATACTTCCTAGTTTGTCAGTGGCAAGGAGGAAAGCTTCTGCAAACAAACGCATCTTGAAATTTAAGCAAGCCGAAAGGGATGAGGAAATCTGTGTTTATGTGTGTTTCTTCAAAAGCAGCGGTTTGTGCACCGAGATCGAAACAATGCAGGGTCTTGTTGATAAAACAATGTACCTTACCCATGGAGGTTCAGTAGCAATTGCAATTACATAATCCAAGCAACCAAACCTCAATACGGAAAAATTATAATCTCTCGCAGTAAGAAACAATAAAACCGTTCAGAATTGTCAATTCCGCGCACACGTTTTTACACAATTCAATTTTTACTCAAATTGTCACTGACAATGGAGCAAAAGTGATGTAATTACTAATAGCTGAAAGGGATGGTTGCAACAGAGTCGAGACCCCCCACTGCCACCTCTGAAGCCTTGTTGTTTGTCATATCGTTTGTTAGTGTATCTTGTGAGGGCAATACCAACGGATTTGCCTTCCTTGTTCATTTGCAAGTCTTGCAGTTCCCTAAAATCAAGACAGAATACTTTGTGTAAGGTCATTACGAAAACCCCACGTTCATGAGTAAACACCTGCAGAAAGTGCAATAATCACTCCCGCGTGCGTTTGTGTGTGCAAGAAATTTCGGGACAGAAACAAGGACAGGAACAGTTGGAATCTCTCTTTGACTCGCAACATTTTCATTTCGAGGGTTTTATTATCTTATATACTATGGATTATATAATATAATAAATATGCATTGGAGTTGACCACATCTTCCTGATCAACACCGGAGATAACGCTATCATCGAATTTGAGCCACTGACCCTGTGCATTTTTCGTAAACACAACATAATGGCCCGTGTTGACGGAACCAATGTGACAAATGGCCGAAAATAGTTCATACACTATATCATTATTTGCCTGGCCATGGTCCACGCAGTATGGCGCAATATTCACATAAAGTGGAACCTTGACTGGAGTTTCAATCTTTGATGACGTGTCATTCAAGATGTTGTGGTCAAATCTTTTTAATTGAATAGATAGCACGGGAGGTATACTTTTCAATTTTAAAGTTTTTGTAGCTTGTGACCTGGTGGAGCAATGTTTGCAAGATATGGCAGCATCTAGCTTCTCCTCCAGGGTAAATAAATCCAAACAATCGTACAAGTCGACGTTTTTTTGCTTCTTTAGGTGATTAATCTCCAATGACAAGTCAATCATTGGGTCAACTGTTTCGGTTATTGCATCGCATGACTTGCACTTGACGCAACTTTGCAATTGGAATGAAAATGTGGAGTGAGTAATACATGAGCACGCTTCTTCCTTGGCCGCGCCATCCATCTGCGTTTGTATCCTCATGTGGTCTTGATGAAATTCATTTAAGAGAAATTGCCAAAACTCGTGGGCATCTTGTTCTTGAAACCCCGCCAAGGATTTCTGCTTGTACCACGCAGTAGTTAACAAATTTGTAATCCCAAACCCTTCACTAGTCTTCAGTGTAAATAGCTCTTTGAAAATCAAATCAACACTGCATGTGATGCATGCATTTTGGTCTCCAATAGCTTCATTCACTTCCTGATCGTGTAGATATGTACAATTGAAATAATGCAAGTCATTGTTGAAAAATTGGCTTTTGATGATTGGATTGTGCACGAGGGATTGCAAGATTGAACTCATAAAACACGTAGCGCCCAAGTTTATGAATCCTTTGAGTCCCTGGACTGCAAGTCTGTTGGGATTGTGGTAGTTTGCAGTGATCTGCTCCTGGTTGTCGATGTCATCATCAGCAAACCCTGCTGCTTCCAACCTCAACTTTTCTAGCTTGGGGTGGTTGATGTACTCGTTGCATTTGAAACAATACAACAAGCCCAAATTCAGGTCAATGGCAAACATATGCTGCGTGCCTTTATAATGCAATTGCGAGTGTTCTTTGCACCCAACATGAGGACATTGTAAACATATCATGACTTGTTGGAAATCAGATACCTCACATTCGGAACATCTCAAACTCGATAATTGTCGAGCACGGATCTCGTCTTGGTCTATCACCTTGCCATCCTTCTTCGACCTGTACACCACTCCATTGCCAATTGGCTGTGATATCATGACCGCCTGTCGATATGTGTCGAATACTGTGTCCTTGGCGCGTGAATCCAAGACTTGATCCAAATGTATGCATGATTTGATAGACTTGAAGCTATCTGGTTGGAAATGGGGAAGTCGTTGCGATTGAAAAACATCTTTCTTGATGCCATTCGAGAGCTCAAGTGAGCCATTATGTAGTTCCTTTTTTAATAACTGTCCAGGAGGATGTTCAGTGCTTACGGGTTTCGGCGTCGTATTTCGTGATGACATTATTGGTAATTATAAAATGCAAAAGATTGAACTAACAAGAATCGCATAAACGGAAAGCCACAAAAGAGCAGAAACAATGCAGGATGGCGGATTATGGTTGGTAGTTTTCGAATATTAGGAGATGGGATTCAAAAAATGAAGGGTGATATCGTGTGACAAGTTTTACTATAGGAGTCAAATTTCGGTACCTTAAGCTCTCACCGATTAGCTCGACTTGATCCATATGTTTTTCTCTTGTTTTTTTTTTTTTTCGCCTCTCTTTTTTTTTTCACTCATGCGACACCTATCAGAAACACATACTGTTGCTCTTTGGAACTGTAGTAGTTGTCTTGTGTTCGTTTATGTAGGATGCTGAGTATTGAATCTTTCCTTTGTGATTGAGAAAATGAATTAGCACAGGATATACACACAAAAACGCAACTTGGGAACAGCGTCAAGCGAAAACACATTTCGAGACACTGTTTTTGCAACCAATCGCAAGCCATCTTAGAACATAGATATACCCGGCAATGCAATTCATACTATACAGCTATGTAGCATATACACTCATGTTTTGAACAAGATCACCGACAAGATATTCCCTGGAATACTTGGCACTTCCTCAAACATGTTATTAGCGAGATTCAACTCCGACAACTCAATCCCATCACCAGAAATCATTTCAAAATCAAACGATTTGAAATAATTACTACTCAAATCAAGGAATCTCAAATTGGAAGCGGCGGAATCAAATGACAATGTAAAGTTGGAAACTTGAAGTTGATTTTCAATCAAGCTGCATGTCATTAGTCTGGGGGGTAACTTGACGTGGAAGTGTGTGATTTTGCATCTGTTCAACTCCAAATGACGTAAATTGGTAGGTATTTGAAACGCATCCGAGGCTACATCCTTAAAGTCGTTGTCATTTGCAATCAAGGTTTGTAGCTCGTTAGGGACTCCAAGACTCGAAATCAGTGTAAATTCGTTCTCACTAACGTTTAACCATTCCAATTTAGTCAATATGCAAAGACCAACTTCCGTAATGAGGTTGTTCCTTGCATTTATGGAAGTTGTGGATAATGGGAGATATCCAGCCTCCAATATGGTAAGTTTATTGCAAGAAACATCAATGTCACATAGCTCGACAAAATTGCGCAAGTTGAGCTTGGTCAAATTATTATTGGCAAGGCTGAGGATTTTGAGGCTTCTATTCATTTCCTTACTATCAAACTCAACAAGGTCACACTGCTGCATGCTCAATTGAATTAGCTGAGGGGGCACCTTGAACTCTTGCCATTTAAACTTCTTACATCCGTCGAGAATAAGTTTTGTTAATCCATTCCCAGTTACGGAAACAACCGAAGTGTTTGAAAGGTTAAGGTAACTTGTTTGTGGGTTCAATGTAATATCCTCAAGTTTAGGATTATCCGAAAGTATCACATCCTGTGCTGGAACCTCCTCGAACGTGATTGTTCCAGACAAGTTATTTGAAGCAATCCTTATCGCTTGTAGTTTCAGTCTGGATAAAATTGCGTTAACCCCGTTTGCTTCCAAATTCACCACTTCCAACAATGGAGGGAAAGCAGAATCTTTGATTCCTTTTAAATCAACGCCAATCAATTTAAGTACTTTCAAGCTATGTGGAAACTTGAATTTGTCCACATTGATGAAGCTGTTTGTAACCTCCAATCTGAGCAACGACTTGCAGCTCTCAATCTTTTCATGCAAATCCTTCACTTCACAATTATCAACCTTGAACCTCTGCAATCTCTTCAAGATGCATGTCTTTGAACTCCATTTCCCATTTATAACACTCAAAATTCTCAATGTGTGGGGAAAGCTTGAAACTTGCGTGCTGATGCAGCAATCAACCAACTCCAACTTACGAAGCAAGACAGGGAATGTGAGAGCTTTCGTCTGTGCAAATGTCAAATTCAGTAAACTCAATGTGGATAAATGTGAAAACCTCTTGAAATGGCAATTGGCAATGAATTTTGCGTCCAAGTTCAATCTTTCCAAGTCCAAAAACCCTTTTGGGTATTTGTCAGAGTGATGACCAGACGGTGCATCTTCACCGCTGATACACAAGTGCCTAAGATATTTGTTCAAGTTGAACCTGCTAAAATTTACCCCATCAACATTATGCAAGCCTATTTCTCGAATATATGGTGGCAATAGTGCAAAGTCGGGTAAGCTCAACCCGTTTGCAACAACCAACTTTTCCAACAAATATGGAAGTTTGATTGATGAGCTCGTAGCTGATCCAAAAACGTAACCATTCCCATACTGATGTAACCCAACAAATAATCCCAAAGATCTGATCTTTTGGTAAAAAGCGTCATTCTCAACTAGTAAAGTGAATAAAATTTTAACCTGGTTCTCATATGAAGCCAGAATTCTGACGAAAACTGAGTTAATCAAATCCAACTCCAATTCATGGTTCTTAAAGTACTTCATTATCTGAAGCAAAATGTTACATCCATTGTTATTCAAGATCAAGTCAATGTACAAATCCTTTTTGCCACTGCCACTTTTCAAGTACGTATCAATCACTTTGTCAGAGTTGATGATTTTGGTATTAATGTAAATGTTGCGCTCAGTGGTGAGATCAGGCACGACGCTATCTTCAAATCTCATTGCCTTTGCAAGCTCAATCTCTCTTTTGAAATTATTGATGCCAAAAAAATGGTCATATTCGCTGTTTGTCCAAAAATCTACTTGACGCTTTTGAGGTTCATCTTCGATTGGACTATGAACCAACAACGGTGAATAACAATGAGCAGCGGCGGTGGAGGATAATTTGAATTGCCTCACATTCGTTTGTAAACTCAAGGTTTGGCTAACAGGATTGAACTTGTTTTCGACATCTTTATCAACTCCATTTTTGAACTCATTTTGTTTGCTTCTTGTCGTCAGAATCTCTCTGAAATTAGTGGTGTAACTTCTGTACGGAGGTGGAGAAACTGGCGAATCTGAAGGAGAGGGAATATCCATGGTCATAAATGCAGAAACTATTCCCTTTCTTGTGCGGGACTCGGCAGAGTTTTCTTGTGTGTGGTTCTCTGTATTCTTCATGCTACCCTTGACACTAGCTACAGTGATGCCTTCATTATGAGCATGAAACACTGATTTCTCACTCCCACTGTTCTTAATGTTAACAACACTCGTATCCGTCACAATATCACTGTGACTCTGTTCCAAACTGATTGAGGCTATTCTTGCTGACAATTCCTCCCCACTCCGTAAATTTAGTGCTGTTTTTGGAGACTTCGAGGTCGTTGAGTTTCCATTTTCAATAATCACATCGTTAACTTGTCCCTTGGCAATTGAGGTCATCATATTGGTGCTCCCAGCGGGTGTTGCAGTTAATGGATGTGTGTTATGAAAGTGGTTGTAAATGTGTGTTGCAAAAAAAAAAAAGAAAAATAAAAAAAATTAAAGGAAAATGCGTATGTGTGTATATATTCTTGGTATGTTACGTAAAAGTGTCTAAAATAGAAATTGTCGTGAACTAGGTGTTTTGATGTCGCATCATTCTCAATCGTAAAAGTCATCGTCGTCGTTGTCGTCGTCGCCATCATCTCTGATAGATTTCTTTGCAAAGCGGAGTTTCTTTTCCTGTTGCAACTCCTCGTCCTCGTCATTTATAACAAGCCTCTTGTCATTGTCGTCCAAAACATGAAGATTGAGCAAGATTCTCTCCAAGTCTCTCAAAGTTGTAGAGTTGCCTCCCAATTGGGTCAACGTCACATACTGCTTCAACACATTGCCATCTTTGTATATTATAAGGGTAGGACAATTAGACTCGGGGTAATTTTCAATACACCTCTGCGCTGGTATATCACAAACTTTCAACTCTGGAAACTTTCTTGCCAATTGCGATAGTAACGACCCCAATAGTCTACTTTGCAAGCTTGCTTGAAGGGACAAATGAACCAACACTGTGGTTCCCTTTGGAGCTTTGGTGATTTCATTCTCATATTCATTCTTGCTGATTGGCAAAACCAGTCCATACTTTTTCTGCTCAGACAACTTTTTTATCTCATTCATTCTCTTTTGTTTGTAAAAATTGAGAAACTCTTCGTCTTCTTCGTCTTCAAGTGCATCTAGTTCATCTAAATCCTTGTTTTCTAACCTATTTTCGTGCTGTTTTTTAACTGCCTCTTCTAATGCCTCTTCCAATTGGGCTGTTGGCGAAGGTGGCTTTTCCGGAATTACCCCATGGTCACGAAGAATGTCATTCCATTCAGTGTCCTCGTCCGGATTGACTTCGACTGGTATTTTGGCGTTGCTATTCATTGCTTAGTGGATGATTGGAACGGAATAGAATAGAAGAAAAAAAAAAAAAAATTGAAACGTTTATGTGAAACTTCTTCCGCGTCAATATCTGCAAAAACTCTGACTCTCTCTGACAACTCGAGGTGAAGTGTCAGGAACAGCTCCATCGACTAAAATGGACTACATGTGCAACTCAATCCAATCCAATCCAATAAAAAAAAGTCTGGATTCTTTTATTATATAAAATTATATACAGTGAACAAAAAAAACAGATTAAAAGTCAGTTGCAAAAACAAAAAAGCGACTAAATCGCCTCTTGCAACACAACTTGTGAATCTTATTTTAAAAAAAACATTCTATCAATAGATGCAGGTGGGGTAGTTGGGGAAGCTGGTTCGATAAATAAATTCAAAAAGTCCGTTAATAGACATTCTCTAATCTCCAATGAGCGCAAAAAAAAAAAGCAAAAGAGATAGTTTTGCGTTTGACAAAGTGTTTCAACTCTGACAACAGACCGGCTCTTCAATTGCTTTACTCGGAGGTAACCTTGTGCAAGTAAGTGATCAAATCGTTTCTGTCCTTTGGTTTCTTCAAACCACCGAAAGCCATCTTGGTACCTGGAATGTACTTCTTTGGGTTTTCCAAATAGTCAGACATGGTTTGTTCTGACCAAACGACACCCTTCTTCTTGTTAGCATCGGTATAACTGAACCCTTCAGCTTGACCTGATTTTCTTCCAAAGACACCATGCAAGTTTGGACCAACCTTGTTTGGACCACCTTTTTCAACAGTGTGACATTGCAAACATCTAGTCTTGAACAAGTTGGCACCTTTCTTTTCAGAACCTTTTTCAAATGGAGCTGGCATTGTGTATAGGAAGTTGTAGTTGGAATTTATTTAGAAAGTAAATGAAATTGTCCTTTCAAGAAGGATTTAGATTGAAAAATCTAATGAAAATACTTTTTGTTTGCTTTTATAAAGAATTTTCTTAATTTTTTTTTTTTTCTTCCTCTTCTATATTAAAGAGTACTCAACAGTCTTTCTATTTCAAACTGCAAAATTTCTATTGGTTGGAATAAATTTTCATAAACAATAGAAAATAGTACAAAATAATAACCTAACTCTTTTAATGTTTATGCACAGTGTATAAAATACTACATGAATAACACTACCAAAGTGTAGAATCTGTATAGCTTGTAAGGAGAAGGGGCATGACATGACGGCATGACATGGAGTCAATATTAATCTGGCCAACACAAGCTGCATCACAGTATAAACTCTATTAATGCAACACCATAGGCTTCACACAACAAGTCGCAATTGCACTTGACTCCACGGCTGACGAACGTTTCGCGCCCTCGTGAACCAGTTTTCTTGTCTTTTTCCCTCGCTTTAGCCAGAGTGAGTTACCGTTCCACCCTCGGCAGACACGAACGAACGCTCTTAGCTGTCTTATTTCCGGTTTCTTCCGTTGCGTTTTTTGACAGTCACTTCTCGCCGGATGATTTTAAGAAGAGAAAAAAGAAGAGAAAAAAAAAAAAATAAAAAATAAAAAAAGAAATTTGACTTCATGCAGACTCTTTTTGTGGCTAAAAAAGTTTAAATCTCCGATAAAAGCGAAAGTCTCTACCAAGTTCAAAATATAAAATCTACTGCTTCTCTTTCTCTAAATAATGTACATTTTTTAATTCCTCTTTTCTTTATAAACTCTACTCTAAAAATCATTCTCATTGATGTTTGCTTTATCGCACATGGACCTGAATGTACCTTTCTCTTGGTACAACTTCCATGGATCACCTTTCTCGACAATTTCCCCTTTATCCATCACAAGCACCCTATCATAATTCAAGATGGTTTTGAGCCTATGAGCGATGCACAACACAGTACAATGTCTAAACTCAGAACTTATCGTATCCTGTATTTTTGAATCAGTAGCGAAATCAACTGAACTTGTCGCCTCGTCAAGAATAAGAATTTTGGAATCACGAACCAATGCACGCGCCAATGCAATCAATTGCTTTTCACCAAGGGAGAAATTTGCCCCGTCATCATCAACAATGCGATCAAGGTGGAACTTGTGAAGTGAGTTGTACCCTACTCCTTCCTCTGGTGAATACTTCATTGATGCAACCTGTTTGATTTGGTCTTCGGAGATGAGCCCTGCTGTGCACAATGCTTTCCACAACTTGTAATCTTCGTGCTCATTGAATGGATCCAAGTTTCTTCTTATTGTGCCTTGGAATAGCACTGGGTCTTGTGGAATTATTGATAATTTCGATCTCAAGTCATATAACCCCATTGTGGAAATGTCCAACCCATCAATCTCAATTTTCCCATCTTCCAATTCAATCAATCTGTACAATGCTGACATTATTGACGACTTTCCTGCACCTGTTCTTCCACAGATACCAACCTTTTCTCCAGGATAAAAGTTTACATTCAAGTGGCGCAATACTGGTGGTAGATTTGGTCTGTATCGAAGTGTCACATCTTTGAAAGTAACATAGCCTGATGGTGGCCACTCTTGTGGAGGTTGAGCTTCTCTGGTGTATGCCGCCTCTTGTGGTAACCTGTAGGCGTATTCATGTAACCTCTCGACTGAATTCATTTCATTCTCCACTTGAGTCATCGATCTGATGGTCAATGACAACACTCCAACCAATTGCAAAACGTAATTTAATAACAACCCCGTCGATGAAGCACTAATGTTGAACTGACCAGTGATACAAAGCATGCAAACAATCAATGCAACGGATGAAGTAATGATATCTAAATGAACACACAACCACCGTTGAGTAGCAATGGACAAGTAGTACGCTTCATTCATTCTGTTGATGTAATAATCATTCTTCTTCATAAAGTCATCTTCAGCTTTGAAGGATTTGATGGTTTCCATACCAGTCAATGACTCATTGAAATTGTTATAAACTAATGACCTTTGGGTTGCTTCCAATCTCTTAATCTCCCTCGATGAACCTTGGTAAAAATTGGCCAAAAACACAAATGCAAATCCCAAAAACGGGATAGCAATAGCAAAATACGGCAAGTAACATGAGCACAAGACAATAATACCGATAATCAATGCCATGGGAAACACAAATAACCTCATTTGCTCACCGATTTCATTATCCAACGAATCGGTATCCTTGGTGAATCTGTTCAAAATCCTTCCCAATGGGGTTGTATCCATAAACGACATTGGTGCGTGCAAAATTTTTTCAACTGCTTTCAAATTGAGCTTGTTGGCCGAGCAATCTTGCATATATGCCAACATACTAAACTCGATACCGGTGAATATGACTGTCAAAACTGCAAACATGACATATATGGCAACATAGAAATGGTCACTGCGACCGGAGAATTTGTTTTCAACCCAAAATGAAAGCCAAGTATTGGTAAATACTTGACAGAATGTGGCAATTGCAACAAGAATAACAAATAAAGGAGCTGCAAACTTTCCAAATATCCCTGATCCCAAATCAATGTATTTTTTGTAAATAGACCAAGAGATGGCATTAGTTGCGCGTACTTCATCCGTGGTAGTTCTTCCGGTGAGGTCGTAATCCTCATCCTTGGTTAATTTCTGGCTAGGTAGTTGCACTTCGTAATCGGAATTGGCAAAATCCCCTTCTGCATCATCCTCTGTCGCACTAGATTCTTTTCCATGCTCAACCAAACTGCGAAAGCTTTCTCGTTTGGCAATCAACTTATCAAGCGAGCCTGAATACACTGAACCATCATCCACAAATACCACCTTGTCGGCGAATTCCAAAATCCCCAATTGATGAGTAGCTAAAATGATGGTTTTGTCACGCAACAAGCCTCGGAACAAATGAATAACGATATGTCTAGCAACTTTGGCGTCAACAGCAGAGATTACGTCATCAAACAAAAGCACTTCTGCATCAGCATAGCAAGCACGGGCCAAGTTGATTCTTGCCTTTTGACCTCCCGATAATGTGATTCCACGTTCACCAATCTCAGTTCTGTCTCCTGCGGGTAAAATTGCCACATCGTCTTCCAATGCACAAGCAAACAAAACTTGCTTGTATCGGTGAGCATCATATGGTTTCCCGAAAAGAATGTTTTCTCTCACTGTAGCATTTTGTATCCATGTAGTCGAACAAAGCAAAACTTGTTTGTTACGAATGATTGATCCGTTGGATAATTTCATGAAGCCAGCGAGCGCGTTCAACAATGATGTTTTACCTGATCCAATGACACCTGTTATAATAACAAACTCTCCATTTTTAATCGACAAGTTGACGTTTGTCAATCCTTTAAACTTGTGATTTGACGCACATGTGTCCAATGATTCTGCATCACTCTCATGGATGCCTTTCTCTGCACTTTTTGGAGGATGTTCCTTCCATAATTCCACATCCAAATCATCGTCATGACTCTCCCAAGTGAAATCTGCATGCTTCGCTTGTATGGCAATATCATTAAACTCACCCTCACCCGTGTAAAATTTATCCTCATACGATAGCATTTTGTTATTGACTTCCTCTGTAAACTCCTCAGCTGACAAGTAATCGTTGCATCTTTGAAAACCAATCAAGGCATCAGCTCCAGTGGATAAGGCAATTGGCAACAACATGATGGCTTGTGCCAAGATGGCATATAATGACAATGAACTAAACACTTTTCCTGGGGTTTGCATATGGTCGGTGGCCCACAAGGTAATAAACGAAAGCATGGATGTCAATACTGGCATAGTCACTGCATATGCCGTAATAAAGTTACGCAACACTTTAATCGTAAACAAATACTTCATCTCCTTGTGTCTTATTTTCAATATCGATGCCTTGTAAGCCATTTCCCATGCGTAAAATTTAATGATTTTGAGATTGTTCAAGATCTCTCTCATTAACGAAACACGTTCATCCGTGTATTTGACAACTTTTTCTCTAGTGGTGTACAACTTTTTGGTCAACAATACGCAAACAACGAGTGACACGATAAACAATCCAATACCTGCCAATGCCGAAACACCGATATTAATCACCAATATAATCACCGCTATAATCATTGGGATGGGGAAACACAATACCAATGGCTGAAACCCAATGGCCAAGTCGATTCTTGACAAATCCGTGCTCATCAAACTTGTCACCCGGCCAGCGGGGAATAAGTACCTTGATTTTGAATTCAAATTAAACAGTTTCTTCAATAAAGCCTTGGTTAATATGGCCTTGGCTTGTGCGCCACAAATCATTGAGTTGTGGAAGAAATGATTGAGTAGTAATCCATTAACAAATATAAGAATGACGGCTCCAAAAGTGAGGCCGATTCCTCTATTGTACGTTGTGTACACTCCAAAATACTTGTATTCGACAAAATCAATCAACTGTCGCGTAACCAATGGCGACGTGGCGATACAAACAAATGCCAATGCTAAGCAAACGCAAGAGAATGTGTATTGCCATTTGAAAGTAAGAAACAATGCCCAGGGAATCGCATATTTTGGCCAAGGTTTTGACTCGTCGAGATCTCCCACTATCTTACTCATGTGCTTTTCCCATTGCGCATACATATACTCCACTTTCAACTCTGGGGTCAACACAAACAAGTCATCTGGATGTAATGTACGTTTGTAACCTTTTTTCAATACCGGCCATAACCACCAAAATCCCACCCGCTTAATTGCATTAGTCTTTGTCCACGGGTATTCTTTCCTCTCTTCTTCGCTGGGTATCAGTGGGACTCTTTTAGAAAAGAGCCATGAGAATAATCTCTTTTCATTGTGAAGTTGAGGTTGTGATTCTAGTGAGCTTGCAGAGTTTGCAGAATTGTGTGATATTTTTGAAGATATCTTCTCGTGTGAGGAGTTGGTAGCGATGGTTTCCATCCTTTGCGTGTATCTTGGTAAAGTATATCGTTGGTCAGTGAATGTAGTTTCGGAACCCGAGTCCAAGGATGAGTATATATCCAAATACGGGTTGTTCCTGTGTTGCTGATTAGTTTGAGGATATTCATTGTTTTGAGATTCACGAACGGGTATAGTGTCAGGAACATGAATGTGGTGTGAGGAATTTTGATAGTCGTCCCACCCTTTGTAATTATTCCTAGACATTTTTCCGTAGTAGAAGACGATTGTAAAATGGGGGGGGTGGAGGGGTATCAAAGTGTAGGGCAGTTTGGTTGGGCACAGCAATGGATGATTTGCAATACAATATATATACTCTTTTGAGGCTAGGAGGCACACATTTTAAGAAATAGGGCTTTTAATTTCCACAGAATCGCATCCATTTGTGAATAGAGGAGGTAAGACTGTGGAATAAACTTCACATGGTGGGTCATATGAAGTGTGTTTGCCTATTTCGGGCACTGAAATGAAGTAATCACACAATATTCTCTTGGCCATTGAGAGGCTTTGGCAAAAATAAAAAATAAAAAATAACATATTAATATTGGAAGGTCATATGCCGAAATTTATTACACAAAGCTCAGTTCTCACAACCTTAATCGGGGCTTTGATGAAATATTTTCTTTTGTTGTTTGTGAGTTATTACCCTTTTAAGCAATACATAGAGTAAAAAGAATGCTTAGTGTATGAGGATTTGTTGTGGCATACTGAAAGAGCAAACTGCTGAGTCTTTAATGCGTTGTTGTATCACAACGTAGTCACTTGGTTTGTGGTCTGGTAGGAAAAGAAGCCGTCTGCCTTGCCCACCCACGCATAGCAGTCTCAAGTCTGAGTTTTGTCAAAACTCATATGGAAGTTGTCACTCAAGTAGTGTTTTCTGGTAATGAAAATTCTATTTAATAGTTGCTTTACATTCACAAATCCGATCCGAAAATATATTTACAGAAAAATTAAATCAAATTTTACTGATCGTGTGAGTTTTAAAAAAGAACCAAATATGTGAATTAGCAAAAATTGGCCCAGAAAAATTAAATGCCGAATCAAACGTTTGAAAGTCTTCAAAATTAATACTACATTTTTTTTTTTTTTTTTAGTCAAAAACATGAAATTTCAAAAGGGTGAATCAAATAAGCTTTAAAGCCACTATTCATGTGGGTGGGGTAAGCTTTACAATTTTTTATTTAAAATAAAAAAAAAAAATAGGACTTCCATCACAGCAATCAAAACTGCTGACTTGTTTCAAAGCCGGGTTAACACTGACGTAAAAGTGAGGAGTTAAAAGAGTTCTAGATTTATTACGAGTAATCTCTACCCGGTATTTGAAGAAAAAAAAAAAAGGAAAAAAAAACAATACAGCTAACCTTTGGACTGTGTAGAATCCCGAAATAGTGCACACAAAAAAAAAAAAGAAGAAGTGGTTGGCGGTCCATTAGGTTCAGGCAACAGCTCCCCAGTATTTTTACAGGACCGCTAGTTTTGGATGTTCCTTGAATATTCGTCCAGTGGAGCTATTGATAGACGTTAAAGGTTCTTTGTGAAATTTTAACTTGCGCGTTGTTGGTCATATCTTACGTCACCTTATTGACTACATGGAGTTGAGCACAGCCCAAACTTGGTTTTCGGTAGTTGACCTCAAAATTTAGAGTCTCCAAGTAAGCAATTACTGGTGCCAAGATGGGACTCTCTGTTGTGAGGCAGCTGTAGCTTGCAATGACTATGAATGGTTCTTCTAGAAGTACAGAGAGGGGGATTTAATTGCTAGGACAAGACGTTGTTGTATCAGAACAAATCACTTAAGAATGCCAGTCTATGAAACTCAAGGTGATGATGTGAAAAAATGATTTTGATTTGAGCAGGCTCTAGTATCAAGCGTGTAGCTCTAGCATCGATGAAGTCATCTAAATTTTTCATACTTGGTTGTAAAAGTGTTGTGTGGTTCAATAAATGGTTTGAATTATAATTGGAGTGCACTGCTTGATATTGAGATGATTTTCCTTGGGTTAACACGCTGTGTAAGTCAAGGATTCCAGTGGCAACTGCATCCTCATACATTTAGTTACAAATTGAATACAAATAAATCAAATTACAAAACTGGAGTCTCGAAATGAACGCATAGCTTAGATTAACTCAACCCAAGATAAACAGGCACTAAATAGGCAATTCCAATTATCAAATTTGGCTTTTTTTTTTTCCACGCTTGCAATGGGGATATTGCTGTTGAATGCTATGTTTTAGCTTCAAAAACATGACCAAATATTTTTTCCCATATTGTTTTGAAAAATCCACAAGCTCATAAATCAGGGCGTGTGGCGTAGTTGGTAGCGCGTTCCCTTAGCATGGGAAAGGTCATGAGTTCGATTCTTATCTCGTCCAGATAATCTTTTTTTTATTTTTTAATTTGTTATTTATTTTTTTTGTGATTTTTCGATATTCAGTTACGAGCAAAGGTCGTTTTGCAACAATTCTTGTACCAACCGTACAGAATTTCAACATCTTTTTGAGATTTCTTTTCAATTAATCTATAAATTTACACCTATTCTCTCTTTCTTTTTATTTTCAAAATGAACAAATACAGCAATCTACTTAAAGAACAACCTTGTCAGCCAATGATTTCTTATAGTCCAAGATGGAACCATCCCATCTAGTTGCAGTTTTGTTCTCAATAACGAAAATGTCCTTAGCAACCTTATCAAGCAACCTGAAATCGTGTGACACAACAACGACACCACCATTAAAAGCGTTAATGGCATCAGCCAAGGAATCGATAGTAGATAAATCCAAACCGTTTGTAGGTTCATCCAACAAAATCAAATTTGGTGCTTCCAAAGCCAACAATGCAAAAACGACACGCGATCTTTGTCCTTCGGAAAGTGTGGCCATTTGGGCAGTTTGTGCTTCTCCGCTCAAACCATAACGGCCCAACTGTCCTCTCCAGTACTGGTAGTCTTGTGAGATAGAAGCAAATTTGTCGCGGACAAATTCCAAGGGTGTCTTTGTCAAGTCCAATTGGTCAGCTGAATGTTGTGAGTAGACTCCCAATTTGATGTGGGTATGTTTGATGACTCTACCCTTTTGAGGAGTCAATTTACCTTGAAACAAGTTGAGCAAAGTTGATTTACCAACACCATTTGGTCCAACGAGAGCAACCCTTGAGTCCATATCGATACCAATGTCCAAGTGTTCGTAAAGGTTGTCTTCATCTTTGCCGGAATATGAAAATGACATGTCGTCAAAGGCCAACACTGGTGGTGGCAATTTTTCGACATCGGGGAATCTGAATGTAAAAACTTTATCGGGAACAACTGGTTGAATCAACCCATCGGCTTCCATCTTGTCCAAAATCTTTTGTCTTGATTTAGCTTGTCTGACCAAGTTTGCATAAGTACCAGCAGAAGCAATGAACTTCTTGATGTGGGCAATTTCTTCTTGTTGTTTGTTGTATTGTTTCATTTGGTTGGTTTCCAATTCAGATCTAGTTTTAACGTATGAGTCGTAGTTACCACCGTAAAGTTGCAATTGCTTCATTCTCATATCAATCATGTTGGTACAGACACCATTAAGGAAATCTTGAGAGTGCGACACCAATATAAGGGTCCTGTCGAATCTCTTCATATATTCTTCCAACCAGACACAAGCAGCCAAATCCAAGTGGGCAGTTGGGTCATCCAACAACAAAAGCGTTGGCTTGACAAACAAGGCTTTGGCCAATGCAACACGCATTCTCCAACCACCAGACATATCTCTTGTTCTCTTTTTGATAGTGACGGCATTGAAACCCAAACCTGTCAAAATGATGGCAGCTCTAGACTCGAAGGTTGATGGGTCCATCTCATCAATCTTTTCGTATATACCTTCCAAAGCAGGACATTCAGGACCTTCCTTGACAATCAAATCCTCAACCAAGTCCTCCAATCTCTTCAATTCGTGTTCTGCTTCCCTAACGACATATTCCAATGCCGAGAAATCAGTTGGTTCTGCAGGTTCATTCAACAAATAAATATCAATGTGCTCAGGAATGGGAAACTCTCTTGCTGCAATAGACTTCAACAAAGTGGACTTACCACATCCATTTTCACCCAACAAACCATATCTACGGCCATAGTTCAATTCCAAAGTCGAATCCTGGATCAAAACTTTACCATGGAACAAAAGTGATACAGATGACAATTTAATATCTCTTGACGTTTTCAAAGAGTCTAAAACACCAGTGGTGACTCTATCCGACAATCCATGTTCATCAGTTTGCAACTTCAACTTGGCGACTTCTTCACTGGCGTCTGCTACGTCATCTTCAGCTGCATCCTTCTCAGCTTGTCTTTTAGTCTTTTTGAGACTTTTCCCTTCGGCGGCTTTCTTGGCCTCTCTTTCCATACGCTTTTGTTCTCTCTTGGCTTTTGAAGCTGATACAGACATCTTTTGCAGTTTCTAGTGTGTGTATAGTTAATATGTGTGTATATATATATATGGAATGTAAAAAGAATGCAATCTAAACTACAAAGTAAAGAGATTGTGAAGAGATTGAAAAATTCTAAAAAAAAAATTCTCATCATTTTATTTTTTTTTATTTGTAAAGATGTACACGCCGCAATGAAGTGGTATTGTACTGTTTATATACAGGAGTACATCAATTACATCATACTTTAGTAGCATTATATAACAAACCACTCCAGAGTATATAATATGAATATTCCCATTCCCTTTGAACACTCTAAGTGATCTTTGGAAGTGTGCCATTTACTTAATTTCCCCATCCGTTTCTCTCTTTCTCTCTATTTCTCTATTTCTCTATTTCTCCCTTCCCCTCTTTTCTTTCGATGGCGTAGAATTCTTTTCTTCACCAGTCTCTCCACAACAAAAAAAATAAAAATACAGGCTCCTTGATAATCGCCACCAAAATTACTGTAGGCGATTCTTTTGTTTTTTATTTTGTTTTTTTTTTTTGCAACACACTTGAATCGTTCAATTGACACTTTTTAACCACTTTGTCACAATACCCAATGTCTCATCTGGGGTCTGATAAGAACGATAAGTTCAAAAATCCCAATTTCGCGGGTGTCACTTCACCGATACCAATTAGAACGACAACGTCACTGGCAAGTCAATTGAGGCACCCCGAGGATCATCATTCTTTCCATTTGGACGACGAGTCTAGGTCATTTACTCCTTCAACATGGGACTCGGTACAGAAACATGTCACCGCGAGAAGACCATCGTACAATACAATTGTCAATTACAGAGAAAAGTTTTACAATTTGGATTATCCCAAAGATGGCAATACACTAGCAAAATTGCAATTGGATCCTAAGTCGAGGTTTTACTCCAGATCTCGGCCCAGGACATTGAATCTTGCGCTGTTGATGCCGTACCGCATTGAATCTCCCGAAGAACAAGCCAAATTCTTGAGTCACATTGTTTCTCATTTATATATCGCCATTAAATCTTTGGACATCCAAGGCTCATTGAGTATCAGTGCCAAAGATTTGGCAGCGTTGAAAGAGTCTATTTCAGATGTGGATATTGCGTTGGAAACAAATTTATTCGAAATCAATACTGCTGAAACCCATGAGGATGAGCCGATGACGGATGATCTCGACACTTCAGATGAAGAGATGGTAGAGGATGACGACGACGACGACGACAAAGAAGAAGATGATGATGAAGGGGAAGAAGGCGAAGGAGAGGATGACGAGAATGATAAGGATGCTACTATTCAGCATAAAAGATCACCCAAGTCAGCCGCCGTAGTTACAGTTCGTACTTGGACACATGAATTATTGATTTGGCTCAAAATGAAGTACGATATGCCAGTGACTTTGAAAATAAGATTAGCACGAGTGTACTATGCTTTGTGTCTTTGCCGTGGTCAACACATTGGTATCAAGACATATGTTCGCGTGTTTGAGATTTTGACAAAAGATCAGAAATTGCTTTACGCTCAAGGTTTGAGATTGAACTGGGAGGATTTGTACAAGGAATTTCAGCTTTTGTTTCCGTCACCCGATCCATCGTTGGGCCCTTTTGAAAAAAAGGATCAGAGGCAATTGGGTAAATTAGCTACAAAAGCTTCCTACTTTTTCGATCCAAAAAGTTTGCCCATAATTTTCGAAAAATTGGGCTCGAATTTTGCTGTAAGCACGTCGGCATTGACCATCTCATCGTTTGCATTATTGCCAATGAATTTCACTACCGGTGGAGTTGACGATGAATATGACATTCGCCACTACTTGAGCCCATTGTTTTATATGTGGCTTAAAATCAATAAAAGTAAGGGACTCGACGAACACATTACAGGCAGATTAGGTGTAATTGTTATGTCGACATTGTTTAGGATGCACGACGATGAAAACGTAAGAGAGGTTGTCAAGTTGGGGAAGTTTGGTATTCTATCTCAAAGTCAAATGGAACTTTTATTTAATGAAATGATCAACAGCTTTGGCATTAGAAACGAAAAGTATGCATCCAAAAAACTGAAGTATTTTCATGGATTTGCTTCTGCTATTGTATTTTCAATGGCTGGTGACAAGGCGTTGGAAGAAGGCGGTATAATCTATCTCTTGAAAACGTTGGTCAATGCAATTGAGAGTTATATTCACCCCTCCAATTCGGGTGAGTGGACAAGACCCATTTCGCGTGCCCTTCTAGCACTCATCTATCAGTTTCACAAGAGATACAACTTGGAAGCACAAACAGATGGCGATCTTTATAATATCCCATCTCAAGTGAAGCTTTCCTCCACTGTGGTTAAAGCATTTGTTAAGATTATGCTTCCTGTGGTAAAGACTGGTATACAATCAAAGCGAGATGAGGCCTCTTCTGAGTACGTAACAGCACTTCAACTTTTAGCTCATCTTGACCCCAACTATGTGTTGGATAATACCTTGTTGGATATTTATGAGTCCTTGGAAGGAGTTATTTCTACACATAGGGTGATCAACGCATTGAGAATGGTTGATTCAATGGCACGGTCTATTGTATCAACGCCCATATTTCGAGTTCATTTGACGCGGATATTACTGTTGTTATTACCAGGAATTGACTCAAATGACTTGGAAAAGACTTTACAGACATTGGAAGTGGTCTCCGCCATTAGCAACTACGCACCCATATATGATTTAAGTGGAGAGTACGGGGATACTTCACTTGCCATGGAATTTACTCAAAATCATATTGAATATTTGAAGAGAAAAATATACGACGGTGATGTTGAACCTTTTGCAGTGGATAAACAAACAGAGATTGATGCTTTGGTATCATCGACATCTGCGTTCAAGGAGATTTTCAAATCTTTGGCACAAAAATTACCTCCCCTACTTGAGAACTTGCCAGACCCACACAAGAGTTATGGCCCTGAACAGGACTTGGCAATCTCCTTGCCCAAGTTTTTTGTGGTCATCTTTGAGTCCATGTCAGATGATATCTTTAGGGTTTTCAGGAAGGAGTGGTTTGAGTTTGTGTTCAACAACGTTCATCACACATCGACGCTGGTTGTAGCTGATGTTAGTGGAGTGGTTGTGAGGCGTGACCCAAAATGTTTTAAACAAAATGCTCGTATTCTTATGGACAAGATCCACGAGGAGATTGATGAGAATGGTGCTGGCTCATCCAGGACGGGTGAAGAGGTTGTGCCGCGTGACCAAGCTTTAAGTTGGAATTTGACAATTTTGAGTGACTGCGCTGCTGTTGCTGGGTCACAACTAGTGGGTATGCACAAAGAATTGATGGACTTCTCAACGTACCTTATGCAAAATGTGAAGGGGCCATGTATTTTTCCAGCAGCATTTCTTGTGAACCAAGTGTTGCAATCAGTTACCAGAATCAGAATCAATGAGAGTAGATTGATCTCTCCCAAATATGAGAAGGAGCATGGTGTTGATGAGACTTGCTGGGGAGGTTTTTGGAACTCTGATGATCGCTTTGTGGATACTTCATTTGACTGGTTTGTCCCCACTGAAAAAGAGGTCAATTTTGCTTACGAGTTTTTCAATGATCATGCTACTATATGTACCAAAAATGTCATTACGTTGATGAAAAGCTACGAACAGGAACAATCTAAAAACTCGATTGCACTTCTTGACGATTTGCGAAAGAATATAGTGTATTTTGGATATTCCTTAAGCGGAATATCATTCTTGTTGGATCCGTCGTTTGAGGAGGACATTCCCAAATTGGATCACGAAGCCGAGTCGATTCAGCAAAGACTCGCATTGTTGAAACAAATTAGAAATCTCAAGGATGTTTCTACCCAGGAGGACTATTTGTATGATGATAAAGTAAGTGAAAACATGCAACAAATCTTGAATGACTTGCGCAATGAAGACCCGATTGATTATATTGCAGACTTTGACAAAATGAATGAAATGATTACCGAGCATGAAGCAAAGGAGGATGAGGTGGAGGCGGAGGCGGAGGCGGATGAGGATTCTCATAAGTTTACTACGCCAGAACAAAAGAACGTTTTGCATCGTCATTTCCGCGCACCAGAAAGGCCAGACTCGACGGCACCCGATTCTGTTTCCGGTAGAGAAACTCCGCGAATTGAAGGCATTCAAATGTCCTCAATGAACCCGGCAATCACTTTTAGAGAGAAGAGTTTATACACGTCAAACTACTTTTTTGGTGACAACTCTCGTCACAAGGAGCATAGAGACTTGTATTTGAAAATCCACAAAACGAGACACTTGATTGGAAGAAGTTTGCATTTTATTCATAAATTCTTGGTTAGCAATTTTCCTGACAATACTAGAATTTTCAGAAATCTTTTATTGGCAACTAATACCTGGATTTCCGATGTTGGTAGAGAGAGACTCCTCAAGCCCAATATTCCCCAAATTGATTATGGGTATGTGCAGTATCTTCAAACTATCAACAGGGTGAGAAAACCATTCACAAGGATTGCCATTGGAGCAAGATTAGAATCATACCATCAGTCTAGGGTGGCACTACATGCTACATCAAGGTCGGAAACGAATTTGGACCGGGTTTTATTGGAGGATGTGATTAAGCTCTCGAGCTCCACTTATGTCACTATTGCCAGCATTGCTCAAAAAGTGTTAGTAGATAGTCTGAGAAGGATCAGTGGGTCCTACTCGCACATAATCAAGTCGACATTTAGAAATCTCAAAAAGGCTTTGGACGCGGATGATCATCGACAAATTGAGAGTATTTTAAAAGTGTTTTTGTTGCGTCGTTTGAAGGGAAAGTTGCAAAACGATTATCTCAATGTTCAAAAATATCTTGCGTTGCTTTATAGATGTCTCAAGGTGGATGATCCAAAAGTTTACAAACTAGCTCAAAGCTTATACGGTGCAGTCGGTAGAGGAATCACTACACCTAGTAGTGTGTGCTTGATTGACCATGAGGCAATTGATCAAATCAGGCCTCCTGACCAGTACATTGACTTGGAAATCAAAGCCGTTCAATTGGCGAAGGAGAAGAAACGACATGTATACTTTGACAAGTTGGAAAAGCTTCAAGATAAGGTGCTTGAATTGAAGGACAATGTTACGCATTGGAAGATTACGATGCTGAATCTGGAATTGCTTCTGAATTTGCAAGCGCATTTGGATATCCCCACTAGAGGGAACGTGTTGGAGCTGTTTTCAAATGAAGCTTCGAGCGAGCATCCAATAATATCAAGACACGCATTGCTTGGTATAACAAGGATCTTGAACAAGTTGCATGTGCTTGAGCAGTACGAATACAAGTTTGATAACTTGTATGACACCAACTTTGTGCCACGTGGTTGGAAGGTGGTGGATACAAACCCCGTCAATGGAGAGTCATTTACATCAAAATGGATGAGTGAACTTCGCAACACTACTCATCCTGAATATTTCTTGGATACCAAACCGTACTCTGGCTGGTTATTTTGGGGTGAAAGCATTACTGTTATTACTCCAGAATTGGGACAAAACTTGGCAGTGAACGAGGAGGACGAGGCGGCGTTGAGAAGACTTGGACACTCCTTAGATAAGGAGTGGATTACAAAGATTGTCAAAATGTGGGCTTCGGAAGCAGAGAATAGCAATGCTTTTCAAGTTGCCGATGTTATGTTTCTTGTGGTTTTGGTCTTGTCGATATCGAACGGATATACTCCCAAGTTGACGTATTCAGATTTGTTGTCTACTGTTGATGAAATTTACGTTGCTGGAGAAAAGGGTGCAAACATTGTCGTTTGTGAGGTACTTTCTGGAATATTGTTGGCTTCAAAGTGCACAGCTCCACAATACTGGGAGGAAAGAGATGAATTTGTAATCAAGTACTTGAAACAGGTTTTTGAGCATGATATATCTCCTGGTACACTGGCAGCATGGGGTGTTTTCTGTCTTTATGTCTCAGCTCACACAGATTCTAGACGGTTCCACAAAGTTATTGAGGAGATTGCCAATTTCAAATTGGATCCAAATTCGGATTCTGCATTTAAAGATTCTACAAGGATTAGTTATATCAAGTCGGTGATATCCTCGACTTCTTGGAAATTGGGTGATCCAGACAAGTTTTTGGATCTTTGTTTGGACAACATGAATCACAAGTACAATTTGGTGAGGAGGGAAATTGGGTCCTTAATGGCGGTGGTTTCTTTGAGATACTACGTTGAATCCATCAAGGATTGCAAAGCTTTTGTGCAAGGATGCAATAGACATGATGATTTGTTGTTGTATAAGAAGAAGGGGAAATTATTTGATGAAGTGCCCAGATTGTTTGAGCAGACTGAGAAATGGAGAACTGAAGTGGTTCATTTAGATCCACAAGAGATTCTTGTTTCGAATTACATCAATTCCGCAACCACGATTTTGACTTGGTTGAGACAGGAACTCGGTACAAATTTAAGCATATTACTTCAAGATCTAGTCCATACTCACATTGTTCCGTTTTTGCTTGAGCTTATAAACTTGAAGGAAGTGTGTCAATTGGGAAACATTGATCCCATTTCGGTGTTGAAGAAGGCATCGCAGATCACCTTTACGGAAAACCATTTGGAAGATATCGTGGTGATGTTGGAAGACTATTCTCAGAAGGATTTGAACATAGTTCAGTCTATTGTCATTGGTGAATTCACTGAAACCATCTTTTTCAAAAACTTGTTCAAGTTGACAAAGAGCCAACGCGAGAGGATTGTCAACGTAACAAACTCGTTGCTCTATCATAAGCATGTGGAAGTCAGAGAAGCCGAGGCTGAAACGTTGGCAGGGTTGGTCCATATGTTACCTTTGAATGAGGTGGATGACATTGTTCGGAAATTCAGTCAATCGTACTCTCAACAATTGGACCAGACGCGAGCAAAATACAATCGTAATTTCAAGAATATCACTTTTGGGGACCATATTGCATTACATGGTGCTACATTGGGATTGGGGGCATTGATCAACGCATTCCCATTTGCGTCGCCCCCACCCAAATGGATGCCGCTGTTGTTGTCTACCCTTGCGAATAAGAGCACGGGTATACCTGGTATTGTTGGGAAAACTGCAAAAGAAACACTCGGACGGTTTAGAAAAGATAGACAGGACAGTTGGCATGTTGATAGTAAGGTTTTCCAGGATGACCAAATACAGGACCTTGAGGGTGTTTTATGGAGAAGTTACTTTATTTAATGACATGTACCTATCTATATGGTAAAAGATATTTCGTATTTATTTTGACAGGTTACCACCCCTGTGGTGGCTTGTGTGGCATCATAAAACGGCGTGATTGGAAGCGCAGATTACAAAGTAAATACCAGAGTCGTGTATGTCTTACCAAGAAAGAACAAATGTTCAAAAAAAAAAAATAGTTTCTTTTAAAGAGATACACACACAGTTAGTCTGTGTGTGCTTGAATTTCTTTACCTAATTATAATAACCAACGGGTTTAGTCAGATTTCGTACAGCGACCCATACATAGACCCATTCATACGCTCTTCTGATCTAACGACGCTTTTCTGTCTGGCACGTATTGCAATCCACTTTTTTGTTTCGATATGAACGACTTACCACATATGCCCACCCCACAACAGGCATCGTATCAACAACAGCAACAGCATCAGCAACAACATCAGCAACAATACAGCAATAGAAAGCACCCCAACAATAGCAGCTCAAAAGTCAATTATAAGCCACCTCCACAGCAAAGGCACGCTAGCCAGCAACCAAATGCTTCTTATCAATCACAGCAATATTACCAGCTGCCTCCACCAAATGACTACTATCGTCAACAACAAAGCACTGGATTTCCTCCACAACAACTGTACCTGCAGCCACCAGTCTACCAAATGCCGCCGCCGCCGCCACAGCCACAGCCACAGCCACAACAACAACAACAACCTCCACCACCACCACCACCGCAACATATTCCTCAGCAATACAGTCTGCCCCAGCCCGTGTATCAAAGTCATGCACAACCAGTCCACCCACAACAGTACCAAACTACGGCACCACCACTAGTGCCTCCACAGCAACAACAGTATCTGCCGCAACACGTTTACCACTCACAACCAATGGGGATCCCCTCTCCTCAACAATCACACCAACAACCACCAAATCAATACGAGTCTTATCAGACAAATGGTAATGGTAATAGCAGCGGTGGTGGCAGTGGATCAGTTGGCAAAAAGCCTCCACCCTCGACATCACTGCCTCCACGCCAACAAAGACCGCTGAATAAGTCAAAAGAGTCTTTACAAGAGAAACAATTGTCTTCGAAGCAAAAGTTGGAACTCGAATTGAGGAGTGTTTTTGAAAAAGTGGATGTCAACAAATCGGGCAGAATATCAGCTAAAGAATTGTCATACGCATTGTTGAATTTCGACCATACCAGATTTCAAGACTCGACAATCAAGTTAATGATGAGCTTGTTCACTAATAAGGGTGATGCATCGTCATCTTCTTCCTCATACAGTTCTAACAAGTCGCTAAATTTTGACCAGTTTGTATCATTGTGGAAGTACTTGTCAGCATACAAAAAGCTATTTATACAAGCAGACACCGATAAATCTGGCGATGTATCATTTGGAGAATTTCAGAAAATTATCGAGCAGATTGGATATAAGTTGGATATTGACTTGGTACTACATTTGTTTTCTAAATATAGTTTAAAAGATAATGGGGAGATTGGTCGATTGAGATTTGATTCCTTTATTGAGTTGTTGGTTTATTTAAGAAAGTTGACCGATATATTCAAAAAGTATGATAAGGACTTGTCTGGAACGGCAACAATTGGGTTTTCGGATTTTTTGTTTGAAGTGAGTAACATGACATAATTATTAATGTATTATTAGGGGGGGGTTATAAAAGCACATTGTAGATGATGACGATGCAGACACACACGCACACACACACACATTCTCTCTCTTTCTCTCTCTCTCTCTCTCTCTCTCTCTCCATCAACAGACTACTTCTACATGAACACATACTTTTTAATACACAATTTGTTTCCTCATTTCTTTAAATTACATACAGACAAAAATATAACCTAATCTCTACCTCTACCTCTGAAAGCACCTCTTCTTGGAGCACCACCTCTGGCAGGTCTTGGTCTTTCAGCTGGGGCATTCTTCAATCTGGTCAATGGCAAGATACCTTCTGGGATGTTCAATTCATTTCTCAAGAATTCGACACCTTCGTCAGTCAAGGTGTAGTAGTAGTATTGCCATGAGAATTGGGTCTTGACGTAACCTTTTGAAGTCAAACTTTGCAAAGCCTTGATAACGTACAAGTTTCTGGTGTCGATTTCATCATGTTTTGGTTGGTTGAAATCCTTCTTGGCGACAACAACACCCTCTAGAGAAATTAAAATGTTAGTATAACGTTTCTGGAGTAATGGGGGGAGGGGGAAGGGGAGAATATGAGTAGGGAGTATTTGCCTTTTTGGGCGGGGGAGTATTCAATGACAGAAGGGGAAATGAGGTACTATGAGTTATTGACAATGTCGATGCTGTCTACTTTCCTCTTGATTTTTCTGAAAATGACGTCTAAGTTCGAAAACTGAATCGACTGTATAACCTTCAAAATCCTCATTTGGGCCGTCATTCCTCGTGTCATCCTGATCTTCTCTCATGTGCTCTGTCCTTTATGACTCTGTTTCTCCATTATGCAATCTCTCTCCCTCTCTGTCTCCTTTCATTCTTTGAATCTGCCTCAAACAATATCCCATATGACCAACGAGCTAAACATACCTTGGAACAAGTATTGGTGGATCTTTTTACGGTCTTCTCTTGGAATAAGCATGCTGGTTCTTTGTTGACTTCCGTGGGTTACTATATGATAGCTTTGGAAATTGTCAATTTTTTTTTTTTTCAATATTGATAGAGTCTTTCTCTCTCTCTCTAACTCTCTAACTCTCTTCCTCACTCTTTTTCGCATACATTATGTGAAGGAAAATTATTATTTTTTTCGTTGCGGCACACCACCCTTTAGGTGTATAGCCCTAAAGCGAGGAATCACGCGACTCCCTAAAAGAAAATGGTTTCCCAGATTACTTGTTTGATTTTGCAACAGGATTAGTCGACACAGTGGACTTCAGTTGTACAAGTCGAGCACAGCAGATTAACACTACAAGTGATTGAGTTGTTCATTCAACATTATTACTAATACAGTTTACGAGACTATGCAAATATCTACACAAGGGGCAAATCCCATTTAAGCCTTTTCTTCTCCACCTCTCCTAGTTCTTCTACCACCAAGACTCTTGATAAAACTGAACAAGGAATCTTGTTCATCTTGCTCCTCCACGTTTTCTATACTTTGTTCTCTTCCAAGCTGCTTATCTCTCAAGAACAATGAACCAACAATCATTGGTGCAACAAAACACAAACAAACGATCATCAATATTCTTTGAATTTCACCATAAGCTTTTGTAGCTCCTTCTCTTTCAGGTGAGCCCCATGCGTAGGTTTGTGCAAACACGTACGGACTGCTGTAAACACTGGTTGCGGTAGTTGCATCAAGATATTTTTCCAACTTCTTGATTAATGTTTGAGACCAAATGGCACCTGCGACGGAGGATCCAACTGCGTAACCGACCCTGTAAAGGGTATAAATTGCTGACGTTATAACAGCCATGTGCTCGTGACTGACACAGCTTTGCGCAGACACGGTAAGTGGGTACGAAAAGAAACCAGTACCGATACCCATGAGTACTTGACCCCCAATGATACCGCTGTGTGCTCCCAAGGAGGATCTAAAGTGGTACATGATACCGAATGCCACCATCCATAATGAACAACCAAGCATGACGAATCCCTTCAAGCGTTTAAAGTAAACGACAAACAAACCAAAAAGCATACAACAAAGAGTGGATGCAAACGAGGAAAGTGTGGTGATTCTAGTTGCCGATTTCTGACTCTCATCAACGGCAACGATTAAAACAGTGTACAAGAAACTTGCTTCCACTGCGTAGACAAAGTCAAACAACAAGGAGATTAAACCAGCAGACCAGATACCACGATCCTTCATTAAAGTAATTGGAATGATGGGATCTTTAGCAAAATATTCCCACAAACAGAAAACGGGAATCAAAACACAGCCAACAACAATTGGGGCAATGATGTTTCCTTGCTGCCATTTCTCTTTGGTACCACCAGCTAAGGTCAATGGGATCAATAAGCAACCCAATGAAACAACCATCAAGAGCAACCCAATGCAGTCCAATTTCCAAAACAAATACTTTATAAACCCGGACAATCCAAATTTCTGATAAAGCGTCTCTTTTTTCTTAAACTCGACCCATTCTTGAGTTTTACCTGCCAACCATCTCATATGGATCATGCAACAAACGAAAGGGATACAAGCCAATGGGAAAATGAACGCCCACATTCCAATACCCCACTTCCAATTCATACCGACTGCACCAGTAACATTACCCGAAATCCAAGTATTAATGATGAACGGAAGTGCTGGGCAGATTGAGTAAAACAATCTCCACCTCAAAGTTGAGAAATCTGACAAGATAAACAACAACACAATGAGAACACCGCTGTATCCAATTTGGTACAAAACAGCACCAGCGACATACGCATTGATATTTGGCGACTGACATTCGATAATCGTACCAACAACATAAAACAAAACGGCAACGAGAAACAACTCCAACCTGCCAAAGACATCAGATAATCTAGCATACACTGGCTGAGACGCAGCAGCAGTCAATGCAGTGATGGCATTAACAGTAGTCAACAAAGAGTGTTGGGACCAAGAAGCAGTAGCATAACCAGTAAAGACATATCTTATTTGTGAATCAAGCCCATAAGCATAACCAACCAAGAATGCAGAAACCAACAAAACTACCTTGTACCAAAATGTATGTTTCCATTGCTCAGCAAGTAACTCAGCTTTTAAAACACCAATGGATTTTTCTTCTTCAATGGCATGTTCCAACTCGTCAGATGTGTTATCGGATGTCTGTTTATCATAGATTTGCTTCTCTTCATCCACCGAGGAGGCCTTCGCTTCTGTATTTAGTGATGAGGACATTCGGGTTGTGATGTGCTTTGCTTTAGTAATGGACACAGATAGAGTGCGAAGTGTTGATGAAGAAGATGAGTAATTTGAGCTATGCCGGGTTATGTAGAGGGGATATTCTTCTCCATTTATATATTCCTTTTTTTTTTTTCTTCTTCTTTCAGGTCTTTAAAAACTTATCTGATCCATCTGAATCGATTGTGGCTTTAAACATTGAGAGAAGATATAGAGTGCGTTTTTTTTTTTATATACATGTAAATATACTTCAATTACACAAACGAGATAGCATTGGCATTTAATTGCTTTTTTTTTTTTTTCCTTTGTTTCTTCGTTTCAAAAGTCTTGGAGAAATGTCGTCGATTTGTTTTTATTCAATTTGCTGACTTTGTGTAATGGTTTGTTGTGTTTCTCCGAGTGAACAATAATATGTCTCTGTCCACTAAACATGAGCTTGGCACAGTAGTTTCATTAAAGTAACCGTTTACGAGAAGAGTTGTACTTCACAAATGGCCACTGATGAGCCAAGAACTTGGTCTTTCACAAATTAACCCAGATACACTTTTCAATTTGCCACTCATCGCTCTCTTTCAGATAACGAATCTCCCAATGTCTCTTGTTGAGGAATTGCATACCCACAATCGCTTGTGAATAAAAATGGGCTTGTATTGTTAAGAGCAGCAATAATCCTCACAGCAAAGCCTTATATCAAGCTCCTGTGATAGGTATGTGATGTGGAGTGCTCTCGGAAGTTGTTAATGATCGTAAGTGAATACATATCGGGATTACACAAAAGCTACACAGAGAGTTGTTTTTATTTTATTTTTTTTTTTCTTCTCGTTCCCTTTAATGAGAGAAAAAATGTCTCCATTTGGTCTCCCTGAGTACTTTAATCAATTCCATCACAACTGAAGCCTAAATTGAGAAACTAAAAAATTTAACACAGAGTTCTAAAAAAGCGTAATTTTGTCAAGTTGTGGTTTTATACAAACTTATTGTGAGGTTAGTGGGTAGCGGACATGTTACATCCGGTCTCATATACGTCTCTTTTCCATTGTTGTTCCAGAAATGTGTTCATTTCCGATCACGGACAACATGAATTCATTTTTGCGCCTGACTTGTTTTTAACTTTTCTTGGTATTCTATTTACATCTAAGTTTGTTACGCCTTGAATGTCGTCAACTAACGTAAATAAAAGAAGGGTGCATTGATGAGTTGTACCTAATGTCAATTATTTCCTCCAACTTGAGAGTTTCGAGACACATTCATCTCTAAGCTATTACAATATCGGAAAGGGCTTTCGTTTTCTAAACCTAGAAATGTAACCCAAATTCATACGTCCGTTCAGTAGTGATTTTCTCTTGGCCCTCAAGTGGAATATTTCAATTGAGTCATTTGAGGCTCAATGACAAGAGTATAGGGGCAATATAACGGTAAATACTCAACATCAACCACATTTGGAAACCTTACTGACTTTGCTGGGGCGAGATCGATGGAAAAGATAACAAATCGAAATAATAGCTCATTGTGTACCATACTCTTAAGACTCGTATCGTCTGGGGACATCAATATCCTTACATTTCTCGAGCTAACGTGAATCCCGCCCAGACAAAGAAATTTAGAAGACGAGGAGTAGGCTAAAAAAAAATAAAAAAAGATGAGTAAAAATTTTCTCAAGTTTTCATTTTTGTGTTTCGTAGTTTTTATTTTTTTTTTTTCCCAACTGTGTTTTGATCAGATGGATCAGATAAAAATACAACAAAAATAGGTGAATCGTAATTGGTCACCGAAGTGGAATTGCCAAGAACAAAAGATTTTTAATTTAGCCAAGTTCGGTAAGCATGACTTATTCTCTGTCTGGTGTTATTTTGACCAATGTTAATGTAGTATGACGACATTTATTGAGCAAATTGAGGCTTTTGAATTTTTTTTTTTTTTTTTCAATATGTGCATGAGTTTCCAGAAATAGCATCATTTCCGAAAACAGGGAAAAAAGTCATTTTATAAAATTTTTCACTTTCCAGATCACAAAAAGAATAGAAATCGTTTCAAAAATTGCCGTATTTGAGTCTTCCCTTAAAGTGAGCTACTTGGTGTTGCCTAAGAAACTTTAATTTTCGTACCGTAATACAATATCTCCCAGTGTAAAAACGATATTTATCTGCAAAGCTCTCTTGAATTGGGCACATTTTAATAGTCTGTTGTTACAAGAGTATTGAGTGTTGCTGCTAATCGCCAAATATATTCCATTGATGGAACAAAGTCGTAACTTCATCATCTCGATTTGTGTTTTTTTTGACTGTGGTGCATTACTTAAACCTATTTAGAGTTTCGAGTTGCAAAGCTCATCAGACTAATCCAATGATAAATCGTAAATGCAATAGATTTGGTAAAATGGAAGAAAAATCCAGCCAATCGCAGAGTAGTAACTAAAAGCTATTGCATAAACAATAAAAAGTTTAATTATAAAAATGTCGCATTTCATATTTGTTCACCAAAAGAGGAAACTACATTCTAGATCTATATTCATTGACATTAAGTTGTAAAAACCTCGTAACTCGAGACCTAATTGGAGACGCCTCTGGGCCCAGTTTTTCCCACAGCTCTTAGACGTGTCAAGATTAATAACTTCAACGGATTGGGTATTTATGTGAACGCGAGGTCAAAGTGTAGAGTACACATGCATTAGAAAGTGCAGAGTACACTCCTCTCTACTATCTTTGGCTGAATAAATTCCTCTCTTGAAGCAGTGGAGTGGATTCAAGCGCATTTCATTGTTCCATTGCACATCGGAAGTCACGTCCTGGTTTCTTCACTCTTCCTCTCGGTGTACAGCCAGCTTTCCTTGAACTCAGCTAACGTCCTGACTCCTCAAGTTAACGCTTAAAATATGCTATCAACCAGAAAACGGTGTGTATTCCGGGCCCGCCCAATCTCATCCTAACTCAATTTGTTTTTTGTTTGTTTTATTTTTTTGGTTTTTTTTTTTCAATTTCCCTGAATCAGAAGGTTGCAAAATTTCGTCTCTTAACTATGCGGCTTGTAATTTTTTCGCACTGACAAACTCGGGTTTCCACTCGCGTGGCTTACTCGACCTAGAGCTCGACTCGTCTCGATTCGCATTGACCCGCATACAAAAGGAAATCTTTCGACTGACCGAACGATTTCACAATCTAGCGGGTGGGAAATTCGGTGGTACTCTCCATTCAATGAAAAAATTTATACTCCTGAGAGTTGTCCTCAGCGTGCAAACGCATGGGCGGTGTCAAAAGAAATTTTCAAGAACCATAGCAAGAGAGGGGGGCGGACCTCCGTCTCTGGCTATAGGATTCTATGGGAATGGCGCCGTGAATGGTTGGCTGTTGTTCAGTGTCAAAGCGAACAAGGGCTGTTTAGTGCAATATGCGAACTTGATTGGCTCTGGCCAAACAAGAACCCGATACCGATCATTGATGATGAGTTGAGCTATTTTTATTTTTGAATCTGGTCAGGTGCGTGGTTCGAGACTTATCGCGAAAGAAAAATGAGAGACAAAAAATAATAATGATTATGAGATCTCTTGATCCAAACAACAACAACAACAACAACAACAACAACAACAACAACAACAAAAACGATGATATTTGCCAGTATACGTCGAGTATTCCAATCTTTCAGAACAGAAGAGGAGGAAAGGCTTTACTCGAGAGCGGCCTTCTTCAACTTACTTGGGTTCCTTGGATCTTGTGTCTTGTTTTCATTCGTTGCTCAACGATTATCTCGACATCCTAGAGAATTGGCACATATAGCAAGAGCAGACGCTCTACTAAAAGCAATTCTGTCGTAATGAGTCCCATCAATTGGAAAATTTAACCGGTATTGCCAAATCGCGCTAATGTGAAATATCAAGCTCAATCTTGGAACTCAACAACCAATCTATATTTTACCGGTATGGTTTATCTTTTATTTACAATTAATATACACTATAAGTCTATCCTTTAATCAAAATCTCCTTGCAAAATTCGTACGCTGTCCACGAAATGGCGGTTCCTGGGATATTGAATATCACTCTTGGCTTGAGACCTTTCCAAAATGCAGCATACCCAGCCTCTTTGTACAACGCTCTAGCTGCACTCTTGAACCCAGTGACATGTCTCAAAGATTCATTCTGGGACATACCTTTAGTTTGCAACACTGTTCTGACACAATCCAACGGCGTGGTTAATGCCGCAGCAACACCACCCGCTATACCTCCACTAACACAATGCAAGTATGGGTTGTATGAGTTATTTGGATTGAGCAATGATGAACTGTATTCGTAGAATCCGAAATTCAATGCAGCAAATGGAATATTTGTGAATAAGGTTGTAGGATATGAAATGAAAAAGGCCGAGATACCTTCGTTTTTGTATATATCACGAGCCAACTTGATCAATCTTACCGACGTTGACTTGTTTTCATTGTATGCAGCACTAGCTTGCATTCTTTGCTTCAACATGTCGAAAGGGGTCATCAAGGCATCTGATGCTGTGGTTGCAGCCACTCCCGCGCAACTGGCTATGAGTGGGTGGTTTGCATCAGTGACTATTTTGTTGGAATGAGGACTATTGGTCAATCTATTCACAAGAAATGTCTTTGTTGATTCAAACACTGAAAAATAAATTGCATGAGCAGGACCAGCGCCTAGTATTACTGAAGAAACTCCCTTCCACAATGCTCTGAATCCTTCGGTTGAGCTGATACGTGATATGGACTTGACCAAGCCTCGTGACAAGTCCTTTGTTGATAAGTTCATTTGCATCCTGGTCTTGATTGAATCGATGGGGAACATAACCGTATGTTCAGCTATACCAGCCAAAGCACCTGCACTCAAATGTGCGGCTAATGATGCATCTTCGGGTAAGGCCTCATAGTCTATTTCAAGGGGATCTTTGGGCAAAAACTGTATCTGATGTTCGTGATGCTCCATGGTTGGGTCTATTGTAGTTTTGGCCAGTAAACTTAGTAGGGAAGATGGATATCTATTCCTTCTGCTGAAAAGGATATTGGGGAAAATTTGTTAAGAAGTGAAATTTGAAATATTTTTTTTTTTTTTTTTTCGTCTGTTTCTTTTGTTCTTCTGTTTCTCCCGCTCAATTTTTTTTCTCTTTTTTGCTGCTGCTGCTGCCACCGCTGCTTGTTTTTCTCTCTCTCTCTCTGTCTCTCTTTGTCTTCGGAAGTTTTCTCTGTGTTATGTGATGCCTCTCCACGAGGTAAGTAAGTTAGAATAGTGATGGACTGTAGACACCTTTTGATGAACCAACGGAGAAAGAAGAAAGACTTAGGAGGAAAGATTTAGATTTTTTGGAAGAGCTTATAACTTATTACGGCGTTAACTGATACTTTTTTTTTCTTTCTTCAACTCTGATTCTCCATTTATCGGCTTTGCTTACACTTTTTTTTTTTTTTTTTCCCCTTCTTTGGCTTTGTCATACGGAATCTAGACTTGGTTTGCAAATTAATTTTCCAGATATTCTGCTTACTCATATCTGCATCCGCAAAGCATACAAGTCCAAACTCAGAAAAATACCTGGATTTAGCTCAAAGTCACTACCTCATATACTAAAATCATACTATTCTTAATCTACAAGATCTATATCAATGGTTTTGCATCAATTTTCATGTCATACTGTTCTGGGACAATCGACTTAACTTTGCCTGTTTTCAAACACACTTCAACGTTATCAGCGGCCCATTCCTCCATATTTTTCACAGCTTCGTATGTAAATGTTCCCATGTGGGGCAAACTGACAACATTGGGGAAGTCGAGCAACTTTTGAGAAACTTCTGGTTCATTTTCAAACACATCGGCACCAAAAGCACCAATTTTACCCGTTTGGATCAACTCTGGTAATTGCAGCTCGTCTATTACCGCACCTCTAGCTGTGTTGATTATAATCACTCCATCCTTCATTTTGGAAATCTCTTCCTTGTTGATGGAATGACGAGTATGGGCATTCAAAGGAACACTGATGCAAATGATATCAGCTTGCTTGTACAATTCGTCTTTGCTTACATATTTTGCACCATTTTCCAATTCCGGTTTCAACTGACTTCTATTGTGATAAACAATCTCCTTGAATCCAAGTGGCCTTAATCGGTCTCTAATTGCTCTTCCAATACCACCCATTCCCAAAATACCAACCACTTTACCTTCGGGGCTTCGTCCCAACTTGGCACCGGCAAACCCCTTCTTAGGCCATTCTCCCTGCATCATCAAATCATGTCCTTGCTGAAAATTTCTTAAACAGGTTAACGTCAAGTATAAAGCCGTGTCGGCGGTTGGCGCTTCTACCGGAACAGTTACATTGGACACTTGTACTCCTCTTTTGGTGAATGGGTCAATATCAACTTGGTCGTACCCAGCACCCGTATGACTCACTGATACCAAAGTATCCGGCATATGCAGAGCCAACTCTTCGTCGAATCTCCCCGTTTGCTCAACCGAGGCAAATGTACGTAAGATATTAGTGACATCTTTGTATTTACCTTGCAAGTCCTGGAAAAACTCGTCTCTATTGGCCGATTCACAATCGACAACTTGAACCAATTTGGAAATTTCGTCCCATTTCTCATGAGCAAATGAAATTTTCCCGACTCTAAGTACTTTTGGCTTTGGCATAATAAATTTGAATGATTTTGACGAAAATTGCTTGATGGAGTATTGGAGTTTTGGGAATACGGGTGCAGTTTTATACTTGATAAATCTTGAAGCCATGTGAGAGGGACAAAATTATAATAACAAAAAATAAAGTGGGGGATTGTTGTGGGTGGGGGATCTTTTGGGGGATCGATCAGAACACGCTAAATATGCACAACTCTCTAAGCACACGTCACTAAGTATACTACCTCAGTAAGTTGTGAAAGAGTTCTTAGAAAAGTTATGGTTGAGTTTTGAAGAATGTGTTTGTTGTATCTTTATTTTTTTTTCTCTTTTGTGGATGGAGAGGAGGGGTGTGGAAAGGACTTCCGCATCGGTATACTTTCGGATCGAGTATCAAGAGTAACATCCACCTTTCAAACAACAAGCTCACCCAGTATTTGTAAATCCCCTTGATGGAGGATACTACTTGATCGTTACCCAAAAAATGTCGCCGATGATACGAAACGGTGCTGTCACCACCACTACACAAATTTTTACTGCATTCTGTATGTAGCGAAAGCGATAAACAAAAAAAAAAAAAAGAATAACCATTAAAGCTCTTTTCCTTACAACTCCCTCGAAATGTCACTTGAACCTCCCACTACGGCCAAAGTCACATTAACAACGACAAAGGGCCCAATCACAATCGACGTCTTTGCCAAAGAACTACCATCAACATCAACGGCATTCTTAAAACTATGTCACCTCAACAAATTCCAAAACGCACACATACAAGTATTCCCAACCTACATCTCATTCACACCTCAGCCTAACACGCAAGTGGGCAACATTACCACATCCATCCCTTACGAGTCCCATTCACGTATAAAATGCAAACATCGTGGCTACGTAGCTTACTCAAACGGACTGTGGATAATCAGTCGGACTGAACTACAACCTTCCAATATTGTTCAAGTGTTTGGTAAAATCGACCAGGAATCATCGTGGTATATCGTGAATGAAATAGCTAGTGGTGAAGTGCATAAGGGGTCCAATGAGTTGGTGTTTCCAGTACTTATTGTGGAGTCAGTTGTGGCTGTGCCATACTTTGAATTGGAGTTGGAAGAAGAAGAGAATGGATTGGAAACACGGGGAAAGGAAGGAGATGTCGAGCCGAGGGTGAAGAAGCCAAGGATTGAAATTGCTTATGATGATGTTGATGAGGATGAAGAGGGTGGTGCAATAAGGATCAAAAGTGCGTATGATACAGAACAGAGGAACAAGAAGAAGGAGAAGAAGCAGGATAAACATGTAACAGACTTGAAAATTGATGGCGCATCAAAGTCTAACCTCAATTCTGATTCCAAAGAGGAGGTGGATGGTGTAAATGTCGTCAAAGAATCCACCGAGGAAGGGGAACAAGATGAGCAAGAGAACAGCACACTGGACTCAGGTTCTGGCTCAGGTTCTGACCCAGACTCCGACTCTGACCCAGACTCCGACTCCGATTTCAACCACGACTACAATACTACTACCGCCCCAGATAAACGAGATCCAACAATCGATCCTCCATTCGATGCTAAACTCGACTTGTCAAAAGCAGAATCAATATCATATTCTGAACTAAAATCTCATAAATTTATCGTAAATACATAAAACAAATAAAAAATAATAAAAGATAGATAAAGTCACAAGCTCTTTTAACTGCTTGTAGATGTATCTTGAAATGTTTTCCTTTTGCCTAAATATCAAACCAGTGAACCAATAAATATATATATATATATATCCCAAATGATTTTTTTTTTTTATTTTGTCTTTTTTTTTTTATGCTTGAAATAAACTTTTGCGTTTTTGCTTGAAGGGAAGCTCTAGATTTATCAAATCTATCGTTTTTGATTTTTTTTTTTTCTTTTTCAACTATTGTTGGACTCTGCCTGATCTCCTCCTGAAAATTTAAGCCTCGCAAGTGTACCCAGGTAAGTCATCATGTACATTGGGCAATTTTTTCAAGGCTTCTTCATCCACAGCCCCAGTAGTTTCATTTCCAACTGCATTGCCATCCACACCATCATCTTCACCAACGGGTCCATCTCCAGTGCTGAACCATGGATGTTTCAACAAACTACCAGCATCATACCGCTGATCCAAATCAAAAGTCAAGCACTTCAAAATCAAGTCACAAATCAACTTCACTTGTGGATCACTAGCTGAAAACTTGTACTTCTCAACAAGAACCTCTTCCAATCCCCAATACTTCAAATTATCAATATTTTTGAAGATTATTTGCCGGTGGTTTTCCGGATGCAACTTGAAAAACTTTCCCGTCAATTTACAATCAACGAGATACTCATCCAGGGGGAAACGGCCCAACAACTCAACAATTTGCGCCAAATGGTCCTCGTCCTTATCGAAATACTTGCCATCATGAGGATCAAACAAGAAATCACCGGTAATCAACTCAAATATTATACACCCAATACTCCATAAATCCGTAGATGATCCCCATGATTTATACTTGAGAATAATCTCAGGAGAGCGGTATTGGCGTGTCTGAATTTGATTGGTAAAGTGCTCATTGGTGTAAGTTGCGTTTCCCAAATCCGCAATCTTGATGGAAATGTTGTCGCTAGTGACATTGCTAGTGGTGGAGGCTGCGACTGCGGTTGCGGCTGTGGCTGTGGCTGTGGCTGTGGCTGCGGCACAAGTCTTGAGCAATGAAGGAGAACTATTGCTAAAGATTGATTTCTTTCCGCGGTCGAAAAGGGAAAAGTTCTTGGGGCTTGCGGTTTTGGGGCCTACTTCGCGGCGTGCTTTGCCAAAATCAACATCTTTGAAGAAAATGTCTGACGATGTTGTGGCTGACGAGAGTGGTTTCGATGAACGAATTGGGCAGTCGTGCTTACCCAGAATGGAATTCTTCAGTCTCTTGTAGTAAAAACTGGACGATTGTGAAGATGTGACGGATGTGGTTGAATCTTGGCGCGGTTTTTGCTCCGCCAGCAAAGGTTGTGGTTGTTGCTGCTGTTGCTCTAGGTCTTCAGGTTGTTCCGCCACTGTTGCCGGAGGCGCTTGTTGAAACAAGGAGAAACTCAGGGTTCGTTGCGCCAAATTAGGCTTGCTGAACGATCCACCCCTTTTAATCAATGAAGCAGCACGACTTAACGACGAGTTACTAGCTTTGGCTTTTGTCAATCTCTCCTCTTCAACTGCACGAATAACCTTATTTATATCCTCGATATTAATCAAAATGTTTTCCGGCTTCAAATCTGTATGAATGATTCCACAATGATGCATGTAATCAATTGCCAACAACAACTGCTTCACAATGGTCTTCGTTATAGGCAAAGGAATACCACCGACACTACGTGAAGTCTTGATGAGTTTGACCAAAGATTCAGAGCTCATTGCCTTGAGTTTCCTTTCCATTGAATTCTGCCACGGGTCTGTACAAACTGTAGTTGACTGTTGAGCGGTGCCACAACCAGCTGCAGAAGCAGCACCGATTGCCATGCCAAGACCAAATCCAGTGGCAGCTGTACCGGTCGTGGTCATTGAAGAATCAATATCTTGGCTCGTCTCCATTACAGTCTCGATTGGAGACACAGTGGTAGACGTTGATGATATTGTTGACGCAGTGGAGGGTGGGACAGCATTTGTAGAATCCGCCAAGTCCTTTTTAGTCAAGCCCAAGCTCAATTTCGACTTGGTATTGCGCTTGAAATATTTGTTGTCCCATTTACCAAATTTCATGGCTGTTTGTGATTGTTGTTCAGATTTTGACTGTGGGTGTTCTTGTTTTGACTCATCACCTTCTTCACTCTTTCTCTTTATTTCCTCATCCACATGTCTATAAAACTTTTTGTACTTGTAAATCAAGTTCAAGACATTTTCACCAAGAATTTCAAACACCATGCAAACGTGGTTGCCATTAGGGCCAGTGATTTCAAAGTCATCAAGTAGTTTCATCAAGTGATTGTAACCAGGGTGTTGATTAGGTGGATGGGATTCAAAATAATTTGCGTGTTCACCAGCCAAATGCTCATGGTTATGAACAGGATCTTGCAAAGTTTGCAAGATTCTAATCTCATCTCTTGCTGCTTCTCTGTAATTCTTGTTGGATTTGACAAACTTGATGGCAACAAAGTATTCGTTGCAATCGTCGCCACAGCTACCACCGCTACTGGCACTTGTTGTTGATGACAATGAGTGTATGGAGTTTGATGCATTTCCAAGTTGGGACATTCTCGACTTTGCAAGCCAAACTGTTGAAAAGTGGCCCCAACCCAATTTACGCAAAATGACATATTCACGATTGGGTGATTTACGGCTGAAGTAAACATCTCCTTTACAAACGGGATGATAACCGCCAAGTTTGTAGTCCAGTTCGCTCTCCTCGTGTTTTGGGTCGAAATTTAGCTCCAGTTGAGACTCCTCAAACTCAGATTCTGAATACAGAACATTATCGTCGCCTTCGTCAAAGCTAAACTCGGACTGGTTAGCTTGCTGCTCAAGGGTTCGTGGTGTGGTTGCCACTGTTGTTGTTTCTGCTGCTGGTGTCGACACTTTCGTGGCCACGGCATCTTTGTGAGGATTTGTGGTTCGTATATTGTGGTTTCCTGAGAACGAGCCAATTCGTAGTAGACTCTTTAAATTTCTTTTTGGTGCCGAGGAGGGTTTTCTTGATGATAGGGATGGGCGTTTGGTGGTTGTTTCTTTGAGTTTCGACTTGAAACTTCCCTCACCTCTTGCTTTACCCACATTCACTTGTGGTTCTTTGGTGTCCTCGACTGCCTTGTAATCAGGGGCATTGATGATCATCGTGTCTGAGTCCAATTCCATAGCCGTGCTCATTTCACTGTTTTGTAGAGATACACAGTCTGCTGTGAAAGATGTATATCTCTCGTCATCTGAGCCAGTAGTCGTAGCAGCAGTGACTTTTCCCTGGTGAGATATGTGAGCTTGTGCAGGAGAAAACAAAGTTGCTCTCGAGATTGGTTCTATACTTGATGGAACGAATCGTGGGGTGGAATTAAAATTGGCTTGCTGTTGGTGCTGTCCAAAATAGTCCTCTATTGAATCTGTAGAGATGTGGTTAAAAGAGGAGGCCTCGTTTTCATCTTCCTCTTCCTCAATGCTTTGTATTATAGTTATGTGGTTGGTATTGTCCATGATACCATGAGGTGTGACTGTGGTTGGTGAGTTGGAAGCAACAGATTCTGGTATTGGTGTTGTTATAATGCCTGTGTTGTATTGTGGTTCTTCACGAAAAGGTGAAGATTGGAAAGGAGTATACGGTTGTTGAAGCTCATTCTCTTCCGAATCTGCATTATGCTCGTTCTTCTGAGTTGTTGTTGTTGTTGCTGGGATGCTCTTTTTCCTGAACATGCCCTGTAAAGTGAATTTTGATTTTTTGTCAGTATTTGAATCTTCGTTGTTGACGCTATTGTTGGTGGTGGTGTTGGCTCTTTTGAAGCTGGGTGAACTATTTAAATGTGGGAGTGAAGAAGAAGGTATTGATGATGATGGTGTGGCTGTGGTAGCCCCATCGGCAGTCACATTGAAGCTGCTGGAGGAGTTGTTGCGAAAATGGCCATTGTTGGGTAGAGTTTTGTCCTTGCTGCTTTGATTGGTGTTGCTACCGCTATTCATTCTGTTTATCAACAACATTTTTGCAAAATGAGATACTTAGGTTTATACAGTGCAGGGCGAATGTTTCATAGATATGTTTGTAAGTGAAAATGATTTTAAGGGTGTTGAAACGTAGTGGTTGTTGTAGGTTGAATGTTGTAGTAGTAATAGAGTACTGTGCATAAAATTGTGATGAACAAAGGCAAAGGGTCTTTTAGTGGTGTATGGTTGTAGGGAAGTAGCTTGTATAGAATTGCCACAGTGATATACTTGGTGGCAAAAGTTGTTGTTGTGGTTGCTGAGAGAGGCCCTTCGAAATGATTTTCAACTATGGCTTGCGATGCAATGAAGTTATCAAAAACTGTGGATTATTGCTTCTTAGTCAGTGCAGGGTGTATATATCAATTGCAGATGGATGATTGTATGTTGACTGTTGTTTCAAAAGTCTAGAGTATGGTGTTTGATTTGTTTTGGTTGCTAGATTTGAAGTAAAAGTCATGTAAAACTGTTGAATGCTGTATGATGTATTGTATTTGCGTAGATATATATATATTGTCTGTCTGTCAATATGTACTGTATTATCTAATAGCAGCTAACTGTGTCAGTCAAGTTTTTTCTTTTTTTTTTTTTTGTTTTGTTTTGCCCTCTGAACATTTCTTTTTTATTTTCTAGTTTATTTTAACTCACTCTGCAGAATGTTTACAGCAGAAACTTTAATACGTCATACATGAATACATATATACATACATACATATATTCTAACACAATATACCACCACAGTTTTATTTATATTTATATGCAGTATCAAACACAGTCAATTTATATTTTATTTACTTATTTTCAACTTTTAATTTTTACACCCCCTCTCTCTCTCTTCTTAACATAAATATATTACCAGGTTTCTTCTTTTTTTGTGCTAATAAAATAAATGATTTTTCAATATCCCAAAACCCCATATATTACCCCGGATGATGAATTGAGATTCTACCAAGAGAGTAAACAGCAGACTAGACAAAAGAAGAAGAGCTACTACGGTGTGGAATAACACCAATCGTGGTGGCAACTATAACAACCTTAAGTTTCATTAATAAAGAGCAAAAGGTGCAGGCATGTTTCTAATTGAGGCTTTGATAAGAACCAGAATTTTTTTTTCTTTTTTTTTTTTTTTTTGATTTTTTGATTTTTATCTTTTAAAGATGGGCTTTTTGTTTTATAGGCTGATCATCGGTTACAAACTGCTTTTTTTTTTTTTTGTCTTTTTGTTTCTCCGTTGTAATGGCAAAACTGTGGTGTCACAAGGAACCCTTTAAGGCGAGCTTAATATAAGGGGACATCTATGGGATTGGCTCGGGGTGAGAAAATGATAAATAGCAACAGCTGAAATGGAATTGGTGCATCTTACTCGCAGAGAACGCTTCCGTCATATAGCACGCACCAAAGAATTGAGGTGAACCGCATTCACGGAACAACATCGACCATTCCCACCGAAAAAGCATTCACTCCCTAGCCGACAACTCTGGAAATAGTCTCAAAAGATCGGTGGACAAAATCAAAAAAAAAAAAAAAACAAAACAGAAACGGTTAACAATAGACCTACGCCTTGTTTTTTACACCTTTTGTTCAAATTGTGGATATGAGTAAGATTGTGGCTTCTAGTTTATGAATTGGCTTCTAACTAATATTATTGTGTGTAGTTTTGTGTACGTCACGTGAAATCCCTTATTGTTAGGGGACTGTGTGAATATAAAGGCAGGCACTTTATTATTTTATTCTATGTTTTTTTTTTTTTTTTTTCGTTATGGATCTCGCTACAATTCTCCGGAAATACGGTATATATATTCTTTTTTTTCTTTCACCAATCGGATAGCTGTCTTTCTCTGTGCTCATTTAATACGAATAAGTTAGAGTAGTCATTCCCCTCTCATATCAGTATCACTCAATGTATCATTGCGTCTCAACTTTCATTCCATCTTCTCCGGATCACGTATCTCCTTGCTTTCAGTTAGATGAGTGGGGGTGGGGAGAGAGAGAAGAAAGGGGGTGTAAAAGATATTACACGCTATCAACAATCTAATTTTTGTTCTTGTTTCAAAAATTATCTCAACTTTAATTTGCCTTGATTATTATATGTACAAATATGTATGTATGTATGTATGTATGTATGTATCTTAACAGTCTACGTTGCTCTATAGAATAATTTTTTTTTTTTTTTTCTGTTGAGCTCGCTCTTTCTCGCTCTTTCTATATCTCTCTCTCTCTCTGTTTGTTTGTCTGCGGAGTTTCTTTTGTTTTTTTTCTTGTTGTTTTTGTGATTCGTTGTTTCTTTGGCTTCACTTTGCAGGTAATAATTATCTCTGCTTATCTTTTGATTGGATAAGAATTCACCCATATTAATCATAGCGCCATCTAATACTTTACCACTAAGTCAACTTGCTTTGCACAGAAGTCTGGATGCACTAGCATACGTGTCCTGTCTATCCCACGCTATCCGTGAAACTAAAATAGTGAATGTCTGCGTGTATAAACTTTTGTTTCCATCCATACTCCTAAGTGGATGATGATATTAACCAATTATCTCAAAAGATGCCGTACAAATAAACGGCAAAGTCAGGCGAGAACAAACAATCAATTAGTCAATCAATCAATCAATCAATCAATCAATCAATCAATCAATCCAAATGCACAAAATTCTAAATTCAAAAAAATTTTTGAAAGCAATAGAAATTTCAATATAATTTAAAAATAAATAAAAACAAATTAGATTCAAACGGCATTTTCCAACTTTTTCTCTTTGTATTTTCACTTCATTTAGAAAAAATTAAAAATTAAAAATTAAAAATTAAAACAAAAACAAAAACAAAAGGTAAACAAAAGCAATGTCAATTCTTTTCTTAATTTAAGCGACACACATTGATATTCCCTCTTGAAACTCGTTCCTTATGAAAATAGGATTTCCATTGTCCATATCTCTACAGACCATCACACCTTCTTCTTCACCTTCACCTTCACCTTGCAATAGCAATAGATTAGACTTCGATTGCTATACCATGCTCTCAGTACAATACTTTTTCCCATCAAATCTCTTTGTCCGTCTCTCCTTTTAGCTTCCTCCTTCAGTCGCTAATGTAAATATTTTACAGTTTTTCCTTTTTATTTTTTTTGTTGGGTTTCTTCCCCTCCTCCCCCTTTTACCCCCACATTTCACGCATCAAAACCTATTTTTTTTTTGTCTTTATCCGCTAATAGAAAGTCAAAACGAGTGACTTTAATAGTGATGCAACCTTGCTCAATGTATTGATTGTATGATATAGTGTGTGTTTCACAGAGACCAATGGAGTCTATGTTGCCCCCCCCCCACTGGCAAATTCTCAAACATTTTGCAGCATTGTGGTGGGAAGCCAGCCCCATTTCTCTCTACAAAAGCTTTTGTCGTGCAAAATGTGCTTTATTATAATACAGACGGGGAGGAGAGCAGGTTGCTCAGTTTTCATCATGTCAACCCCGCGTTTCAATGTGAGGATTTTTTGCTCCGTATTGACCGAGTTTTGTTCACACGACCAATGATTGCAGTTGACACTTGGTCACAAGTTGCACCAAATAACATTGACCAAATACGGCAGCGTAGCTCTTTTGGGAAAGCAATTCCAAATTAGGATAGCAAACGTCGATTTTGAAAACGTTTGCAGTTTTTATAGCATCAATATGTTTAGTATTGATCCGTGTCTCCCGTCTTAACTTTGTTTGCAACGTGTGTGCAATTTTCCATTCATGGTGAATACATAACAATGAATTTTCATAAATTGTGTGAGCCCTCCTTTAGATATCATTAATCCTCTGAATAGGGAATGATTTGGTTCGGAATTTGGAGAATAAGCAAACACCTTTTTTTTTTTAACAAAAAACGTAAATGGTCACTTGACCTTTCTTCAATTCTCTGAAGTTTGCGGTAAGAAGTACCTTGTGGGAAGGTCTGAGTGTGGGGACAGGGTGGCTTCTCGTCCATGTCAGAGTTACTCCAGCACCCGGCAGTTGTGGCAATGAAGAACGATTCTTGGACATTGGGTTACACTCTTTATTTCTCTTCCCAGCCTTTGTCGAGTCGGCATCAAGCTCACGTGTGCATCTTTTCCGGAAACATTTTCATCTTCGTCTAATGAGCTACATTGATTAATAGCAGTCTCGTGTAATGATGTTCGTAACCAAGTGCAATCGTCTTCCTTCTTGGTTCCGGATAGAGTTGGCACTCTCAATGAGATCATCATTGGAATATGCAACTAACTTACTCATGCCCGGCTTATCGATGCTACACCACCGCACACTGCCTCGAGCTTCACTTGAGAATTGTCATAACAAAAGATTGTTTTACAATTGTCTCACGATTTCAGGGTTTGACACTTCTCAATCTAAACAAGTTAGTGGTGGCCAATTCATTTACCTAGCCACAAAGGTAAAAGCCAAGCACTGGGATTCAAAAGTCTTTTTCTGGCTCAAACCCCGAAATTATATGAAATTACAAACAATAATATACCCCTAACATGCAATTGGTCCTTCGATGAGAGTTATCAAACGTTCTAAATCACCCATACAAGCACTCATTTCTCACATGTTTAGCAAAGCATAGTTGCCGAAAATCACAAGCTACTTTGACCAAAGTGGGGTTTGAGAGGGTTTACCTTAAGCCCTCTTCAATTTTCTTGATACGTATAAAATACCAACCACGTGTCGTGGAACTCCCAAAGGAGTGAAAGCAGAGACCAAATTCATTCCCTAACTCCATATCTCTGTCAAGCACCTCTCAATTTAACTTTTCATCAATTATTGTGCATTTAGTTCACGCTATTAAGTTGAGCCCACGTTCCTCTTCTTCCAGGCAAAAACTACAAGAAAAAAGAAAAAAGATGAAAAAAAAAAAAAAAGAAAATTGCGCTATGTCTAATCTGTTGATTGACATAATGTCAAAATTTTTTCTTTGCCAAAGCAGAAGCCGGCCCATAGAGGCTCTGATGGGAAGTACATGCCACAAGAACCTCTCAGCTGGCAGACTGTTTCTAAAAATAGGCTCATCGCAGTAAATAAAAAAAATCTCTCTCTTTGTATAACAATACCTCGCTTGGTACTGGTTTAGACCAACATACCCCTCCACGTGGCTGCTATTTGTAAAAAAATTGGTCTATTGTTTGAATAAATTAACAATTTGAAATTTCCTTTTTGCTCACACAGAGATAAGCCATTCGGGCTAGGAACAATAAGCTTTGCTACACAAAATTGAATCTATTAGAGGCAATCAGGACATAACCCACTTTTAGTTTCTACCAGGTTTTTTCAGTCTACTCTATACCTGGCATGAGATAAACGTGGCCAGTGGACCCAAATAGTATGCATAAACCCTATTGAAAAGAAAAAAATAAATAAATAAAAAAAAGACATTAGGAATCAGCGACGGCTTTGCATCGGAGAGTTTTGAAACTTTTCAGTGTATATAAAAGAAACACAAACTTCCATCAAAACATCTATGTACTTGTTTTCTCCTTCCTTCAGCAACCAAAACACATGTCCACTACCAAGAACCAAGCTGAGAAAACCTCTGAGGTTGTCGAAACTACACAAGCAGAAGAAGTTGGCCCATCATACAGCAATGAAGTCACTCAACCATCACAGAAACAACACTACACGTATGACGCAGAAGCAAGACGCCATCGTTTGGATGGGGGTGTCAAAGTCAGAGACGCCTTGATGATTCTTTGTGCTGGGTTTGCATTGATCTCAGATGGATACCAAAACAACGTCATGTCAATGTTGAACAAGGTATTTGCCATAGAATACCCCAAGGTTTACGACACAAACATGTCAACACAAGTGTCTAATGCATCGTTGGTGGGTACCATTTTTGGCCAACTTGTGATTGGATTCTGTACCGATTTGATCAGTAGGAAAGCAGCCATCGTTATTGCCACCTGCTTTTTGGTGTTTGGTAGTGCATTATGTGCTGCATCCCATGGCAAAACCGTGACTGGTATGTTTTGGATGTTGACCATTATGAGAGGGGTAACCGGATTCGGTATTGGTGCTGAGTACCCTTCAAGTTCAGTCACTGCTAGTGAAGCAGCAAACGAGTCGGTGAAAAGGAGAGGTATGGCATTCATTTTGGTAACCAATGTGCCATTGTCATTCGGCGGGCCATTTGCATCAATCATTTTCCTCATCGTCAACAAAATCACCAAGACCCATTACGATGCATTGTGGAGAACCATGTTTGCCGTTGGATGTTTTTGGCCATTATCGGTTTTCTTCTTCAGAATGAAGATGGTTACTAGTGTATTGTTCAAAAAGAATGCCATCAGACGTAGGCCACCGTATTGGCTAGCCCTCAAATACTACTGGCCAAGGTTACTCGGAACAACTGTTACTTGGTTCTTGTATGATTTTGTCACCTTCCCCAATGGTATCTTTTCTGCCACCATTATTTCCAATGTGATTTCCGATACTAAAGATTTGGAAAAGATTGCTGAATGGAATTTGTTGCTTGGAGCTATTGCATTGCCAGGATGTTTTGTTGGTGCATATCTCGTTGATAAGCTTGGAAAAAAGTACACCATGTTGATTGGTTTCATTGGGTACATTGTGTTTGGGCTTATTGTTGGTATCGCTTACTACAGAGTCAAAAAGATAACCGCATTGTTTATCGTTCTTTACGGATTGATGCAAAGTTGTGGTAATGCCGGTATGGGAAACGTGTTGGGTTTAGTCTCAAGTGAGTCATTTGCTACTCCAGTCAGGGGCACAGGTTATGGTATCAGTGCCATCATTGGTAAGGTTGGTGCTGTTTGTGGCACCAAAGCCTTTGGCCGTGTCTTGACCATTGGTGGGTCCAAAGCAAGTGGACAAAGATGGACGTTTATCATTGCTGCCTGTTGTGGTGTGGTGGGAGTCATTTTCACCTGGATCTTTATCCCCCATTTGAAAACTGATGATTTGATGGAGGAAGATGTCAAGTTTAAGAATTATCTCAGAGATCAAGGCTGGAATGGTAATATTGGCCTTGAGGAGGAGGACGAGGAAAAGAGCGTCGATAGCTCTGTGGATTCTGATGCTGTCGAATTGCAGGAACAGAAACCAATTGAGTACAAGGGAAACTAAGTAGTATTAATATTTAGCGGGATTATTGTTTAGTATGCATTTTAATTCTTTATGGTAAGCTTTGTATCTTGGCTGCGAAGTGCAAAAAGTCCGCAAAAGGGAAGAAGAAGAAGAAGAAGAAGAAGAAAACAAAAAATAAAAAAAAAAATAAAAAAAAAGGATATATTACATCTCTTTATCTCAATCATCACGAGCTATGGAGAGTCAACCACTTCCCAAAAAGACTAAAGCTCCACCTCCAACGCCTGAAGAGATTGAAAGAAGGCGAGAAGCAAGGAAGAATGAAGTGATACCGCCAGGAGTATCCAGACGTGAATGGAAAAAGCAACAAAAACTTCAGCGATGGGAAGAAACTAAAGACCAATATCGACAAGATATGAGATTGAAAAAGAAACAACAACGCGAACGAAAACGCGAAAGACTCAGGAACGATGATGAATACCGCAATAGCGTTGCCAAGAGACCAAAAAGTCAGATTGCCACAAATGTAAACATCGCCATTGATTGTGAATTCGATGATTTGATGAACCAAAAGGAGATTGTATCAATGGCGAACCAGATCAGGTCCTGCTATTCATCAATGAGACATTGCCAATATGAGTTACCTATCCAGATTCTATCCTTCAATAAGCGGCTCAAAGAGAGGTACGAAACTTCGAACCCTGAATACACCTCATGGAAAGGAATCAACTTTCAATCAGAACGCCTAGCTGATCTAATAACGCCAGAAAACAAACACCAATTTGTTTATTTGACTGCTGACACCGACAACGACATTCAAGAGTTGAGTTCGGGTAAGACGTATATCATCGGTGGGATAGTCGACAAGAATCGACACAAGAACTTGTGTTTTAATAAAGCTAAGGAAATGGGATTGGCAATGGCACGGTTGCCCATTGGGCAGTATATAAAAATCAATAGTCGGGACGTGTTGGTGACTTCACATGTGTATGAGATTATGTGCCGTTGGTTTGAATGTAAAGATTGGCGAGAGGCATTCAATAAGGTCTTGCCGCCTAGAAAAGTGGTTCAAGGTGACGATGAGAAGGATGATATGAATGGTGAGGAAGTAAAAAGAAAAGGTTGGTAAAGGTGAGGATGAAGAGCAATGACGTAGTAGTACAGTCTTTTTATTTTTATTTCATACTAGTGTGACATAATTGTTCATACCAAAGTGACATTTATTTTTCATACTAA